GTTTCACTTGAAGTTATAGGATGTAACTTTTTACATTACGTTCAGACACTCTTTATCACAATCATAGTTTCCGTGCTGTTTTCTTCCTGTTCCTATACGCTCAAAAAGGCAGACAATGCTGGATTTGTGCTTGAGGTGGATGAGACAAAAGTAATTAACGTTTATATTTGAGATCTGCCATTCAGATTATGTATACCAGCAGCAGCAGTAGCAGAGCATCCTGATCTCTTCGCGGAGGTACACACTATATATTCACACAATAATGTCTCATGAATCATTTATTTATGTGGGGATGACACAGAACGGGTACAGAGGCAGTGAACATTATGTGCCGGCAGAAACAACACTGCTTTAACAAGGGTGACGGATCCAGATCAGGAAGAAGTATGAGAGGAATCCACCATCAAGAAATATGTTCAGGTGTGAAAGCCTATTCAATTAAAGCTCGGGTACCCAACTTTCCAAACGCGAAACATAATCAAATCATGTAATCAAATCCACCAAACTAATTCCAAGCTCTAGTACTCACATAGATGTTTTTTATGGCCACTGTTATGTCCTTTAATCAGACCTCAGTCCAAAGTGTTCAATAGTGACTCACTGAGATATTTTCTTTGTCGATTGTTCACAAAATATCACTTTTAGAGGGACAATGAAATGGTATATGTGCCCTCAGGCTTACTATAGAAGACCTTGAACACAACTTTACTGCAGCTCTGCTTGTACTGAATAAATACACGCTCCTGACCATGGAACGTTTTAGACTAGAAATGAGTACTTCTGAAGTGTCTTTTGATGGACAAATGTTTTCAAATGAACTGTGTGACTGAAAACCACAATTTTCCTGTAAAAGTATTTGCAATTTACTTGATTAATGCCATCTTTTGTGTCTAGCTTCCACAATACGAAGCATACTTGTTCATATCTTTCTTACTTTAAATCCTTGTCCTCAACCAATTAACTTGTCCTGACGCAATCACCCGCTTGCCGTCTCCATGGAGATAGTGCCATACTGCGGGACATTCCAGACAAAGGAATAGGGTGTCCAAAGATAAGCACGAACAGTTTGCCTTTTAATATTAAAATGTCAGTTGGGCATAGTTAGGAATTTTAGACTTTTTGAATCTTAACAGGGCTATGTGACGTGTCCAGGCAAAACAAAGCAGCGTCAGCTCATCTTTCCCCCTTTTAGAAGCAGATTTTATCACTGAAGTGTCCATTTAACCCGCACAAAAGCCGCCTCCTCTTCCTGTCTTCTCATCACGCACCAGAACTGACAGCTCGGACAAAAGCTTCAACATTCATTTATCTTCTTTATATGCCCCTGATGCAAATGCGGGATATTGGATGGACACAGCAATCAATCCCATAATTGAGTTTGCGCTATTCCAACTTGTTAAGGGACCTCTGTCCAAAATTATAGCGAAGGTCAATTTCTCATTCTGACAATTACTGTATTCATTCATTGGTGCAACAAAGAGGTGCGCAGACAGGTTTGGAGCAGGCAGCAGCGCCTCCCATTGTGAGGGACCTCAGCTTGATCCCCCTCATAAAGCTCATTAAAACCTGCTCGCTCTAGATTGGTTCAAAATGAGATATTAATATGGAAATCAAGCGGGTGTGTGGAGTTAATGACTGGATAAAATGAGTGGTTTGAGCAATTTTAAAAACCTAAAAAAGAAAAAGAAGCCAATATCAAAAGAAAATATGTAATGTACATTTTGGGAATTATTATTACTAGGTTTTCAATAACAAACACAAATTGACACATGTCTAGGACATACATGAACAAAAGAATAATTGACTGGAGTTTACGGATGGCTAGGGCCAGGCTAAATATGTACATCTAAACCTCACTGCCAGTGAGACAGCGAGTGAGAGGGCTTCCACTTCGAGCTGAACGTTTTTTTTGGCAGACGTAAGTCCATCAAAAGACCAAAAGACACTTCAAAAGTACTTATTTCTAGTCTCAAAAGTTGCATGGTCAGGAGCGTGTATGTATCTATTTCTAAATCCTTTGGCGAGCTACTTGAGAGGGGTGAAGAGCTACTGGTGGCTCCCAAGCTACAGGTTGGAAATGGTGTATTTATTCAGTACAACCAGAACTCTTTGTTTTTACCAGTAAAGTCTGATCTGAGAGAAGTAATTCAGCAAAAGGACCAGTGGAAAGCAGAGCACAAGACACATCAGGAGGGCAGGCCCAATAGAAGCCACAACCATAGCCACCATCTTCCTGGTGCGCTGGACACTCACACCATATGGAACAGGTAACTCCACAATGGTATAAAGTGCATCAAGCTCCCACTTTATGGAGAAAAAAAAACATGATATTAAGTAAATCCTTAAAATGTATCGGTCAGTGGTCCTAGTTTTTTGAAAAACCCAGCACAGAATCGCAAATAGAGTTCCACAGTTAGATTTGGAACATCTGATCTCCATCTGGGCTCTAAAAGCAATGGTATAAACTATATGTCTGTTCCAAAATATGAGAATATATTTCAGAGGATACGCCCTCAAATCCTGAAACTCAGGAAAAAACGGATTTTCCTGATGAAATTAAAACAAATTTTACAATTTTAGGGCAATATATCGTTCATATTGTAATGAAGACAGAAAATAATTAACATCGATAAGACTTTTACATAAATGTGTTACAAAAATATTTGTTAAATAGAGAAAGTAATCAATTGAAGTGTCTTGCACTGTGTTCAGGTCCAAGAGTTTGGACCTCGAAAAATTTACATTAACTATAACTGACCCCAAATGAATCCGCAAAGAGCAAATCCCCGCGAGCTGAGGGAGATATTTGATATAATCAATGGGAAAAGTTTAGCGACTCCATAACTCCTGTCTGCTTTAATTAAAAATGACCTTTGTCCGAGACTTTATCTTCCATTTTCACATGTTTTAAAAGGGCACAGGCTCTCTATTATATTTAACTCCAAAATATATACGTACTATCATGTTTAGAAGAGCAGAAATTCAATTGAAATGAACAAATAAAATGTATTATTCCATATGAAAAATGGAGACTATAGAGAAAAAATATATTTTAGACTTCAACAAGTGAAGATAACACAGTAAAGGGCAAAAAATAATGAAGAATATTGCGACATAACTACATTTTTAATAAACTACGTCCAAATTACTAAAATTATTCAAATCTGGACTGAAACTGGGACTGGGGCCATATTGGGCGTGAAAAGAAGAGCATTTGGTCCGGAGGTTTATAATCCTATAATTTTAATGAGACCAAAATAAAATAATGGTATCAATTGTTATTGCATTGGCTTATTACAGATGCCAACCAACTACTGAAGGGTTTAATTGCACCAATTTGGAAATAAGGAAAATGACCAAAGGAATCACCAAAAAATCCTAAATATTTCTTCGTTATTTCAAATGAAAAAATGCTTTGAAAAGCTTTAGGACGTCGTCATTTTTGCACCATACTATTCTCCAGTGGAGCATTTAGTCTGTCGATATAGTGTGCGAGTCAGCTGCTCCCTTTCGTCTCATCAATAGTTTATTTACCGAGCACAGAACTCGCAAAATTAGAATAAGAATTTGATTGTCTTTCCCCGCAGTGAAACCAAAGCATTCAATTACTGCAGCTGTATCTTCCTCTTGAGGCAGATTTCTGCTGCATTACCATTCATCAACAAAGAAAACTCAGTGTTTTGGTCTCATGTCAGCAATTTTCAAAAGCTATAAAAGAAAAAAATATATAATTTGATAAAAGTGAGCCTTAGGATGCTCCCACTCTGCTAAAATGTCTTTTATTCATATTGTCAGTCACACTTGTCATTTCTCATCACCAATCTCTTCAGATATTCTGCAGGATGTGCAAACATTCAGAGAAACAGCTTCTCAATTTCCTCAATAGAAGCCACAACCATAGACTTCATGCTCCCAATGCATCAGGCGTCTTGGTGGTAAATGTAGTTCCATTAATGCAGTTAATTGAATTGTGTACTACTGTCACTTTTATTTAAACGACTGCTTTTCACAAAGTACGAGGAGCACGGGCCTTTACGCCTCATGGTTTTTGCTTTATTTTACACTAAATAAAACACACTGGAGCAGCATTTTGACAATGCAATACCTCAGTGAAATGTGCCGTTATGAGTTCAAGTTATTAATATTACAATCCTTTTATTCTTTCAAATCTCTAAGATCAAATAATGCTTCATGGAGGTATGCCACTGTGTCAGGCTATTAATGCCTGCTCCAAGAATCCAGGACTAAGCACTGTGCGCAGCAAAATACTCGGCAGTGGACCACTTTAGAACCTTTACTCAGCAGTTAGGGGATGTTGGAGTCCAAATCTTGATGTAATGTAAAATAAGAACTTAAGGGGAAATGGGAAATATTGACCTATATTTAGCCAGGATAGTCCGACTGAGGAGGTGAGCCCAGAGGAAGTGGTGACTACTGTATTTTTTGTTGTCTTCCAATGTGTTTTTAAACTGGAACTTTTTTCCATTGTCCCTTTTTGTATATCACATTGTGCAACACTTTATTGTAATGTGAAGCACTTTGAAATATTTGGTTATAGAATTTATGCCATACAAGATTATTACTCCCTCACACACAAACATGTGGTGTGTTGCTGAACAGAGGCCGACAGCAAGAACAAAAGTGACCAGTCAGTACCCAAAACCTCAATTTAAAACTCCATGTCTTTAATAGAGGGGTCAAATTCAGATTTTACAGTTTGATAAGATATTAAGTGCAATTGAAGAAAGAACTGTGGATCAAAGAAACCCACAAATCACCACATAAACAGCAAAACACAATAAAGGAACAGGTGCCTCAACAGAGACAGATCAGGACAATGCTGCTCTCTAGTGGTGACAGGACACAACAGAAAGTTAGTCTCAATTTTACCAAGACTTGAACCAACTAAAAAACTGATCAGACAAAAATTTACTAGGAAAAGTTTAGGATATTTTAGAGATAGTTTAATAAGGTTTTTTCCACTACACTAAGTTGATTATCTATGAAGAGATCGAGCTGCCAACGAGTTTCTGGGTGAACTTCCCTCTGTCGATGCCTCTATTCTGAAGGACGTGTTGAAAAGTGCAGTTGTCTCTGGTGCAGCCGATCGTCCGCCAGAAAAAGCATTCTTTCTCTACACTGAAAACACAAATGTCTATTATTTTAGTTTCACCAATTCAATTCGCTGTTTTACTTCCGTGAGAATATTTGTACCTGGGAGGAGTGAGGGGATCTGTGACGGCCCGTTTGGAGATCCCCATTACTGGAGGAAGTCTGTTAGGGTAACGCACTGACAGAGGACAGCCCTCCAGCACCAGCCCCTGCAGAATGGGAAATTATTCAATAAAAATCCCAATGAATACCTTTGTAGTAATGGGTTTATATGAATCGCAATAACATTAATATAATACTATATACTGTACAATGACAACTGCTGTCAGTCTGTATATAAGGAAATACTGAAATCATGTGCAATACTGCAACTTCAGAATGTCCACTAAACAATGCCACTTCACTTTCTCTACTTATTATCCTGCCCTATGTACAGTATATAACTCTGCACTATACATATATATTTTTTGAAAGACTGGTGTTGAAGCCTTTACAGCTAGCTAAGAGACATAGCTACTACTTATTTTGTGTGCTCCCTGTGTGCTCCAGTGTGTGCGCTGCAACATTTACCCACTGTGGGATGAATAAAGAATCTCTTATCTTATGTTTGTCAAAGGGATTATCATTGACAAGTCAATAGTCCCTTTACAATTTAATTCACTCTACACATGGTGGTGAGAAGATACCGTATAACCTGACATTATGACATTAACCATTATAACACTAACCAGATGTCGTCAATAAACCTTAAACAAAATTGTATAATCAAACCAACTGACTGTACTTTGCCACTGAGGATATTATGTGAATCCTACGTTTAAAGTTTGAATGGCCCGAGCACAGTCCTCTTGACTGGAGTAGTGCACAAACGCACATTGATGTTCCAGGATCATTTTGATACTGATCACTTTCCCCACTCTAAAACACACACAAAATGAGAGGTTTAGAAAAACATGCAGATAATCACAAAGCAAAGGTTAAATTGTGTCCAAGTAGAATCATCGTATAATGACACAAAGGGCTCAAGGACCACTACGTCACCTGCTGAAAACCTCTTGTAGAGACACATAGCCGACAGACGGAGCCAAAGAACCAACCCAGACTGGAAACACCTCACTGCAGCAACACAAAACAGGAGTATTACCTTTTCATTACAAATATATATATAAAAAAAACCTTAAAAACACACAATAACTAATTTATCAGTTAACCTAGGTCCTCAAAAGTGATTCATCTCAAAAGGTGTGGAAGAAGACGCAATTTTCAGGGGATGAGACAAGATATACACAAAATCAAGAAGATATTGACTCCTTCATTTCCAGGTTTTTTGGCCAAATATGAAGAAAACGCATTCTTCAATTTTGACAATGTCTCATTAAAATTTGATCTTGTTCCAAAATGTTCCGACTTTAAAAAAAATACCATGCAGCATTTCCCATTAATATAGGATACATCAATTAATCAATCAATCCTTTTCCCCTTGATTTTACTTGTCCTTATATGTCAAAATAAATGTGATAGAAATTACACACTCACATATGTCCTTGTCTTTTGGCGACAGTGAGTGGCTGGGCTCTCTCTATAGTCTGTGGTTTATCTTTTGTGGATGATCCAACATTCTCCCACTCCTTCTCGTGACCTGCTCTGGATACATCCGACTCAAAGTAGACATTTTCTAAAAAAGAGGAGAACAGCATTACTAAACATTAGCAGTGTTTGATGCCGTTGTAGGAATAATAATAATCATTATTATCATCATTATTTATAGCACCTTTCATGACACTCAAAAGATGATTCACATGGCATTACTCATTTATTATGTACAGTGGTGGAAAGCTACTCCTACAGCCCCAGCTGCCCTGTGCTGCAATAGAGGCAACTTGTCATTGAATAGTTGCGTAATGGTTGCGTAAATATATAGGTGTGGTCACCTAGGTGGATATGGAATGTATGACGACAAAATAACTTGTGCAGCAAGTTTCCATTCTATTTAGGTAATCTGGAACTTTCCAAATAAAAAACCAAAAAGTGTCTCAAATTACCATCAAATGTCTACAGTAGTCAACCAACATCTTCTAGTACACACAATAATCAAATACAATCCAGTATATGTAGTAATTTTCACCACTTTACCTTCAGAATTAAATTCATGCTGTTCATTAAACAGCGCATCTATGGCTTCTTCTAAAGTGGAATGTTTTTCTAGAGCACTGAGGCTTTGAGTCAACGTGAACCCCATTTCCTGTATGAAGAACACAAGTCAATAACAATATCATGCATAAACAATGAGTGTTCTGGCGAAGCTCAACCTACCATAAGGTGAAGTGACTGAGAGCGTTTCAACTCTGCGGTGGCCTCTTCACTTGTTCTGTCCAGGTTTAACACATCTCTATAGGCCAGCGAAGCCTCGTAGTATTTCTGAAAGGAAACAAAATATACAAATGTGAGATAAGCTAAATTCTTCTGAATCTGCACTGATAATTTTGCTTGCTTTGAGCCTTGGTCAGTAATAGCTTAGATGAAAGAAAACAAAAGCGATAGCTAGTGTTCAGAGCAACAGATGTTTGGGATCTTATATATTAACGTTCAACAGTGTTTCATAGTTTTTATATTTAAATATATATTAAAATGTTTTCAACATTAAATCATACCTTGAGACCACAAAGTGCTTTGCCTTTCCTGAACAAGCCTTTGATCCAGTTTGGCTCCATGGACAGAGCGATCTCAGCATCACTCAGAGCTTCATCAAACTGTTGTATCTTTTCAAAACAGAACGATCGGTTCCCAAATAATCTGGAATAACAGATTTAATACGTTATAATGTGTCAATATGTCCATTATTTAATACATTCATTTGCCGCAGCCATGCCTTTTCTTCCTGGGGTCCAAACAATAATAATAATAATAATAAACATTATGTCTATGCTCTTACTTGTATTCTTGTGGGTTGAGTTTAATAGCCTCAGTAAAGCATTTTATGGCCTCATCATATTGTTCATTTGCAGCCAATCGATTTCCAAAAGCTAAAGACAAACATTGCACAACTTCTGAGTAAATTCATTGTAACTATTAGTTCGAGTAGAAATGGACCCATTTGTTGGTTACCTGCCAACTGTTTACTCCGTATTGTGTATTGGTCAACCACGGGGATCACCTGGTAAATGACATCAACACAAACATTAGGCCTGTGTACAGTTTTTTGACATTAGAAAAAATATTGTTATATTTGTTGCACTTACCTCTTTATGTTCCTCTACTTTTTCATCAACAATTCTGCTTTCCTTAGATTCATTTTTTACATGTACATCCGACACAATTTCGTCTTTATCAGGTTTTTCCGGTTTTAATTCTAAATGTTCCATCCTAGTTTGAATGGCTTGTGTTTTATCTAAATTTTTGGACTTTTTTTTGGACTTTACCGGTATAGTTTCAGTAATACATGCCATATTTTTTTTAAGGAATATATTCTGTGAGAGAAAATAAAATGCAGATTCAAAATCATCAATTATGGATCAATATTGAACAATAAACAGTTATAATCCTCCACAAATTATACTAACCTCTGGACAATTATCTTCTTTCTTATCCAATTGTACAGTAGTTTCTTCTTTTACTATAACTTCATTGTTATAATTATCTCCAGTTAAGTTTTCAGATTTAGAAGACGTTTCTGCGTAGCTTTCACCAACAGACGTTTCTCCATTTACGTCTTCATATTCAGAAGAATCAGACTTCCCTTGTTCTTCTTCCTGAGATGGAGAAAAAGGCATTCAAAGAAGTGATTCCATTGATAAAACAGCAACGTTTTCTTTGGTGACCCAAATATTTGACCTGTAAGAGACCATCCTCCTTCTCTTGACGTTTCCTTTCCTTTTTACGCTGCAAAAAACACATCAGCATTAGTTATGGTTTTAATGGGCTTTTATACTTTAACATCAAGAATATAGTCAGAGTGGTGTCGTCCTTGTCACCAGCACCATGTTCTGTGGCTGTATCATGAAAGCAACCTTCGGTGCAAGTTAACTGTAGATAAACGTTTAAAGATGGCCATGGAAGTCAAAGTAATTCTTACCATTTTTTTGCGCTTATTTTTAATAGATTTACTTTGACGTTTCTTTTCGTCTTCTTGCAAAGATTGTTTAATTTGATCAGCATACTGAAAAACAATAATCATGTGCACAATAGACAAAGAATGAGCAGAAGAAATATAAAGAAAAAGTGCAAACCACATTACCTCGTCATCAAGCTCCTTTAGTTGTGGATGAGGCTTCAGTTTCTGGGGTTGATTATATTTATAATTATACTCCTCTTCTTCATCAGAGTACCTCTGATCATAGTCAGATTTTCTCATTAAATCTAGTGGATAAAATATAATTAAGAGCCAAAACATCACAATAATAGGGTTAAGGAGGGTTGAAGTTTCTCCCCTCGGGGCGATGACCAATCAATCTGATCCAACAAACACTCCCAAATATCTTCTTGTCGTAAAACAGAGCCGTCTTGTAAATCATCAAGACAGTTGTATCCCCATCCCCCATTCTCACTACGCTTAAACCATATGCTGTAGTAATTTTTGCCATTACACAAAGAAGTATTTAACATACCTGACATAAACAGATGATTTCCCCTTAAATCAAAGCTTACTTTTAATAAAATGAGTCCAATTTTGAATTTTACGTTTTTTTTATACCAACTACAGATCAACTTTGTATACAAATAGTTGAAACTTTTTTTTTTCTAACTACATCGAATTGGCTGATAGGACATGATTTAGATGATAAAAGATTCAATGACACACTTGATTACAGTATCGTTGCATCATTATCATTTGATTCAACTCAAATAATTTCTTACCAACTAGGCCAAAATCCAATATATCAAAAAGAGAACTGCCCGTCATAAGATCCACCATTGTTTCCTGTGAAACATAAAAGATCATATTAATAGATTATATTAGATACTAGAAACTTGCAATGGCTGAAGCCATTGCGATTGACTGCGGAACAGATCTAATGTGGAAATCTGCTAAAAAAAATCCTTGAAATCCTTTAAAAAGCCTTGAAACTGTTAAAATACTTGATAGATATTTGAAACTCCTGAAGTCCTTGAAATTGTTGAAACCTTTAAACTCCTGAAATCCTTGAAACTGTTGAAACATTGAAACTCCTGAAATCCTTGAAACTTTTTTAAACCTGGAAACTGTTGAAAGTGTGGAAACTCCTGAAATCCTTGAACCTCCTGATATCCTTGAAACTGGTTAAATTCTTAAACAGCTGAAATCCTTGAAACTACTGAATGTATTGAAAGTGTCCTTGAAACTGAAAAATCCCCTCACCGCTGAAACAATTTGGTTCCTGTAACTAAGGAAACCTGGTCTGTGGTCATTATCTGGTGGTGGTCTGAGTCTTCGTTTGGGTCTTGGTCTGGTGGTATAATGCAACCTATTAGGTTGCATTATACATGAAAAAACCCTATTAAGTTGCATTATACTGGTTTACATGGAAAAACCCCTATTAAGTTCCATTATACTGGTTTACATGTAAAAACCCTATTAAGTTGCATTATACTGGTTTACATGGAAAAATCCCTATTAAGTTGCATTATACTGGTTTACATGGAAAAATCTCTATTAAGTTGCATTATACTGGTTTACATGGAAAAATCCCTATTAGGTTGCATTATACTGGTTTACATGTACAAATCCCTATTAAGTTGCTTTATACTGGTTTACATGTAAAAACCCCTATTAGGTTACATTATAGTGGTTTACATGTAAAAATCCTTATTAAGTTGCATTATACTGGTTTACATGTAAAAACCCCTATTAAGTTCCATTATACTGGTTTACATGTAAAAACCCCTATTAAGTTCCATTATACTGGTTTACATGTAAAAACCCTATTAAGTTGCATTATACTGGTTTACATGGAAAAATCCCTATTAAGTTGCATAATACTGGTTTACATGGAAAAATCCCCATTAAGTTGCATTATACTGGTTTACATGAAAAAAACCCTATTAAGTTGCATTATACTGGTTTACAAGGAAAAATCCCTATTAAGTTGCATTATACTGGTTTACATGGAAAAATCCCTATTAAGTTGCATAATACTGGTTTACATGGAAAAATCCCCATTAAGTTGCATTATACTGGTTTACATGTAAAAAACCCTATTAAGTTGCATTATACTGGTTTACATGGAAAAATCCCTATTAAGTTGCATTGTACTGGTTTACATGGAAAAAACCCTATTAAGTTGCATTATACTGGTTTACATGGAAAAAACCCTATTAAGTTGCATTATACTGGTTTACATGTAAAAACCCCTATTAAGTTCCATTATACTGGTTTACATGTAAAAACCCTATTAAGTTGCATTATACTGGTTTACATGGAAAAATCCCTATTAAGTTGCATAATACTGGTTTACATGGAAAAATCCCCATTAAGTTGCATTATACTGGTTTACATGAAAAAAACCCTATTAAGTTGCATTATACTGGTTTACAAGGAAAAATCCCTATTAAGTTGCATTATACTGGTTTACATGGAAAAATCCCTATTAAGTTGCATAATACTGGTTTACATGGAAAAATCCCCATTAAGTTGCATTATACTGGTTTACATGTAAAAAACCCTATTAAGTTGCATTATACTGGTTTACATGGAAAAATCCCTATTAAGTTGCATTGTACTGGTTTACATGGAAAAAACCCTATTAAGTTGCATTATACTGGTTTACATGGAAAAAACCCTATTAAGTTGCATTATACTGGTTTACATGGAAAAAACCCTATTAAGTTGCATTATACTGGTTTACATGTAAAAACCCCTATTAAGTTGCATTATACTGGTTTACATGGAAAAATCCCCATTAAGTTGCATTATACTGGTTTACATGAAAAAAAACCCTATTAAGTTGCATTATACTGGTTTACATGAAAAAACCCTATTAAGTTGCATTATACTGGTTTACATGGAAAAATCCCTATTAAGTTGCATAATACTGGTTTACATGGAAAAATCCCCATTAAGTTGCATTATACTGGTTTACATGTAAAAAACCCTATTAAGTTGCATTATACTGGTTTACATGGAAAAATCCCTATTAAGTTGCATTGTACTGGTTTACATGGAAAAAACCCTATTAAGTTGCATTATACTGGTTTACATGGAAAAAACCCTATTAAGTTGCATTATACTGGTTTACATGGAAAAAACCCTATTAAGTTGCATTATACTGGTTTACATGGAAAAATCCCTATTAAGTTGCATTGTACTGGTTTACATGGAAAAAACCCTATTAAGTTGCATTATACTGGTTTACATGGAAAAAACCCTATTAAGTTGCATTATACTGGTTTACATGGAAAAAACCCTATTAAGTTGCATTATACTGGTTTACATGTAAAAACCCCTATTAAGTTGCATTGTACTGGTTTACATGGAAAAAACCCTATTAAGTTGCATTATACTGGTTTACATGGAAAAAACCCTATTAAGTTGCATTATACTGGTTTACATGGAAAAAACCCTATTAAGTTGCATTATACTGGTTTACATGGAAAAATCCCTATTAAGTTGCATTGTACTGGTTTACATGGAAAAAACCCTATTAAGTTGCATTATACTGGTTTACATGGAAAAAACCCTATTAAGTTGCATTATACTGGTTTACATGGAAAAAACCCTATTAAGTTGCATTATACTGGTTTACATGTAAAAACCCCTATTAAGTTGCATTATACTGGTTTACATGGAAAAATCCCCATTAAGTTGCATTATACTGGTTTACATGAAAAAAAACCCTATTAAGTTGCATTATACTGGTTTACATGAAAAAACCCTATTAAGTTGCATTATACTGGTTTACATGGAAAAATCCCTATTAAGTTGCATAATACTGGTTTACATGGAAAAATCCCCATTAAGTTGCATTATACTGGTTTACATGTAAAAAACCCTATTAAGTTGCATTATACTGGTTTACATGGAAAAATCCCTATTAAGTTGCATTGTACTGGTTTACATGGAAAAAACCCTATTAAGTTGCATTATACTGGTTTACATGGAAAAAACCCTATTAAGTTGCATTATACTGGTTTACATGGAAAAAACCCTATTAAGTTGCATTATACTGGTTTACATGTAAAAACCCCTATTAAGTTGCATTATACTGGTTTACATGGAAAAATCCCCATTAAGTTGCATTGTACTGGTTTACATGAAAAAAACCCTATTAAGTTGCATTATACTGGTTTACATGAAAAAACCCTATTAAGTTGCATTATACTGGTTTACATGGAAAAATCCCTATTAAGTTGCATTATACTGGTTTACATGGAAAAATCCCTATTAAGTTGCATTATACTGGTTTACATGGAAAAATCCCTATTAGGTTGCATGATTACACTGAAGTCCTTGAAACTGCTGAAGTCCTTGAAACTGCTGAAGTCCTTGAAACTGTTGAAGTCCTTGAAACTCTTGAAATCTTGAAACTGCTGAAATCCTTGAAACTGTTGAATCCTTGAAACTGTTGAATCATTGAAACTGTAGAAATGTCTGAAAGAGCTGAAGTCCTATTAAAATGCATGGGCCTATTAAAATGCATTGCAGAATTCTCAATGCAGATTTTTGTCCAATTGCGGAAAAACCGGAAATCGCTGAAGTCCCAAAAGTAATAGCAATAATCTCCCAAACATGTGGAACGTTTTGATGTATAACTTGTGGAAATTGTTGAAAATGTGAAAGCTGTGAAACGTGTCAAAAAAAATGACGGAATAAAGAAATACAAAACCAATGGTTGACTGCGGAAGGTTCCGCAGTCAATCAATTATGATCTGAATAGAGAACTTCTGGCTCTAAAAATCTTATGTTATCTGAGAACATGAACGCGATGAATCATACACTTACTTGGGCTCTTATCACCGTGGTATTGGTTATTCGTAACCTCTGCTGCCGATTTGTCACTGTATAACGATATCGTATGTTAGCCATAGTATAACAATGTAAACATGTGAGGTTTAGGCACACGGAGACAAAGTCGCTAGCTGCGCTGTTACTTCCAGATAATAGCTAGCTGCCAACTCACTCATGGCGTACAAATAAGACAGTTCCGGGGACGTATTTTCTTACCTGTAACAAAACCCCTTCTTCTCGGCATTGTATCAACACCTGTAGAGTATTATGTATGTCTGTGATCTGATAGTTTGATCTATTGTTTATGAAATGCCACGTGAACTCCGAACTCAGAACCTGTGCCCCTATGCCCCAGCGTTACCGCCTCCAAAAGATAACACGGGTTTTGATTGGTCCCTGACTATGGTATTTAGAAAGCTGACACAAAACTGAGAAAAAAATATATATATATTTAAATTATTTTATTTTCTCTTCTGTATGAATATTAATACATAATATTGTATAGCTGAAATAATTTAAACCAGTAAGAACAAAAACAACGTAATAATACAATGGAAAAAAGTCACGTGACCTAACAACGCTCCATGGAAACAGGGCGGAAGCGCGGCTGTTGTGGCGGAATAACAACAACATGGAGCCTTTACAGGTAATTTTCGGAATTTCTCTGCGATGTTTGCGTGATAAAGTTTGTTTTAGAAAGTAACATTTGTGGTTGTCTAATATGCGTAACCATAGTCGAATCTTTAGCGAATCTTAGCCCTGCTCTACAGACGCAAGCTCGCATCAAGCTAATGTGTGCTAGCTATGCATGGTTAGTTTAGTTTTACATAATTTTAGTTCGTTAAGCTAACTCGATTAAAATCAAAGGGAAACCTGCTTATAAAGAACTTACTTTTCTCGTATGTATGATTTTTTTTCTTTGGCTCAGGGCTTTCTGACCTATAAGTCATTTAGAGAATGCTTTCTAACCTGTTGCGTCTCATCTGATATAAGCTATGTCTCTATGAAGTAGGACTAGCTTTGCTTAGTTATCTTTAGTTGTTGAAACTTAGTGCAAAGTGTGTAAGTTAACTATAGTTGTTGCAATCATAGCTTAAATTGTGTGTTTTTGGTGCTCAGAGGGTGACTTCTGATCAAGACTCAAGGCTGCAGGACCAGAGAACACAGAGCGTAACAGACAGCAAGTTTCTACAGAACTCTTCACAGTTTGGTAGCTACTGCATGTTCCCGTTGTTTGACTCAAATTATCACACTGTTGTTATTTTTTTTTTAATGCACGTTAATGGTTTTTATTTACTTATAGCTCTTCAGGATAGTAATCTGTCTCCTGCTCTATCATTACTACCATCAGAGTCTGGACTAGACCACAACATAGACTTTTCTTTGTTTCAACGAAGTGACAGAGAATTTGCCCCTTTAAGGTACTTTCAATTCCTCTTTTAACTTGTTCTAGTATGTTATTGCATTCACTTCTAAGAACAACAAAAAACGTTTATTAATGCACAGCTTTCTTTTCTTATGTTTCATTATAGTGCATGTCTGGACATATCAGTTGCATCTGAGACGTTTCAAATTCCACCTCATGAGGTTACTGCTCAAATATTGGATCAGGCATCTTTAAGTCAACACCCCTTGGCTCCTGATACAACAGTTCTTTCTGGAGAAGCCGGAAGTAGCTGCTGTGCCCTTTCTCAGCACAGTTTATCTCCAGATGTTAACAAAATAAGGGATGAAAGTGTGCATTTAGCTCCTATAACAGAGGAAGAACAGAGCCTTGTATCCAAAGTTATTTTTGGCAGAAACTTGGAAAAAGTAGAAGACACATATTTTCTGAACAAGAATATTGCAGCGCAACAACTCATGCAGACCCTTCAGAAAGATGTCGGTGTACCCAGCAGCAGCAGTTGTAGTTCTCATTCTTCTTTAAAAAAATCGACAGAGACAACAGAGCCTGAAAGTACAGACAAACTTAATCATAACCTCATTCGAGAAGGACCGCCTGGTGAAGCCACTGTCTCCCAGAACCTGCCAAAACCAAGCAGAAATTCATATATAAAGGATTTAAAAATAAATGTATCTGAAGATTCTAATGTATCTTTTGGATCTCGCTGCACTAAACCAGATGATGTTAGTGAAGATTTACGCCAAGAGTTGTTGGACATTCAGAGGAGAAACAGTAGAGAATCTGAACAAGACCATAGGGATGCTATAGTGCAAAAGGAGTATGCCACACCTTTTCCAACTAGAATCCCTCAACTTAGAAATTTAGTGAAAGCTAATTTCAGCGGTGCATTATCCACTGGATCATTGTCCATCTCCACTGGAATTCCACAAAGAATCAATGAACTAAGAGAACTTGATATTGCATCTTCAGGAAATCAAAGTGGCATTGATGGCTCATATCTTGGCCTCTTGCCACAGTCACAGTCCACTCCTGGTGTTTTTAAGGCTCCTTCTAAATCTAATGTCAAATCAAAATTTCAACAACTTTCAGACATTGAATCCAACAAGGAAAGCTCTATTCAAGCCAGTACAGAAACATTCCCTCCTTCCAACTCTGCACCAAAAATGGAAACAAAAAGTGACCAAGAACCAACTCGTGATAAAGTCCAGTCATTACCAAGTCTCAACTACATGCAGAAAGTCGATGCTTGGAGAGCCAATCAAAGCTCAGGCAATTCATCTCTGTCTGATTCTTTGGCACTACATGGGTTCACAGGTGTTTCTCCAAAAAAGAATGCTTACGATGCAGTTTCGGACAGCTTGAATCGCATTCTTAGTCAGCAAGTTGGTAAAATTAGTCAAAATGATGTGAAAAATCCCCCTGCAGATTTTTCGGCCGTATCTTCTCCCCGAAGAGAGGAAGCAGTGGGCAGCGCTCCCAGTGAGAACATGGCAACAACACAAGCTTCTCCATTTAATAGGTCCCAATCCCATTCATCTCTCAGCACAGTAGTTATGTCTGTCAAAAAGGAGAAAACTTCAGAGCAGCACAAAGACAAAATTGATACAGAGGAACTGGTAATCCAGCAGGGCGACTTGTCACCTGTAGTGATTAGTCTGGGGCAATTTAGTGACGTGACGCTTTCAAATTCTCAGGACAGTTCAAATTCTGGTAATAAAGTTGCCACTTCTATCGGGACATCATCTATCAGCCTGGAAGTGGATAACTATGACCCATATTGGACTGGAAAAGCCTCCACACCACCTCCTCAACACAAGCCTCGAGAGTTAAATATTGAAGAGAGAATCCCGGTAACTAGGCAGTTTCTTTTATCGTGTTGAAATGTATCACTCATTTATATATGATTCTACTTATTTTTGTTGTTGTTTTTTATAGTTGTATCTTCAAAATTTGGGCATCAATCAGTCTCCTTCAACCATCCTGACACCATTTGCCCCACGGGGACCAATCAGAGAGCCAGAGTTTTCTCCCACAGAGCTTGGTACAATTAAAGGATCTACTCCCACCAAAAGTATCCAGCCTTCTGAAGGTATATAAACAACTTATTTTGTTCTTTTTAGTTAAAATAATTCCAGATCAACTTATGTAGCACAATCACATCAACACCAACTGCTTTAGAGCAGATGGATTGCCTGCGTCACAGAGGCAGTTTTCTTGTATACAGTTCAATATGAATTAATTTAGAATATATTCTGTGTGGTTAGAACAATGACTGAGTTGTAAAAGGACATTTACTGGTAGAAATGTCTTGAGATCCCAGCGTTCCAATATTTACAGTTAGGAATGACTAAAGTCTAGAAAAACCCACTCACCACACGCAATGGCGTTAAACATTATGCAAATGCACACAGTGAGAAAATACAATATTATACATTATTATACATTTGCAAAGGTTGGTGTAGAGATTAATTTTACTTTTTTGCAGATGGAACTCCTCATAAGGCTGAGTTCTCCAGGTCCAGTCTTCAATCAGTAAACTCCAGTGTGTCTGTTGCCCTAAGCACAAAAGTTATTGTACAAGATCTTTTCAGACCGACTTCCCCTTCCTCCTCAGAAGAAGAATCTTCAGCAGTTCAGCTTAAACTTCCCTCCCATACCAACGAAGACTCCTCCAGCCAACAGAAAACTGACAGCATTCAAAATCCAGAGGCAGACAATAACTTACTTCAACAAGGGTCAAGTGCAGAGCAAATCGCAGAGATTTCTTTTGTTAGCTCCGGCGCCTTTTCAGATATACGCAAACTTCTCAACCAAGCCAATGATATTATGTCTCCCAGGATATCAACTGCATCTGAGACATTTCAACCACAAACAAAGGAGGCTCCACTTACTTCTGCATTCACTGCAGAAGAATCCAATTCTCAAAACTCCCATCTCTGGACCAGATCCTCATCAGACTCTGTGTTGACGACGAGGGAAAGACTGACCGGTGGAGAAATAGTCCAACCTGCCAGACAAAGCGGTGTAGTGAGCCGAAGCGCAGGTTTGTCTTTAGTTCTCAACAAGTCAGTCCAAAGATCTGAACCAGAGGGGTGCAGCGCCGCCCCACCTGATCAAGTCCAAGTCCAACTGTCTCCCCTCGCTGCTGCCATAGAAACGACTGTGCCAGAGGAGAGTAAGGAGGCAGTGCTAGAAACATCAAAGGTAAGAATTTTATTGTACATTTTAGTGATACTGTTTGTTGAAAAAGTACTCTACTTCAATTCTAATGAATAACATTTTTTACAAAACTAGTTGCACTTTTTATGACTCCACACATTCTTGTTTCAGTTAAATACAACATTTAAAGCAGGGATTTGGTGATATATTATACCAATGTGGTCATGAAAAAAAGGATTCAAACCTTCAAAAAGAAGAAACTTGGGGCGCTCACTAGTTTCGAATTTTGATTAAATATTTAATTTGATCACTGTGTTGTATCTTCTTATCAGCATTTCCCTCACAAACCAGTGTATAGTGTTGGAGAAGGAATGCACTCTGAGTTATGTATTAAAGAAAGAGTTTAATGGCATAAATTCATTATGTATTTAAATGTTCATGTTGATTACGACCTTTCCAACCATGTGTAAAAGTGAAATGTGTTGGTCTGTCTAACCCCAGGACAGTCCTGTACAGAGCAGCATCTCCTCCCCCGCCCCCCTGGAGTCTCTAAGTGACAGCAGCAGTCAGAGCTCTCTGGCGATTCGAGTGGCCAAGTTACTCCAAACTGAGTCTCCGGCTACAATGGTTTCTAGTACCAACAGTGTGGACCAGGAAGAGGGTAGAGCCAGAGGTGAGAAAATAGGTTAGCTATCTAGTCTTATCTAGTGGTACCTAAATAGTTGTATTAAGACGCATTGTATCTTATCTGAGTCTTGTTATTAAGATACATTCTCTGGACTTTCAATTAGTATCATATTTGTTTTTGAATGAAATAAAAGTGGAACAAGGTCACTCCCTTTGCTATCATGAGTTTAATCATCTGAGATGTGATTTTATTTTTTATTTTTTATGTATGTACATGTATGTATGTTTTCCAGAGTGGATCAAGCTGATGATTTCGGGTCAGAAATGTGAACCTCTGGAGTTGGACCAAGAAGACAGAAGAAGAATTGAAGAAATCAAGAGTGAACTGTTACTGAAAAATCCCAAACTGGTACAAACAAAAAGTCTTACAGCTATTTGTAACTCACATTTTACGTTTCATTTACCATGATTCATTCTGATCATTTTTTTAAAATTCCCTTTAAGTTTGGACAATACAGGTGCCTTGTCAAAGGTAACGGCGTGATCATTGTTTTATCCGATTGAAAAGCATTTTGCTGTGTTTGGTTGCTGTGACTGCTTTGGGGTTGTGATTATTATAGACAGTAAAATCCGGAACAACTTAGGACGTGTGAGAAGCTGTAGCTTTCTATGAACTCCCAGAGAGAAAATGACAAAAATCTATCGAAATGTAATGTGTCATTTTACACATTGACATAATTTGTTACAGTTTTTAAGGCTCTGCTATGTAAGTGTTTGACGGCTTACAAGTCTACTATTGCTTCCCAAGAACATGTTACACGTTTTGACCTACTAATATTGCTGATTAGGTGCAGCTACTTAACTATTAAAAACATTATGGTCAAACAAAAACGTACAGTAAATCAAGTTTGCATCGTGGTTCTGTTCATAACTTTAAATGTGGATATTGTTTTATTCTACGCTGATTCCCCTTTATTTTCCTTTCTAGGGCTATGCCAGCACAGACACAGAAAGCAGCGCTGCATCAAGTCTTCGAGACCCAAAAGGACCAATTTCACTTCATCAAATAGATGCTCACAAGTCCAAAATCCCAGAAATGCCGCCTGACCAGCCAAAGAGCCTTAGTCGAGCAGACGACATAATTGAGAGCAAAGTGAGGGAAATCGCAGAAAGAGAAGGAATAAATCTTCCAAAACCATTGACCTCAATCACAATTTCAACTTCTCGACGGTCTAACTCTCCTCCGTGTGTTTCTCCTGCTCCTTCAAAAAGCCCCAACTCCGAACCAATGCACGTGAACCAGCTAACAGAAGACAACAGCCAACTGGTTAGAGCCTCTTTGGATAAAAACATTAAATGTCAAAGAATGGATGAAATGGCAGCAGAAAGTCAGAAGCTATCTGTAAGACAAGAAACTGTAGGTGGACATCTTGATTTTGTACCTGTACCTGAGCAAGATAAAATGAATAAAGACAATAGAAAGTTATTAAAAAAACCGGAAACCATGGATTCTTCTCAGGCTGAACACGTTGCTGTGAAATCTGGTCACGTCTCGCAGGTCCGCCTCCTCCTCTCGCCCAAACCCATGGATCATAGCTCTTCAGCCTTCACTCGGGATGTCAGTTTGCCCCAAAGACATTTTGTCCCGCTCAGACACTCCCCTTCCACCCCCAGCAGCCCAGACGAAGGAGTGGGTCTGTCCAGTCCGCCCGAATGGCAGGAGGTTCCCAAAAGAGGAGAACGATTCGAGTCCAACAGGAGGTTCATGCATCAGCTCGGTGTCACGTCTGCCATTCGCACGTCGCCACAGACTGTGGATGCAGCCATTGGTATGTTTATTGTTTACGACTTTTTACATAAGTGGAATGATTGAAGGTGTTTGCTTTGTTTACATGGATGAATGCAGATGTTTTGATAAGTTGACGTAATATTTGTTATAAGTCATGTTTAAGTTTGTCCCAAGATGGTAATCAAAAACAAAATGCATTACATGTGACAATTCTGAATCTGTCTATAGCTTTTGAAACGGAGCCTGTAGGATGTACTTGTACAACTAGGAAGGTAAAAAGTGCATTCATATTAAAACTACCTTAACTGCCATGGTCCCCAGGTTTCTGCAATATTAAATTATATGAAGAATCTCAAAGTGATGAACAAAACAAGAAATTAAACATTAAAATCATAAATATTTACAGTACATACTATGGCTATCAAGGTGGGAAATGTTAAATATGTATCAAATTAATGCAAAAAAAAGTGTAGGGTTAGGGTTAGCAAAATGAGTGTGAATTTGGTCAGATAGGAGAATAGAGTTTTATATTTGATAATAAGATTACTTAAAGTATTCTTAAAGTAATATTTACTTTAACCAGAAACAAACATTTTCAAATTTTATTCCGTCTGTTTGTTTCAGTGCCTCATCTCTTGCCTTACAAACCTAATGGCAGCGAGGAGCTCTTCTATGTTCCACAAACAGAAGCCGATTCCTCCAATGACACGACCATGGAGAGCACTCATACCGGTAAGTTTGGGCCATTTTATTCTGGCTTCAGAGAAATTAGTGCACTATGGTTTTTATATTGTTCAATTAAGAGTTTATTATTGAAATATAGAGATCTCAATGGATTTCCTTTAGCAAACATCAAGAAACTACTAAAAGTAAAAATAAATCTATTCAAAATTTATAAAAACAATAACAAATTGGATTTCTTAAAAAGTAGTGGCTTGTAAGCAGGCAGGTCTGGTTTGTCAGTGGTTGGTCGTGGAGCAGCTGGTCTTTTGTAACCTACACCAGGGAAATCATTAATTATTCATGTTCGGGGCCGACGCAGACAAAAGCAGCCGTGTGGCCCCTGCACCAAGCAAAGGGAAACTGCTTCTTCACATATATATATTTTTTCTCTATTTAAAATTACGCCTTAAAAGATCGGACAATTGTTTTTCATTTTGAAACGTCAGTGCTGTTATTATGCCCAGGCTCGGACGACGCTCTGCCCCCGCGCTTCAGCAATGATGTACTGGGACATCAGGACCGGGGTCTGGACCGAGGAGTGACGCTCCGGCACTCAGAGGGCATCTACAGCAAGAGACTCCACAAGGCAGGCGTCAGCATGAGCCAGCAGCAGCAGCGAGGTGAGAAAACCCAACCAAGGGAAAGCCCATGGTTCTGTTTCAGCTTATAGTGTTTGAGTCCTTATTCAACACACATCCATTAAACTTGTTTATTTTAAACTATAAAAGTAGAAGGTTTTCTATAAATGTATAGACTTGTTCCTAGTTCCAACAAACTCTTTGAGGATTTTTTGTTGTTTTTATATTACATTGATATTTTTCCCACCAGCAGTTGACTAGCAGAATGACTTGACCATATGTGAAAAAATGTGTGTTCAGTAACACAAAAATTGATTACATTATAGATTTTTGCTTTGTTTTTACGTTTTCACCAGATGCAGTGAACTACCCCTTACCCCTCGGGCTTCAGCTTCCACAGCCCTCCTCCCCAGCCTTGACCCGAAAGCTTTCACCCGACACAGAGCTCCCCACAGCTTCTCGGAGAGATCAGGGCACCAGTCCCTTATCATTCCTCATCCACCAATTTCCAAAGACACAAGACTCACACAAACATCATCACCCAGACCCAATCCGAAACCAGCCTCCCTCCAGCTCAAAGCGAAACATCAGCGACTTGGACCAACTGTGGGAAAGGTTCAGTGAACGCTGGAGGAGAGAAGAGGAGTCTCGTCCCGTTAGAGAAAGTGAAGTTTCACTGTTGGAACGACTGGAGCGGCTTTCCCAAGTCATTCACGGCACACGGGATAGTTCTAATTCACACTTGGACTTGTCTAATCAAGATATTTCACTCACATCTATCAATACTGGTTTGAGGGAGCTGAAAAGGCAGAAACACAGGGGTAGGAGTCATGTAAGTTTTCACGATCAGAGAGATGACACGGGGTCTGGATACGGGCCGGATTTGGAGCTTTCCAGTCCAGCAGAACGGGATGTTTCTGTGGTTTCTGTGTCCTCCACATCTGTGTCCACTGTGGATACGGCGCGACTGATCCGAGCGTTCGGCCCAGAGCGAATCCAGAGGAACCTGAGGAGCAGCTCCAGCCTGAGTAAACTCTACTCTGCCATCAGTAAACAGAAGGAGCAGGAGCAGCAGAACACAGCCACAACAGAGACCAGCACCGAGGACTCCTCTGTAAGTGGGATACACATAATATGGTCATGAAGCTTTTTAACAGAGTTAAATTCTTTGAGACACAGCATCCATGGCTATTTTGTACTATTATCGGCATGTTGTCTGGTCATGATAAGTAATTTTCAGGGTAATATAAAGCAATTATCATATCAAACACTGTACACATCTGAACTTCATAGTATTGTTGTTTTAATGAATCTAACTTAAAAGTCAGTTAATTATGAATTAGACACCGAAACACAAAGACAAACTAAGACTAAATGAAAATAAACCTAAATGTACATATTGTTTACAGGTGGTTGGTTCTGCATCGTCAAACAGCTCTTATAAACTTCCCCCTCATCGCGGTCCCTCCAAATCTCTGGTATCAAGGAAAGCTGTGAAGCTGGTGTCTAAAGGCATTCAAGCAGGTGAGATCTCAAGCTGCAAAATAATACATCTTTAAATACAATACATGATTTGGTCTGAGGTCTATGCGTGTGACTCTTGATGTAAATATACATTTCACTTGCGTACTATGATGCGTACTATGATGCGTACTATGATGTTTATCTTTTGCAATTGGAATAATATTTAGTATTTTTTCCTGATCCATAAACACTTGTTTATAGATGTCCTCCTCACCGCTGTACTGATGCAGACACTTTAAAATACTGTTTCTGTAGGGGATTTGGAGATTGTCAGTAACGGGACACGGCGTCACACTCGAGACGTTGGGACCACGTTTCCTTCTCCTGGTGACGTCAGAGGTCTCCGCGGTCTGGACCGCAGGAGCGCCTCATCCAAGAAACATGAGAGCCAGAGCAGCCCCTCAAAGCCATATCCACACGGTGAGATCAAATATAGAGATGTTACTGCACATATTCTGAACTAGATACACATACTGTGTTATTTAGGAACAACGCTACTTTAAAATATTTATTTTCTGTTTATTGGAATCATATTCTTTATTTGATGATTGTAGGTGTTTCCTGGTTCATTTCTGCCGATGAACTGAAAGCAGAAGCACGAAAAGAGAACGAGCCGGAGGACTGGAGGCCGAGCACAGTGTGGTTTGAGCTTCTGAGCCGAAAACCAGTTTGGAGAGAGCCGCTGCGGCAGAGACCAGTGGAGGAGCAGAGAAACACACTGCAAACTGAGAATGAGCCTCGTCTGAAAGGAAAGACCTCCTCTGCAGTGTCCAGAGCCAACCTGCAGGTCTGTGACACCTCTGGCCTCAGACAGAGTAGTGTTGTGGCAGGAGCTGGCAAAATAACAGGGAGCCAGAAAAGACTGAAGCTATAGAAATACATTTTTCAAGTTGGCCTCGAAACAAAAGAATAAAAGCCAGATGGATAGATGCGTAGAATCGTACACGAGTAATATCACAAGTATTACCTCTGAAACAGATAGTTGTGTAAACGTAAGACTGTATTGATTAAAAACCATCTCCGCCACTTACTGTACTTCCTGTTTCTCGGACCTGACAGCGTTTCTGCGATGCCTTCTAGTGGCTGGAGTGAAATTTAACTGACACTGTTGGTGCCACCCAGTGTCTCGTGTTTTGTGCCTATAATATACATAATGCATGATTTTAAATAAGAAATATTTCCAGTAAAATGCATTAAACAAATTCTACAGAGCTGTAACATTATAGATTGTGACTCCCATAATTATGCTTCTCTGTGTCACACTTTAAAGACAGTTTTGTAACTTTGGTTTGTTCCTTTCTGTTTTAGGACGCGTTGTTGTCTGGGCGACCTGACTTTGTGGCACGGTCTCGACAGCGGCTGGAGAGACTCGCACTTCAGGCTGAGGAGCGGCGACTTCAGGCCCTTTTCCAACAGGAGAGAGACGAGCTGTTTATCCAGGCCGGGGGAGCGCGGAGGCTGCCCAGACCTGCAGGTAACTGATGCTGCTCACCAGGAACACCGCTTTCTATTGTTTTACTTTAGGACAAACATTCACTTTCTATTTCGTAGGCATTGCACAGCTGAGAAGAGCTGTCCCCAGGAAAGAGATGTTCCAGAGGTCAAAGCAGTAAGTACTAGTTACCCCTGTGTACATTGGGTAGTAGCGGGAACGGGATAACCTCTTTAGATAAAGATGCAGTCAGTGATTATTTCCAGACGCATTTTTTTTAAATATTGTAGCAAAAATGTCCCTAAACCCTAAAAGTAGTTATCATGTGTTTTTCAAATAGTAATGGAATTGACCAGATGCCTATAGTCTCCAAAAATGTATACATTTTTTTTGGAGCAGACTGATGAAAATAAACCAATGGGATTCGTTCATCCCCAACGAACCAATGGGAATGCGTTTACCCTCCTTCACCCTCTTCCTATTACTCGCGACTGCGCACACCTGAGTTATCAGATTTTCTAAAACCTAAAAGGGCTGAACAGAAAATGCCAATTTCATGTTGACCACCCACTCTCCCTGTTGTGACAAAGAAAAGAAAATGCTGGATGTTTGGTTTGGTGGAGAGGCGAGGGGAGGGGGGAGGGGTTTCGAGTTGGAGCTACAAAATCTAGCTAACAAAATTGCTTACTGCATCTTTAAGTAATAAGTTAGTAATAAGAAGAACTTTCCCACTCTGAATTTGATTTTGAAGGTGAAATATTCGTCAGTTTAGTGTAGTTGTTGGTATATTGGATAATGGGGAATAAGGATAATATTAAAACGATACATTTGTGTTTGAAGGATTTATGAGAACCTGCCGGAGGTGCGGAGGAGGAGGGAGGAGCAGCGGCGGAAAGCGGAGTACAGCTCGTATCGACTAAACGCACAGCTCTACAATAAGGTAAAGCACAGGAACGACCACTCCAATGACTGTTTTTATGCAAGAATCAGACGCTGTCTCCTGCGGTTTCATCTTTGTATGATGTATTTCACAGACCATGATATCACAAAGAGATTTACATTTTTCTTTTCACTCCACACATGGCAACGGCAGATCCAAGTGCAAGTATTATTTTTTTTGATGATTGTTTTCTTTTCAGAGAATCACAAACCACGTCCTGAGCAGAAGATCCGCCTGGAGCTGATGTGGATTTGAATTAAAATCATTGGGGAAGAAACCAGAGACTACCTGAATTACCTGAACTGTTTCATTTCATATTTATGTGGCCTAATTTTAAAGATTATGAATTTAATAGATTTTAGCATTTTCACTTTTTTAACAAAACTTTGTTTGTGATACAATTTCAAAAATGCTTTGTATTAAAATAAGTTTAACATCATAGTTTCATTCTTTATAGTTTTTAAACTATACTCAAATGTAATAGTATGTGTGAATATGTCAAAAATGACTAGTTATTACATTGTTTTAAAACAAGAATTAAATACGGGCATTATATGAAGCTACCCAAAGGCAATCTCTCACATGGAGAGAAATCTATTGGACAGAATTTTCATTTTAATTACATCTACATCTTCATACAAGCAGATTATCCAATCAGAGAATCTCATTTGGGTTGCCAGTTTGACTGGATTATTTTTAAAAGTAAACAAAAATTTTATTGGATAAAAGCTGTTACAAAAATAAGTATTTATACATAACACAGTGTTTATCACAAACTCAGCAGGAGATTGAATAATTGCTCGCAGGAGATTGCTCGTAATCAGTGCTTACGCGCTACATGAGTCACAGGCAGGAGGATCCTGGCAACAGAAGTGTGATACTTCATTGGCCCACTAGGGTATATTGCAATAACAACACAGATGAGGGTTTTAAAGGTATTTAATGTTGTGGGGAAAGATCTGAAGCCACAGAAGCTGGACGAGCTTTAGCCACAAAGAAATGTTTCCTTCTGCAATCGTCACTCGTGGCAACCACTAACATAATGTAAACTTAAACATATTTCTAAAAATCTCATACACTTTGATGAAACAACGGTAACAAATTCTTTGGCAAATGAGGTTTAAATTATTGAACTGAAAGACACAAATGGAAAAAATCCACAAACCCATGGATAACTTCAGGTAATCTAATTTCACCTTTTCCTTTTTAGTTTATATCTCACATGATGTTTTATTTTTCATAACTTCATACACATTCAAACTTGATTTAATAACAAAGGCTGAATTAATAAACCGTGATAAAAGCAATAAGAGCGTAGTACCCTGATGGGCTGTTTTATTTTCATTGGTTCCCATTTGATTATAATTCTATAACTCACTAATAAACTCTTGCAATGCAACAGTTATTACATTTGTGGATTCATGACATTTCATTTGTGGAGTTAGGGTTATTATAATAGCTCCATGGGCTAACGGTGTCATGAAGGCTTTTTAAATGAAGGCATGAATACACACATTTATATCATCTGATCTCTGCACACAACTTACAAACTACACTCTGAACGGAGACAAACAAGAAGGCTTCAAGTCACAATCATAAATACTGTAATAAATAAAGCTCATGTTCAGCCACAATAAATTAATGTTTTTCAGCATCGTAAACTATTGTACTTAAAAACATAGAGAAAACATGACAAAGTATCTCTTCTCTTGCACACATTTTATCTCAAATTTGATTTAGTTCGTTCTATTCCTTTTCTTCCACTTCGGCAGCAGTCGGGCGTATTTTATCCGCAAATTCTAGTCTAGTTTTTTATTGGTAATCTACTGCAGTGAAAATAGGAACATTCATGAAGCTATGAGAACTAGTACAACTTTAAAAGAAACGTAAGTAAAAGTTCAAATTAAAACTTAAAATCTTGTCCGTATCATTTTTGTCACAAGCTGAAAAAATTGTTCTTTAACCAATGAAGAGATAGTTTTTCTCGTATTCCAATACAGTGTAACCTCTAAACCTGCTAAAAAATATGTGCAAATTCACCCTTTAACCATTACTTGTGCAAAAAGTAACAAACATACGTAAAAAAATCCCTAGACATTATTAAAAAAAAACTAAAATCTGTTGATCATTTTCCCTTTTCAACCGTTCAAAAGTTGATTGGATAGTAGTAACTTAAATTGTGGAAAAAGACCATTGTGTCCCTATGTTTGTCGGAGTCGTTTTCCAATAGTCAAACGTTCTCCCGAGCCCCTGTCGCCTCCTGCTCTCTCTAATCCTCATTTCCTCGCACCATATTTCAGCTTTCATATCCTTGAACTGTAATTACAAGACGATGTTTTTAACTTATATAGCACATACGTTACAGGGGATTCTGTTAGCAGTTATATCTGATTAGATGGGTTTGGGTGTAGGAGCACAGCAGGAGCACAGCAGGAGCAGGACTGGGGTCTCTCATGTGTTTTGAAGCAGGCGGTGGACTGTGTGGAGCTGGTTTGGAGACAGGACCAGTTGATGCACCTGCTCCTGACCTCTGGGACATGGGACCATCACACGGCCCACCAACACTGCATCACCCAGCTTCTCCTCCTTGGCCTAAAGACATCAGAAAAAACATTAAGAATATGTAGTGTCAATAGCCCCCATGTTATTAGACTGCATATGAATGTCCTGTGAAGGCATGGTTGTTAAAGTTTGTCTTGTGACTCATCCTAAATACTAGGACCCCAGGGCTTAATGTGTTTGGGGTAATTCTTGCCATCCTCATTCTCGGAGCTGACCCAGGCTGAAAACGCTAAGTGTGTTCTGATTATGCCATTAAACTCTTTCTTTACATAACTCAGTGTGCATTCTATCTCCAACAATATACAAATACTGTACAACAAAAACTTTATGGAAAGATAGTGATACAATTAATAGATTAGTTATTCAAAATGTTCAACGTGCCGGCATGTGTGTGAGGGAAAGCAGGAGCGAGGCAGGTTTCACTTCTCGCAAATCACACTCAAAAATGGCAGCTTTTGTCTTTTTAGGTTTTGACTTGACTTGATAAAAGGCATGTTTTTAATTGACTTTTAATTTGAAAATTGTGGCCTTGAAGTATGACTGCCCGGCAATAAAAGGGACGACCTAGCATCAGATCACAGGTAGCAAGTAACTGAGGGATTTTTACATGGTCACAAATTAAAATGTATCTTAGATTATGAAAAAAGAGAGGAGGTGAAATGTGGGATTGTCTGAGCAATGAAGGGGGAATATGAATGAGATTCACATTCATATGGACCAAATGGGAGCTGGGTAGTTTTATTATAACTTGTATGTTAAATTGAACTGAAACTCTTATATTGTATACTCTGATAATGTATGCAATGTATGCTTAGTATGTATCCGTCTTCATTTGTTTTACTGTAACAACCTGCTCAGGGACTATAGGTGTAAATTAGTTATAACCATGTACCTGCTATAACCTGGTACATGGATGTTTTTACTGTCGCTGTAAAAGAATACCTTACCATTACACATGCATCGAATGGGAAATAGGAAAATGTAAAAGTAAATGAATAATTACAACACACTGAAAAGCACTTGAAAGTAAATGTTCGACTGTATACCCCCCTTTAGGTGATTGAAGTGAACTTAAACTTATTTACACTTATTTAAACTATTATTTTTTCTTGGAACTGATGAGATGTTGATCTAAACCTGACCTTTACAAACGGAGTCGATGGAAACGTGGCAAAGTCTGAAGACACGCGAGCTCCAGGCTGATGATTTACGACATGCTCTGCCACTTCATCCTGGGGCAAAATGACAGCACCAGTAAATAGTAATGAATGGACACATAGTAATAAATACATAGTAATTACAGAGTCAAAAACTGTAATAAATCAGCAGGTTTACCTTGAGTCTGTCCAGAGTGTCTGAGAGAGACTGGAGGCGGGCCGTCTGCTCCAACAGCTGAGCACTGGGAGTCACTGAAAAATATCATTCATGCATAATATTAAAACTCCCTTCTATCTGGATGGTTTCCCTAAATACACTGCAAAAAGTGATGAAAAATAAGTCAAAGCAAACAGTTCTTGAAATAATACAAAAAGGCTTGTCCCATTGGCAACTCTAGTTTTAGGAATGAACTCATATTAAGATAAAAAAATACTCAATTCAAGCAATTATAACCCCATGTTTCATACACTGCAAAAAATGATCAAATATGAGATCATAATTGCTAGAATCGAGTTTTTTTTAACTTGACTGAAGTACATTCTGACTGTCTTAAAATGAGATTTGCCAATGAGACAAGCAATTTTGACTTGATTCAATAACTATTGCTTTATTTTCTCATTCCAAGAGAAAAATATCTTGTATCTTTTTAAAACAAGACAATTTTTCTTGTTCCATTGGCAAATCTTGTTTTAAGACAGTCAAAATGTGCTCAAATTTAGATACATTTGGCCAAATCTTTGCATTTTTTTGTCTTTAATTCTGTCATCTTTTGCAGTGTAATTGTTTTGCATTTATGTTTGCAAACACAATCCACCTTTACTGTCCCACAATACAGTAATAAAAGTGCTCACAGATAAACAAACAATGAAATAATACTGTTGGTATAGATATAGAGGCTGTTTACCGGGAGTTTTCCCAGTGACGTCCACCACTTTGACGTTGGCGCTCATCTGCAGCAGAGTCTCCAGCAGTTGGTCTGTTTTCCGGTAGAGGGCGCTGGAGAGCACCTCTGGGGGGCCTTTGGAGGGCAGTTTAGTGACATGCAGCGGAGGCAGAGACGCCAACTGAGCTCGCATCCTCTCAGCCTGAAACAAACGCGCATTTTACTCTCTTTTGCTCCACATTTTTGGTATAAAGTGTTTCTGTAACATATTGGCATTAATACTTTAAGGTGCACTGTTAGCTCTATTGGTGGGATAATTAAGAAGATAATTGCCCCCCCCCCCACAAAAAAAAGATCAAAGAGGGAATTTACTATTGACTTAGAAATAAAGAAGTTACAAAAATATATATGCTATAATCAAATATATATATAGAAAAGTAGAATAGAATACACTTTTATTATATATTTTTTGTCATTATTGTATATATATATATTTCTTTATGTAATCTATTCTCTTTTGCATTGTGGTTGTTGCCTTTTTGTGTTTTTGATCAATCAAACTCTAAAGGCAAAAACTCAAAAACAAAGTGTACAAAATATGATTAAGGAAATGTTGATTATTTAGGGATAAAGTTCTCAGTTTGAGAGGGCTAGTAGATAATTTTTGTGTTTTTGACCAATCAAACTCTAAAGGCAAAAACTCAAAAATAAACAATACCAAATATAAATGTTGATTACTTAGGGATAAAGTTGCAACATTAAAATGAAATAAAAAGTGAAACCTATTCAGAAAGTTCTCGGTTCAAACACAGTCAAAGAGGAGTGGCACCTTGAGCCGGTTGTTCTCGTTCTTGAGTCGTTTGATGCAGAGTCGCTGAGCCTCAATTTGTTGCGCGAGCAGCGGAGAGTCTATCACCTGCAGCCCTGAGCCCGAGCCCAGACTGGACACCGAAGTGACTGTGGAAATGACAAATATTGTTAGCTGGAAACTGCATGAAGAAATAGTGAAATATATAGTTGATGTGGCAGGCAAAAAATAATACCACTCAATTCATTCTTAAGGCCGGCACATATCACAGGACACCAAAACATGCAAGATTCTACCATTTCCTTTTAAAGAGGTTTTGAGTGGAGAAAATTACTATTGCTCTCTGCTGTTTCTATTGTTGTACTGTACTGTATTATGGTTTTTGGTTAATGATGTAACCGACAGTGTGCTCCTACACTGCACATCCCTTTACACTTGCATGTGGACAGATAAGAGATGTTTATGACTGACTATTTCTCACTTTGGAGCTGTGATTATAAGTGAAAAAACAATTACACTCATTTACAATGAAAACACATGCCACAATCAACATGCAGCAATCAAACTCCACAGGAATATTCTTCCCCTTAATCCATTTCTGGGTTGGGGAGGTGGCAGTTCTGCTCTGTCAGGGACGATACAGCCTTGATCTTTCAGCGGGGGCTTCAGGCTAAGTGGGGTTAAGTGTCTTACCCAGGGACACAACGACTCAAAGGACACTGCTCTACCAACTGAGCCACTGTCGCCCCATTACAGTATAGATGCATTATAAGGAATATTTTCATTGAACAGAAAACTAAAAAACAGCACTCAAATGGTGACAATAGTCTGTGCAACGAATGCCACTCTCGAAATACCTTTTTGTTCCTCTGCAGATTCAAATCAGGGTTAAAGAAAGGAATGAGGAAAACATAGAAATAGTTAAAGTGGGAATGTATTTAATTGTCACTCAGCTGATATATAATAGTTTTAACTTTATGTTATTCTGTGCATGTAAACGTTGCTCACCTCCAGAGCCAGCAGTGACAGTGGAGCAGACCCCAGAGGCCCCTCCTCCGCTTTTGGACTGACTGCTCACTCTCTGCTTCAGCTCGGCCTTCTCCGCCTCCAGCTGATCGATGTCAGCCTGAAGAGCGTCCATGGTCTCCTCAAAGTCCCTGAAGAAAACACACAGACACAGACAGAGACAGAGAGAGAGACACACATGATTCATTAATGTTCACAACATATTTTTTCCCCCCGTTACTTTGAGCAATATTTGTACTGATCTATTCTGTTCTGACTTTGTTTTAAAGGTAAAATATCTAAACCACACACAGATAACATACTTTATATACTTTGAATCACAACATGATAAAATAAGGCCATTAATCTGCTTGTGCTTCCTCCAGACAGGGCCTTTCTCCGTGGAGTTTGCATGTTTTTGCCCATGTCTGCTCCGGTTTCCTCCGGGTGCTCCGTTTTCCCCTACCACTAAAAATATGTTCAATAGTTCCCAATAACACCCTTCCCAACCCCACACACATCCCCATATTAATATTAAAATTTACAGTCTATGGTTCCCCACTCTTTGGAGCCAGGACTTCCCTGAAAAAGTCTTTTTCGCTCATTTTGACTTAACTTTTCTTGTCTATATCATGTTTTTTTTCCCCCAAACAGATCCTCACTTTTCTTTCTTCTTGAGCAGAGTCTGAGCCTCGTCGAGTCTCATCTGGATCTTCTCCACTCGTTCATCTGCGTCTTTGGACGAACTGTCGAGTTTCTTCTCCAGGAGACTCAGGCGCACACTGGCCTCACTCAGCTCCTCTCCCTGACAAACACATCTGTTTAGAGCATGTCACATAAACTGGAGGCCATTATAATACATGCAACTTTGGATCAAGTTTATAAGGGTATTACATTTGGGAGTGATATATAAGCAGTCTGCCTAAAATGGCTTTTAGACATGTATGAAACCTTTTAAGAATGGGCATTTTAGCAATAAGCTTGACATAAACCATTTCTATTCTATATTGATTGAGGGATTGATATCTTATTACTGCATGGAAAATTAACTGTGAAAATGTTTGTTCATTGAATATAATATGAATAAAAACAAAAGATAAACTGGTCTACAAGGAGCGAGAGTTTGCAGAATGACCTTGATCTTGAGGGATTTCTTGAGTTCTTTGATGACGGTTTCTCGATCCTCCAGCTTCATCCCGAGACCCTCTGCATCTGTGATCTCTGCTCTCAAGGCAGCTGCTCTGAGCTCCACAGGAGGAGTCTGGGAAATAACACATGCAACAATGAAGACCAAACCAAACTCTGGCTGGAAATAAGTGGACAAGTGGAAATATTTCTGAGGCTATTGGTATGAATTATGAACCATATTTACAAACGTCTGTTGTTGTTATCATTAGTTCAGATAGAACAACACTTAATGTGATGTGTCCAAGCTTTCTGCCCTGTGACCAATAAAGTTCTCATATTCTGACCTTCCTCTGAGGCTTCTCGGAGTCGTACTCGCCCTCCTGCATCGCGGTGGCCATCTTGTTCATGGTTGCTATGACGGTGCAGCAGGACTGACGTAGATACTCGTGGGGGTTGGCACCTTGAGCTCCATAAATCTGCAACACAACAGCTGATTTATATAGTATTACAAACAAAGTGTTACAATCTGTATAAGTAATACCATACTCTAAACCTGACTGGACCAGGCATTCACTCTGCTTGTCCATGATGACGAAACACCTTAATCAGACTTTTTAGTGCTATTGTAAGTGTAGAAGATTCCTTTGCAGTAAATTTGTTTGCAATATTTTTTGTGCTACATATATAAAACAGCAATAAAAATCATGTGGTTATATTTAAGGCCCTGAATAAATTAACGGGTTGTATTGGTGGAAAAGTCAAATCGGCTCTGCTAAAGTAAGAGAGAAGTTTACTGCTGTACCTGCTCTCCCGCCTTGAAGGTGACGTCCTCCAGCTTTGCAGCGGACAGACCCTCCTGCTCCCCCAGAGGAGACACCATCTGAGCCCCGGCCGCCGCCACCTCCTGCAGCACGGCCACCACCCAGGTCAGGTGCTTGCGGCAGTCCGTCAGCGTGTCTGCCACCTGGACACACCACGGCACAAACTCAGGGACTGAACGTTCTAGGCTTTTTTTTACTTTAATACATTCACTTTAATATACTGGACCAACATCAATAATATCATTAGCAAACCCCATCGGAGCCAATGCCCATACAAGGAAAATGGCTCCAGCTAGCTTACGCTCAAATTGGCTTCTTCTGCATTCTATGGTAAAAACACAAAATTAACATCTGTACAACCCATATAGAGACATACATTTTGACTTTAGAATGATCTAGCTCCACAAGTTAATGATATTCTCTAAAAATTCTAAATCCACATTGTTGGGCTGGCCTTTTGTTCTTCATAATAGTAAAACCCAAAAAAACATGTAGCAAATTTTACCTTGGCTTTTCTATTTTACAGCACAGCAAGAATTTGTACTTAACGATTTACGGTTTGACGAGGGGAGAAGGAATGGATCGAGATGTGTTTGATTGAGCAGTCGATAAGTTGCAATTATGTGTGATTGTTTTTCAAAATGACCAGAAACATCATGAGACAATTATGCAGTAACTAAAGGACAACGTATTCAACAGGTATAACTCTAAGTTCAGATATTTTCCAGCCCAATTCTCAGAGAAACATTTAAAAAACATAACGGTAAAACATAATATAAACAGCTGATGTCCGGTGATGCTATAAAGACCTGCTGTCCAAAGCTGAGCGCTGCTGGGATCCCGGGGGCGTCGGTTCCAGGCATTCTGCGCCGGATCTTCTTGCAGAACTGTCTGACGTCTGAGCAGGACGTCCCGAGGTCTTTGAGCAGCGCGGCCAAGTCTGTCTTCTCCTGCCCCGCGTGAAGGAAGGAGCGCAGGCGAGCCACCTCCACCGCCATGCAGTCCAGCGCACTCTGAGTGAACTGAGACAGAGAGGATGACATTGAAGATAGAGACTCAATAGTTGATTAAGTATAAAGCAATTGTGTGTTCAAGGGTTTAGATGTCAAGATGGAGAGAAACCTTTTGGTTGTTTCCTTGTCTATTTCTTTTCTTCCTTCATCTTACAGTGTAGTTACTTTTAAAATTGTCAAGATGAAGAGACTTTTTTGAACGCAAGCTCCACTAAGACCCGCCCTCACAAGTTCTCGATTGGATGCAAGGATTTCAAGTCCTTGATAGACAGCTGATGCTTCTCACAATTGGTCTAACTATTCTCCTCCAGCAAATCTTACTGGTGATGCTTATTCCAAGGGGAAGGACTGTTTTAAACTATGATTTACTATGATACTAAAGGGTCATAAGTCAAAATTATGTATTATTTTAGCAAAGCGTGGGTCAAACCTTAATATTTAACTTTTTTCAATTTCCTTTGTAGATTCCAGTCAGCTCTAAAACCCATACATAATTCACAAGAGAATACACAAAAGAAACTCACTCTGATGTGATCTGCCAGCTGCACAGTGCAATCTTCAGGTTGGTCCACCAGATGGATGCTGTACAGGTGCTGGGAAGGGACACAAAGGGTTGCTATCACAAAATAACAGAATACGTTTTGTCTCTAATATAGTCAAACGCTAATATATACAATGATGTAGGTAAAGGCAAAAAGGGATGTGGGTGATAGTGAGGATTCATAGCGAAAAGGACCCTTGAAGGACAATAACATGTACTCAACCATGCTTGAATTTAATAAATTTAGTAAGAAAAAAAATAATTATAACATGGTTCTGGGCGAACATAAAAACACAACACAAACTAACAGAAGGGTAACAAATAATTATGTTAAATAGAGATAGTACCTGATAGTACTTAATGGCTTTGGTGAGAGGCTCCACGTTCACAGTCTCGTCCAGTTGATCTTTGTGTAGTAGGTCGATGAGGAAGTCCAGGGAGCGCTCGTGAACGCTCATCTCGGGGTAAAGGGAGCCGATCTTCTTATAGACCTCCACACTGCACTGGGACAGAGCCCTAATGGGACAAAAGTTCATATTCTGTTGTTGGTCTGAGCACATGACAGCCATAGAAAAATTTGATGTTTTGAAGTTTTGTCCTGGTTTTATTGGGATTATGCTCCTCATTCTTAACCCTGGTACTTTCTTTTGTGGCCTGTATCGATGATTAGTTTTAAAATAACTCACTGTTCATATTTGTGCAGTGTTGCTTGCAGGAGGCTGAGGGAGTAGACCAGGCCCCCGGCAAAGCTCAGCTGCTCCCCTGCTGCCCCCTTCAGGCCAGTCCGCTCAGCGCAGTTTTCGTTCAAGTCAAACTTCTCTCGTGCCTGTTTGCTGATCAACTCTGCCTATAAATATATAACAAATTGGTACCATCAATAATCTGCAGTTGTAGTCAACACAAATATCTTCTTTAGTCATAGCTTCATTTATTCTAAAGTGTATATCATTAGTTGTAGTTCTTATGATATGACAAAAATATGACACTGATGCAATTCATACTTGGATAATTGCACATTTATAATCTGCCTGTTACCTTGCAGATGAGCCTGGGGATGAGCAGCAGCACCAGGATACAGTCGTGGTCTCCTCCGTGACGCAGGAATGACTCTGGCATAAATGCTGTCAGTAAAGACACGTGTCTGTTTGCCTGCGACACCTCCACCTGCCTCAGCTCCATCTCAATGGCCTGGACACAACAAAACAAAAAGTTTTTGTAAACATAGTTAAAGCTATAAGGATAAAATGTATATAAAGTAGTTACAGCTTGTGACATCAGATATCATTGAATATTCTATACGTTGCGTGTATGTTTTATAAATATATTTCAGTTGGAGGAAAGAAGCCAACTCTATATCATATAAAAAAAGAGCTTTATTTGACTGCTATTCGATTCTCAAAATAAAAAATTATAGTTATGTCTGAAAGTTCTTTTGACTGGTGTTTTTGGAATATTGTCACAACTTCTAGACAGAAAATGATGAACCATAGTTGAAAAGCACCTCCACCACAATTTAAACTATAAGCTCTTTGGAGTGTTTCGCCGAACCTCCATAGCACATCCAAAAAAGTAATAAAACTAATTTTTCATCAATCAAATAAATTAGACAATAACTTCCCCCAAGGCACACCTTCTGTAACTGGAAGCAGACGTCAACATTAATGATAGAAACTGTATTGACAGTCTCCCTGCAGGCGCTAGTGCTTATGTTTAATTCTTGATAATAAAAATGAGAGTTGTGTAAATTGTGTGAGTGAACCAGACCTATAACGGATGTAATTGCTGCAGGATGACTCATTATTCACATTTGATAGGTTTTATTTTTAACCTTAGCATAGGCTTTAGTTTCGGCGAATTTAATCTTGAAATCGAACAACTCGACTGGAGGCTGCTGCTGCTGCTGCTGCTCTGCGGACGCCTCCTGTTGGCTGGTCAGCTCCCGGTTCACCTCCTGAAATAGACAAAACAGACAGTAAATCAATTACTTAAAAAAAAAACCTTCATATTAATGTTTAACTTTGAGATACTTAAAAAATAAGTCTCAGTTTGTCTCATTATCCATGCTTTACCTTTTGTGGATTCATAAATTTATCACAAGAAGAAAAGGTATCTATTTGACAATGTGGAAAGAATAGGATAAATAAGTTTTACATTACTGGATATACAGTATATGACATACACACAAGTAAAATGTGTCATTTCTGATCCTGTATTAGAAGGGGTAAGGGGGTATGTTATCACTTGATAATAATGTAGTATAATAAAAACAAATGTTGATTGTGTTTTTGTTTTCATAGAGATTGCTTAATCTTTTTGTAAACTATTCCTGGCAAAACTTGAAGCATAGAATGTGACCTGCCCTCTGAAAACAACAACTTCTAAGTAAAGTAAAGAGCAGACATGTCTGAAAGAACTGGAAATATTATAGTAGTAAAAAAAATACAATTATCTCTGTCTACAAAGCGTAGGTAGTGTTTCACAGATGAATTGAGGCGGTTCATCTATATCCAGAGCACGTATGTAGTTTGCACCTGCAGATGTGCTGTGAGCTCTCTGTATTTCTGAATCGTTTGTTGATAATCGGCCACGGTCTCCTGAGCCGCCTCCACTCGTTTCTCGGCCTCTCGGACTTGTGCTGTTCCCAAGTCCAACATCTCTCTCAGCTCCAGCTCCGTCTCCCTGGCATTCTCCTGCAGCTCGTCGTTCATCTCGTTTATGGATTCCTGGAAATAAAATCAGTTATAATAAATACATATGTATATAAATATACATAGACACATATATATACACTCTGGTATAGGATAAATCTATGTTTACCATAGGCCAAACTATCAAAATGAATAATTACTAAATTACCAACTGTTCAAACTCACCAAATCAGTGACGGTCTCTCGGAGCTCTCTCACTTTCTCCTCCAAATCCAGGTTCCTCTCAGTCAGAGTCTCCACCATTTCCTCTGCTCCCAAAGACGCATCCACCTGGACCGTAACAGCCAACAAAGAGCTTTCGAATATTGATCCCAGAAAACAGAAAAGTATGTATTTGAACAATATTACATTTTTCTGATTATAATTTTAACTATTAATTATACAATATCATTTTCAATTTGCTTTTAATATTGTGTCATTTGCTTCTTCTGAAAAGCTACACATATCACACTGTGATTGGTTAAATCCAGCTGTCACTCACACCCAGCCATTTCTATTCATTAAATTTAGAATCAGAAGAAATCAAAATATGGTAATTTGATCAATAAGTGACTCGTTAGAATGTAATAATAATCATACCACTAAATGATATCTCACCAACATCGACAAGCAAAAATAGTTAGGTTTTGTTCAAACAACCACAAATTGAACATTACTTTAAAGCAGTGCACACATAAATGAAAAGGGGCAAAAACGTTAGTCTGGAGCCCTGCTCGTTTCCTTTGTACTTTCAAACTTCCCCAAGTGTGTATTGATCGCGGCGGCCCACACAGTGATGTATGTCTCTGCAGTGGCTTTGGCGTCAGCTCCATTAGAGCGACCAGTGTGTGGACCCAGTGATAGAAAACAACTCCAAATACCCTTGGCAAATACCTTCAGGCACATTTACATGTAGTGGAGTTCATATACAGATAACTGACCTCAAATGTTATGTTACGTTCAATTATGAACTGGTGTCTAAAACTATATTACATACCTTGAACTTTCTTAAGTTTCCACCACTAATATATATACACAGTATGTATAGTATACATATAGTATGTATAATGTGCTCTGATCTCACCAAATAGAGAATATAACATTTGGATCCTCTCTTTTATGTATGAAATCATCTGCATTCATCTAATTCTGTATGAGTCTTTTTGCAAGTTTCTAACATGAATGAACGCGCACAGGTGTTCTCTGCTCTTAATGACCTGCTCCTTCAGCTCGTCGATGGTTTTATCAGCTCCTGCCACCTCCTGCTGTAGTTTCTCCCTCTGTCCACGTAGAGCATCCAGCTCCATGTTCTTCTTCTCCATCTGCTTCTGCAGCTTCACGTGCTCCTGCTTTTCTGATGCCGACAAGTCACGCATTCTGCAACACAGCAGCAGTGTTTTTATAAGAATGTGGTCTGTAATTACGGCAGAGCATCTAAAGGACTGACATACGCTGACAGGAAGATGCTGTAGATCAGTCTTTTTCAACCAGTGTGCCTTGCGATGTTGTTTGACGTGCCTTTGGATCATTTCCAGAATCACCTTATTGGTGAAAATAATGTGAAAAGAAAATAATGTGAGAAGATAAGGAAGACTTAAGGAAGACTTATCTTCTCATCACTTAGATGAGAATGACTTTGCTGTGTTAATAAAGGCTGAGAGAGTGAGAGAGATGTTTGTATCGGTGGACCATGTGATTCTATTCAATGAAATGCCACGGCTCAAAAAGGTTGGGGGACACTGCTGTAGGTGTAAGCATAAAACTTCATATATTTCTCAAGGCATTCAAAGTACATACACGTCTTCCCTAGCTGAATTTGCAAGTCCTGACATTTGATGTATGATCTATTGATGGGTATTGTATAACTTTATATGAAATTAAACTTGAGAAAACTATTCTAGTCCAAGACCTTAAATCTGCCCTCCTGCCATTCACATGTAAGTGCTGGTACCAGAAGAACCCCATTCAGGAAACTCACTCCATCTTTCTGCTGTTGTCCTATTGTGTTTTTATAATAATGTATAATGCATTATAAGTATAGTTTTTTTAACCATGTGCCACCCACCTGACCAGAGCCTCCTTGAGTCGTCCGTTCTGCTCTTCCAGCTGCTTGACGTGATAACTGGAGGCAGCTCCGTCTGAACCTGAGTCAAACCAACCAATTAGTCTTAAATACGCAAAATGTTGGATTTCAGATGGAGAAATTAGAACTAGATTGAGCAAGTATAAATACCAAAAACAATAATCACCTTTCATTAATGTTTTAGCATAATGGCCCTAGAGAAGGATGAGAATTGTTGCACCATATTTTTGATGTTAAATCTAGTTTTCCTTTTTCCTAAATAACACATGGAGTTTGACCCGACAAAAAAACTCTTGTAGAAGTAAAATGTTGTGCACAAATCAAACCCTAACATAATTTCCTCTTCTTAAGCAACAAGCAGAACATAAACACATGCATCTTTTGCATACTTGTAAGAGTTACTGTGTGAGTCACTATTGGCGCTTTTGGGCTGAGAGTTAATTGAAGGTGATCCTGTCTTTGTCTCTTTTCTGCCGGAAAAATCTGATCTAAAGATGTAACACGGGCCAAAAAGTACATGCATGTGAAACCCAGAGATAGGACCAAAGTGTTTTGAGAGCGAGGAACTAGATAAATTATTTTACTGCACAGTTCCATTGTTTGCGGTTTGAAAGTTAGCAACTATACTGTAACTCAGTTTGCTCCTCACCCTTCTCCTCGATCTCGTGCTTGAGTATCTCCAGGTCCATGGTGAGCTCTTCCACTCTCTCCTTGTGCGAGTCCACCTCCAGCTGCAGAGACTCAGCACGCTCCTCCGCCATCTCCTTGTCCAGCGTCGCCATTTCGATGGCGTCCGCCGTATCGGACATCTCCTCCATGTACCGCTCCTTCGCCTCCTGCGCTTCATTAGCCTCCTGCAAAATCATTCAGAACATTTAACACAATACAACGACATGTATAAAACATGAAACTCTTACAAAATAGGAAGATATAAGAATAGTGTGATACTGTCACTGAGAAGGCATGATGTGGTGTTTGTGAGTAAATAGTTCAATGTGCAGCATGGATAGGTCGGTATTTGAGGCGCAGTGTATGATTCTTTTTTAGATTAAGAGACCCTTTATTAGTCCCACAGTGGGGAAATTTCAGAGTTGCATCACCAGTTACAGAACAGTCGGAATGAGGAGCACACAGCTCAAGATAAATGAACAATAACTCTATATCAAATAAAATGAAATAAAAAATAGCATGAAGAAGAAACAAGTAAACAATCTATATCTTTAGCTTAATGAGTACAAAAACTCTGACTTTAGCATTACAAAGAAGTATACCATTTTGACTTTCTATAGCAGGCATTTTCTACTTGGCCATAGAACCATCTCTCTAAATTTGAAAAATGTACAGTATTAATGTTATCTTGTTTATTTGTTTAATGCTGGTTAATGCTTGCTTTCTTTATGCACTTATAGCACTTGTTTAGCAATGCAGGTTAAGACTTATTCCAACACAGTGCTGTCAACATTGTTATTCAATTATTGTTATTTTATCTACCTCGTGCCTCTGTTCAGTTTCATTTCACTCTTGCTACTAGTTCAGGAACGGCAGAAACACAGACGGCTCAGAAAACCAGGAAGAACCATGGGCCCATCAGAACCCGTTTGTAGTTCAACAAAGCAGTAAAAAAAAAAAAGATTGAGATGGATGTAGACCAAGGAATACATTCTGTGTTTGAAATCATCCCTGAAACTGATTTATTCAGGATTTAAATCCAGAATAAAGAGGTTTGGAGGTTATATCCCAGGTGTCTATATGAAACCTTGTAAATATCAGTTTGGCCTTAAGCATCGTATACTTTAACATATTGAGTTATTGTTCATTATTGAGCACTGGCACAATACTATTAGAATTCAGTGTCCATCATCTGCACGTCAGAGTAATGTGTTTCTGGAATGTATTAACAAGAAGCTAAAATAGTTGTCATTGTAAAGTTGTGAAAAGCACTGTTCAGAATAACCTCGTACTGAGACAAACTGTTGAAAGACAAACTGCGGTTCTGTTTTGTCAAATCCCTCTCATATCTAACGTCAGTGCTAGAGGCATTTTGGCTCACTTTCTTGGCCTCCTTGAGCTGCTTCTGCAGCTCGGCCTGCTGTTCCTGCATCTTGCTCCTCCACTCCTGCAGCTGCTCCAGTTGGATCTTGTGCTTCTCCAGCTCCTTCAGTTTGGCCTTATCCTCGGTGCGCTTCATCTTCAAAGTCTCCAGTTTCTCCTCCAGGTCCTTCACCTGGACACGCAAAGCCTCCTCTTCCTAAAACACATGCATTTAAATGAATCATATTATGAAGACATGTGACCCTTATGCAATCCGACTATCAGAGAAAAAATGTATTTAAGAAAAGTGAAAATATGTTGAGCTGATGCTTGTGAGGCAATGTATGTTGTTTGTTTAATATAAAATAGATTTAACATCATTCTGAAGTCATAATGTAACAATGCTATGTGTACTGGGTGGCAGCTATGGCTGCCTCCCCACCGACCCAGAAATGGATTAAGGGGAAGAAAATGGATGGATGGATGTAGCAATGGTGCTACTGTGCAGTCTATTTAATATTTCCCCATGGTGTAGATGTGTTGGTACTAGTATTGCTGGAAGTGGATTTTAAAAAGGTATAAAAACACTGTATGTAATAGATGAAAATGTATATCAAAATATTGAATGAACAACTGCTGACATCACAGATCAGACCGCTGAACCAATGCCTGAGAACCGCACTTTTTAACGATGCACTCAAACAAATCCAAAACGAGAACATGCAGTCGGAGAGGGCATACGCCGCCAATCCACAGCAAGTAATTAGAAATATGTTATTGTTTTATCATCCCAGTGCAATCAAATATTTTCCCGTAAATTCACTCCACACCACCTCTCACCCTTCACTCCTTCTTCATTATTCATGCATTTGAACACAAAGCACTCCAAACCAATTAAAGCACGGCACACCGCACACCTCGCAAAGTGTTAAATTAACGTGAGACATTTATCAACTCTCACTGCATGAAAAGTTAGATTTTCGTCACCCTAAACTGCAGGAAATCACGCTCTTTTTCGGGTATCTCAGGCAGTTTTCAGAAGGCGCAGTTAGGGTGCCCTGTCCTCCAAACTGCCGTATCCGTACCATGCTAATGTCCCTACTTTGCATATGAATGCAGCGAAACACTGCGACCGGCGGAGCGCTAATGGCCCTAATTAGCATATGAATGCAGCGGCTTGCCAGGCTGCTATTCAGCATTGGTGAATACCACTACTTTCAAACTCGTGATTGGCTGAAAAATCACACGTGGCCAGCCCACGTGGGATTACTCCCCATTGGTAGCTTACTCCCCATTGGATGAAATCACTACTTTCAAATAAGTATAATCTCTCGTGATTGGCTAGCAGATCTGTCACTATTGGTCACCCTGCCTCATAATTAATGTAATAATATTTATATAAATATTCGTATTATTTATAGAAGAAATGAAAATTTTCCAGGAATATGTTCATACAAAGAAAGCTTTATTAAAACACACACACACACACACAGCTTTATGCTCACACATAGGTAATTAAAAAATTACAACTCTGAACTGTCCAATAGCCTCCTCGGGGTTGTAATTTGGCAGGGTTCTAGATAGACGCTTAATGTGCGTGGCTCTGTACTTCCGCACCGCCTCTAACCGGGACTGCAGCTTGACAGAGTTCAGAAAACTCCGGCTTTCGAAAAGACGGTGACCGCACAATCCATCCAGAGACACCGTCCACAACGCCTTCTTCTTCATTGGACATTAGGTCTACCGTGGCGGACTTCCAGAGTTCCACTTTGTCACTTTCTAGCACACTCGGTCTCGATTCCAGCGGCTGAAAGAATCAGTAAATATTATTAGCCAAATCAAATCCTTTTTCCCCATCTAAACATAGTGTCTAAAGCAGACCTGGAGATTCTTATCCATGCATTTGTCTCCAGTAGGTTAGACTACTGTGCCACAACAGCTGCAGTACATTCAAAATGCAGCAGCTCAAGTCCTGACCAGAACCAGGAAGTACGATGGTAAGGCAAGTTTATTTGTCTAGCACAATTCATACACAATGCAACTCGAAGTGCTGAGCAAAATAAGAAAGCATTAAAATAAATAATCACAGTACATTAACAAAGATAAATATAAAATACCTCAGTTGTAGCACAGCTAAAGCTCCTCTCTGACAATGTTTAAAACCAGGTTAAAGGGAGAAACAGTAAAACACTTACACACAATGTCGTCTTTATCAACATGGTGGAAATGTGGACTTATTGTTCACATTGTATTGCAGATATTGTGTTAAGCAAATAGGAGGTCACCGTCTCATTACGAGGCGAGATTAGTCTGAAAACAAAGTGTACAGTTATGATTGTTATCTATACATATCCATTACCGACACAAAACATGTAGGTATACCAAATTCAATTTCCATGGATACATTAACAATACTTACATAACCTTTTTGAGAAAATGGATCCTTCAATGAAAAAAGTGTGATAATTCTAAGAGCATAGCTTTCTTTTTGTTTTCGGGAAGGCATTTGTCTAAGGAGAAAAAAACACTCATGGTCAAAGGACTTCATGGTTACATAAAAAGGCTAAATTAATAGTATCTACAAGTACATATTTTCACGGGGACCTAACTAAGAGATAATCTACAGGAGAACATCTACCTAGGTCATTTATAAAAGAGATCAGTACTATTTATCTTACAATGGGGAATCAATAACAGTGCTGAGAGAAACTGAATTGTTATGTGATTATTGTGAAAGGTCTTTCAAGTGATTTTCATTTTATTTTGAGTAAATATCCTTCCACTTGTAAGAAGGAACTTTTGAGTAATAACGGAGGGATACAACATACCCATGTGTTTCACTCATGTCACTGACGAGAAGGTCGACAAGTTGTCTTCGAGAGCGGTGACTTAGTGATCTCACAGAATTATAATCTTTAAGGATCTCTCGGTCACCAGGGTTTTCCTGCAGTTCCACCATCTACAAACGTGAAAAATGTAAAATGAAAATCTACAATTGTACCAAAAATCTTAGGATACAAAATGCAGCAGTACCTCTTTTGATGTGTACCTTTCTCCTTTCTCCATCTCCTCTGCTGTACACATGTGCATTTCAACACCAAACACAATCATATGTCATTTCTTTTTGTTATTGCTTTATGAACTTACACAGGAATCGAGGTGGCCGGACAATCTTGGAAAGCTTAGCGCCAGCAGACCCCCTTTTGGCCTTAAAGAGCTTGATGAACTGTGTCGTTAGGCAATCCAATGCTTCAACGAAATCATTGCCCAGTTTGGAGCTGGTGATCTGGTTAAATTCTGCCAGGACCTGCAAAAAAAAAACAACATAAAACACTTCAAGTTAAATGCATAGATGTAAAAAATGTGTACACACCTGTCTCTCTGTATAAAGTGCTGGCCAGCGCGCTTTGACATTTTCCACAGGTAGGGCAGAATTGACTATTTCTTGTTGTCGGACTGCAACACGCTGTAAGCAAAAAAAGAATAATCAATATATATAAAACAATATCACATGATTTTTGCTCAAATGTGTTTAAAGGAGGTCTAGATTCACTCAATAACATTATTAAGCAATGGACTTAATAAAAAAAAAAAAAAAAAGAACAGAAAGACAACAGTGACAAATGAGATGAAAAAGTACAGTAATAAAAGTGAAAGTCTTAGCGCTCAAACAAAGACAGGAACAGTGCAAAACAAATTATATATGTTAGATATTCCACAGAACTGTAGTCCACAGTCTCCGCGTATATCAGGCTCTGCCATGAGCCCAAACTACTTTTCCTTCGGTTCTTTCGAAGCAGTCTGCTCTGTGCGCCTCGTCCCTGCTCCTGCAGCAGTTCCATGCTTTACAGAAAGTTATCACACACGGAGCAATCACATATATATGTGATATATATATCACATATATGTTTTGGTTGTGTAAAGAGAGTGATGATAACACCAACAACCGTTTGTGTATATACTGGTCAAAGTGCTCGTGGGTCCTCCGGTATGATACTCCGTCTGGTTGGGAGGCCACCAGCAGACTGAAGTCGTCTGCCAATGATTTGTGTCTGAAGGTCAGGAATGTAGTTGTAATCCTTTGCTTCTTTGACAGTGTGTACCCGATACCGTTTCGATTTTTTGCTGTACAGTCTCTTTAGGCTACAAGATAAGTAATTTCACGTTAGAAGACAACTATATTTATGACTTGTCAATAGGAAGTAGTGAATGATACTTACGACACTTGGCCTTTGCTGTTCACATGTGCCGGACGGCTGTTGTGGTGATTGTAGTCCAAAGCTGCGAGAAGTGTTCTTGCTTCATAAACAAAAAATGAAAAAGCAAACCGCTTTCCGGCATACATCAGAATATGGTTTTGGAATGATTCCAGCTGTGAGGTGGTCCTACAGGGAAAGTAAGTAGGAAATAGAAGAAACACAAATCATTCAAAAAAACAAAAACTGATCTCTTACCGAAATGTGAGGAACTTCTCCACATCCTTCAGCCATCTGCGGTTCAGCACGATCTGTGACAGTGCCACATGTGCTTTAGAGCCAGTTGGTACAGGCTCTTTAGTGCCATCATCCCCCAAAGGACCATGAAGGCATCTACCCAGGTCCCACTCATGCACGCCACTAACATGGTGCAGTACACCTCGCCAAATGTCCTAATAAGCAAACATAAGAAACTGAAAAGGTATAGTGAAAATGAGAAGATAAATTCTAGTTCTACTTTACTTACCATGAACTCTTCTCGGCTGCTTGCATGCTGACAGGCATACCAAAAATGGTTAACAATGTCCTTGATCCACCCAAGGATTTGTTTTTGACCTGCTAGGACACCCGCCTATCAAAGTTATTAGTTTTGGTTATGTCTATAAAAAATAATTGAATGAGAAACGATATGAACTATCACTTACAGCATGAAGCCTCTTAGTTAGATTTTTTTCAGCATGCCAGACATCCAGGGAATGGGTAACTCCATGATCCATATATCTTCCCCACTCTGGATCTATTTTAAAGCTCAAAAATGCAGTAAGCACAAAATATAGCACATCAAATAATACAGACAAAAATACTTACGCATGAGGGCTGCAATTTGCACATGGGCGTCAGTCACAATCTTTGACTTTTAATTCTTTCGTGAGATCATCAAATGTTTTGATGAACGCTGCCTTCTCCATAGAGACACTTTTTCCACCAACTTGCCTTTTATCAACATTGACAACACTGATAATGTCCATAGTGTCAAGTTCCATCGTTGTGTATGTGCAAAACGTTGCAGAATGACCTTGTTGAATCAAATATGGTGAAACACAAAGTAATACACAATAACTATGTTGTGAAGTGAAAGGCTTCAGACTTACCTGGTGAGTCCATTCTCCCGTCAGCTGTAACAGATATAGTACTTATAGTGACTGCAAATACGACAAAGATTGTCCTTTAACACATTACTTACCAAGGGCCACAATGCCATCTTTTGACTTTAATCGAGTTACAATAGACAACCTCTTCTGCTCCCAAAATGCCTTTATTTCAGGTACGCAGTAGGAGTGTTGAATTTTGTAATAAGTTGTCGTTGAAACCATCTTCATATTCATAAATTTGAAGAGGGCAATCTTAGCAAAATTATTACCACTCAGTAATAAGTTGGCAGATAACATAAAATCGCCTCCTTGCATCCCATGTCGAAGTACAGGTTGACTGTTCCACATCCATAACTTGTGTCCATAAGAGCAGAACTATGGAGAAAGAAACAAATAACTTTTACTAAATGTATAACTACACATTTTGCCTACCCTAAATACCAATCTCTAATTTCAGCATTCACTCACCCATTCCAATATGATTGATGTGCCCCTAGAACGTGATTGAACCGAAAATGGAGGCCGACCATCACACTCAATACCAGAAACCGGATCGCTGTAATGGCATTTGTTGATGGGCAGTTGCAGAAAATTAGCCATTTGCAGCAAGCTAATAGTATACGCTATGCATGCTTGTTGGTGCACTAGGTCAGTTTCAGCAACCACACGAATTGGCTTTGGGAATGTTGATATGTCCTGCTCAGACTGATCCTCAAAGTCCTCTGGTTCTCCGGGATTTTCTGGGTCACAGATGTCCAACACAGCTTCTTCTATGCCGAGGATGGGAAGATTGTCAACTTCTCTTTGAATTGCAACACCAGCACTGAAAACAAGAACAATTTGATGCTTTTTCAAAAAACAATTAGGGAAGGACTTCCATTATTTTCAGGACAGAACATTTAATAAAAAAAACCTCAAAGATATAGGTGGGACATATTCCGAATCTAATGGATCTGAGGCCAAATCTTCATCAAACTCAATCCTGTGAAAGTAAACAGGTCATATTTTAAAACAATCAACAAAATATTTCTTTTTAAACATGTTAAGTAACTTACACACTGTCTTCTAGATTGTTTGCCCGTTTTTCGTTTAACCAAAGATCTGAATGTCTACAAAAAACAATAAATCATATAAATAAACTACCTAGAAATGAGAATACAATGTACATCTTAATGTGAATGCATGTCTACCTTTTCTCCAAAACCTCCAGCTCTTTCTCCTCTATAAAAGGCTGCACCCCTGCCACAGATAAGTCATCCCTGTTAAAAAATACAGTTTGTTTCAGTGAAATTGTCAATAAGGCTTGAATCAAACATAATGCCAATCCCATTTTTCTGGGAAAAAAAAGTACCGGTCAGATTCTACGGGACTGATTGAACTCGGGAGATCACCAGTCGCAGTAGTGGTTTTAGGAGTTGAGGCCTTGGGACTCCTTGATGCCATCATTTTTTCATAGCTATAAAGTAAATAAATAGACGTTACCTATACACACATGCATCTCATTGTATTACAGTTGGACTAACCACATTATATTACTAATATAGTCTGCAATTCTACGATACATATAGTACAGGTACTGAGGTACATAATCACTGCATCTGCAAGTTTCATAATGGTTTACATGCACAGTAGCAGCCCAATAATGTACACAGCTGTACTAAGCTAACAGATGCTAACGTTCATTCAAAAGCACTAATCAACGTAACAGTCATTATTTCTAGACATTCTTCATACAGAACAAAAAAAATGCTGAATGTGTCTCGCCAATCTGTTACTGTTCAGAAAAAAACCGAACCAAATGGAATCAGTCCATGTTGCTAAGTCAAAAAGCTAACACACAATAATGCTATATCTCTTCGTATTCGAAGACACTAGGACGTTTAGAACTGAGTCACCGTCTTACCTTCTAATCAAGATAAACGCCAAATGAGGATCATTTTTTATCCCCAGAGCGTTTCGGAGACTTCTCCATTTCTCAAACGCATGGCCGAGAGCGACTCGGGTCTGAGCTCTCCGCCGGTCGGCCTCTCGCTTCGTTCTTTTCGTAGCACTAGTGACAATCTTTTTTCTCTTCGCTTGGCGTGGAGTTCCAGACGGTGATTCTGAAGCTGGTCTCTTAGAAGAAACTGCTGGATCCATCTTCAAATACGCGTGATACGGAGACGGGACAGATCCACTGAACGCGAGGGAACATATGGAGCCAAAACAGTGAACGGGCACGCGCATTGCGTCACTTCCGCTTAAACAGCGCGCGAGAAAGCGACCCGAGTCTGGGATTTCTCAATCACTGTATGCGCTCACAGAAGCAACCACAGTGAATCTGCTAATGCTCAGTTTACACACCAGGCAACTGCTGATGGACCACAGATGCAAAATATTGCATTATGGCATTTTTTAACTTACGCAATGCACCTGTCAAAATTATCGTTTTGACTCACGTTAATTACATTTTTTATTAACGCGTTATTTTTTTTAAATACCCGCCCATTTATCCATAAGAATATCACTCAGAATGCTGCGTGTGAGATGGCCTCCTCCGTGGCCGCTCTGGTTGTTGTTAGCGGCTGTGAGTGAGTGCAAGCTTTGCACGGGCTGCAAGCATGGATCTAGCTATTATAATAACAGCAGCAAGCGATTGCTCCGTTCACATACTCAGCGCTCTGCGCACTGTATTTTCCCTGGTTCTTGTCTGTCAGGCGCGCTCTGCGCACTGTATTCTCCCTGGTTCTTGACTGTCAGGCGTGAGTGTTGCTCGTGTGTGTCTTTGGGAACTAATTATTTTAAAATAGTCTCTTTCAATTGCAAGTTTTGTAATCTGTTTGTTTGATCAATGGATAAAAATAAATGCAATTTAATTAAATGGCACCTTGGCCTGTCTTATACCTGTTTGCCTGCAGGACAGTTTCCTAAACTAACATATCATACTAAAATAGGGTGGGGTTGTTGCAACAATTAATCTACTTAGAAGTTATCCTAAATTACAGCCAGCTAAAGCTCGGTACCACGACAAACGAAAAAGTAACGCAATAGTTACTTTTACTGCTAACTAGTTACTTTTATAGTGGAGTAACTCAGTTAGTGAGTCAATTACTTTTTGGTAGAAGTAACTAGTAACTATAACTAATTACTTTTTCAAAGTAACTTACCCAACACTGGTAATTATATTTGATAATCTCATTTAACTTCAATTGGAGTGGATTTGAAATAGAATGTTAAACATGCGATTAATCGTGAGTTAACTCACCATTACTATGCGATTAATCAACTAAAAAAAATGAATCGTTTGACAGCCCTAGTATATATATATATATATATATATAATTTGAACCGAGAATAGAACACATCTTTCATGTAATGAATAAAAATAAAAAATCCAAACTTTTGGTCTGTACTGTACATACATGAGATGAACACTTACACTTTCAACATGTCTTTTGTCCTATTAGATTGATTTAATTGATTTTGACATGACAAGCTATAATCAATCATGATCAAATATGTGTGTGTGTGTGTGTGTGTGTGTTTGAGCATTTACAAAATCCGGGTCTACGGTGTGCTCCCCCTCAACCCTGATTAGCATTTGTATAGCTCACAGCATTGCCATTTACATGTTAAAGCCTCCTGTGGAGGAGGGAGGAGGGGACAACAAACTGCCGAATCCCAGAAGTTTCACAGTAATATACAGGGCCGAAAAGAGACGAAAATCACACTTTTCATGCAGTGTCTTTGCTATCGAGTACTGCACCTGTGTTTCCATGGCGACCTCCTCCTGACGGTAAAAACACAAACCAATCAGTGGCCTGGTGATATGGTTTTAATTTGGGTTGAAATCTCGATGTAACAAGTCAGTGGATCGACAGTAAGAGCACGAATTGATTTAAATTAACCTGATTAGTTGCATTCTTTTCTTGTGGAGGAGTGAATTTTGTGTCACATTTATTCCTTAAGAATACTGTAAAATAACTATAATTAAAAATCTGAATCGTCTTGTTTAGCCCAATATTATTATCACACAGATATTATTTAGGTCACAACAGTGAGTGGCTGAATGGCATCGCCTCCACCTCCAGGATTTATGATGACTTAAACTCGATCCTCTCTCGCCGAGCCTCTCACTCTGGTGGGCATCGCCTCAAGCCATGTCTGCGAATATTCTTCTTGACAGCTTTGCTGTCATCATGAGTTAGTGATTCATTTGCCTCCATTCTTCTCCATCAGTAGAAGCCAAACTGTTATTTCACATGTTTAATTCACACAGTCTTAAGACACACGTGTATGAATAGAAAGTCAGAGCAATCCTTTTGAATGAGAAACAAGTTATTATTCTCTCTGGAAGCTGACCTTGCTGGGGACAGGAGCAGGTGGGTTCCCGGGGGAGTGGAGCGTGGGGATGACCGGAGCAGCCAGGGGCGTCTGTGCCGGTGTGCTGGCCTCACTGCTGCTCATCTCCCCTGCAGAGGCTGAGCCAGACGCCGCGCCTTTCCCCATGGAGCCGGCGGGACGACTGGGCTGCTGTGGGAAGCAAATGGTGCAGTTTGGTAAGTGCTTGGATGCCCAGTGTCCAAACATGAATAAGTTATATCAGTATAGTTGCTAATGAAATGGTTTAGGAATATTAATAACATTTATAATTAATCACATGCATATTGCCAATAGACTGTATATTTCCACTAAAATAAACCTAAGAGGTCTAACATATACATCATCAATGTTTTTTGTTATTTGGGAAATCGTATATATATTTTTCCTATTACATTTTAAGTCTCAGTTTAATCTATTCAACATCACCAGGAAATACTTTTTTCACATAGTAAAAGAAGGTCTCTGTAGGGAAGAACAGTAGATGGGAATTCTGAGTTAAGCTATTGAGTTTCATTCATTTTGGTTTCATAAGTTGAATCAAATTGGACTCTTCTGCTATTTGAACTAATATTTATAGTACTTGACTGAATAATGGCATGTAATACTTGAGTACTTTACATGGCATTACTCATTCACTCCTTACACTATGACGGTAAAGTGCTGCTGTAGCCACAGCTGCCCTGGCCTGACATAAGTCATTGTTGTACATATACAACATACTTTTTTTGTATAGTAAGGCTACAAATGTAACTGCACTTTTAGTTAAAACAAATATTTATAAGGGGCATGAATTATTTTGCTGCCTTATTGTGTAAAGATACCAATTTAAAAATAAATAAAGCGTTAATTACATGTTTATACGCATTATTTGCTACATCCAATCCATTTTCAAAACTTTCTGTTACTCTGGTGATTTATTTTAAATAAACAGGTTGATTGATTGATGGATTGCACTATTGTTTAAAAAGCCAAGTCTGATGCACTGAGGAGAAACTGGGGATGAAACTGGGAATAAATATTCCAAGATGAGATTAGAAATGGCCAGGTTTTTGGGAGGCTCACCTTCGGCTTTCTGGTCGCAGTCTGAGCAGGAAGTACAGCAGAGGGTGAAGGTCAGAAAGAGGAAACAGAAACAAATAGAAGATTAGGGAAAGTTAAACTCATATTACAGTCAAGGAAAGGAAAATGGTTCAATGAGGTTGATCTATGCAGTTGTCTTTTCTATGAGTATGTGTTTATTAATGCCGGTGATATCCGGTGAACAATTTCTTCCACTTTGTGATCTACCCCTGAATAACACTGTTGTCTATGGAGCTGTCACTGAGGACTGAAGGATGCTTTGTGTGGGCTGGCCTCACACTCACTTTGTTGTTAGGCAGCGAAATAGAAGAGCAGGTACCAATAACAATGTATTCAAAATAACACTCATCCTGACACGACCTTTAAAAATCCTACAGAACTTGTATATTCACAAGTAACCTGTTGTATCAAAGAGTTCAAATAAAATGTCAAATTCCACAAATGTTGATTCTAAATCCTGTCCTGTTTTTGTGTGTGTGCTTTATTATCAAATGCCCAATGGAAGTATGACATAATTTGGCCTTTTTGGCTCTAGAGCTGGTCTACAGGCTGAATATACCAAAGTCAAATATCATTAAACTCATGACTTCCCCTGTCATTTCTGCTACACATAACCCAAATGGCAAAACTGTCACCACTACTAAGCATGTCCAGTCATTTTAGCAACCAGCCTCCTAATGATCCAAGCTCTGACCAGTGCATTTCCTTATTAGATTAGATCAGAATTCATCCCTGAGCCTCTTTAGTCTTATTGTGATGTAGTTATTAACCCACTGTACAGGAGACAAGTTACCAAATTGGTCATATAAATTAAATGCAAGCGATGAGGGCATAGAGTTGATTTTCAGAAAACACCAAACCAAAACAATGCAAAAATATACACCAATGTTAAGACATGTAAACATATGAAGCAATAACCCAGAACAGAAAAAGCTAATTGACAATGTTGATGCTTTTTGGTTGCACAAAAAGCCATAGCAAAAATATAAAGCAACTTTGGACTTAAAATAAGAACCAACAATGTAAGTTTGACAAGCGACTCCCATCCACATTCACCCCAAAAATAAAAAACGTGAGTTAATGCCATGACCTCAGCTATAGGAAGAAAACAAAGGAACAAATGCAAACGGTTATGGTCAATGTTGGTATACCTTTCTGGGTGCAGCTGTCTGTCTCATCATATTTGCAAAAGAGGAGAAGAGGACACACAGATTTACAAATGAAAGAGGCAAAGATCCACAAGCGACACCAGCTCAAGCAGACATTAGAAAAACTCCTCCCATGCAACTGTCCTTTCTCCACACGCGAATAGCCCTCTGTAATGTCCAAATGTTACATGGTTTCCCTTGGTTTTTCCAGGCGCCGCTGCTCAGAGCTCCTATAGCCTCTGTCCTCCCTGCCTCTGCTCTCGACTCTCCCTGTGTCAGACGAAGCGAGCGATGCCCTACGGTGGTTGCATTACATCACTGAGCGACCTCCTCCCAGAGACGGAAGCAGCAGACAGGGAGAGAGAGAGGGAGAGGAGAGGCGAGAGGATGGAGGGGGTTTTGATATTGTTACTTTGGTTTTAAGTAGCTGCTGAAACACGATACTCCCTGATGCCATAGGAGGGGTTGAAAAATATGTTTTAGATGCTGTTGGTTTATAAATATTCTAAACGTGAAACTATGACCGTTCTGTATGCTTTTTATGAACAAAAACAAAAATAGATTTGTGGGGTGGGTGTCTATCATGTAAAGAGGCATAACTAACTGATGATACAGCCACACACAGCCCTTTAGGCACCAACAGGCTTCTGAATCCAGGACACGTTTTACACAGCTATCTGGCCTCCTGCTAATGTTTTTCTTTTATATATTTCTGTTATTGATTTTAGTAGTTCTCTCCTCTCACGATCAAAAGCTCCACGTTGTGCTGGATTCACATCACATTTCTGAAAGCATTAATTGTGGCTTTCATACATTTTTGTATTTCATTTCATCTTGATAGGCCGTTTATTTACATTCCTCACTTCCAGTTTCATGTAAATATTTTCCAGAGTCTAAACCAGCATATCTTTAAGTGCAGCAATTGTCTACAGTCTACAGACAACTCTTAATAAGAATCTCCAGTAAGTAATTCTATCAGTCTTTCAGATTTCCCATCGCCCTGGCCATCACAACACAACACCAGGCCAAAGCTGGGGCAGAGAAAGTGGGCGGGGTACGACAGGAAACAGCAGTGATGCAAGACTCTGCTGCTCCCATAGCAACCACAGCCGCTGACTGGTCCACTGGGTCTTTCTCCAAGACAAAAACAAAAGCACAGGTAGCTTTTGGAACTCACGAGTAGGAAAGTATTTTAACTTGGTTGTATTGTTTTGACATATGTTTATATAAAACCAATCATTGGGACATAATCCTTTCACAACATGTATCACACACATTTCTGTGCAACAAACTTGGCTCGTTCTTGTTCCGTTCTATTTTCTGCTCTGATTGGTCAAAAATCGATGAATACTTCATTCTATTAATTCAAGTGAAAGCTATAAAAATGAGAAGAAGGTGCAATATTCAAGTGAGCTCAACCTCTTAATTCATATGAGTAATAAATATTGTCTATAATTGCTTAATATTGCTGAGATTTATGTACAAAACATAGAGATCTTTCATTCGAGTTTAACTTTTGTGAGTCCAATTTGGGTGATTCTAGTCGATCAGGAATGTCTTTGGTCGGCCATGCCCTTTAAAATGTAACACTGCAGTTACCGTTACAAACATGCGCCATGAGAAAACCACTCCTACAGTGAGAGTGATGCGGCGCTGGGTGGAGAAGGCTCAGATTGCAGCGTTCCTATAGCAGACAGAGGAGCTCAGTCTGCAGCCTCTGCCTCAGCACAAAGAGAGATACAGTTACTGCCCTGGATGCATTAACTCGGACACCGTCATGGTCCTGCCTCTCCACTGGGAGGCTTTACAGGACTTTCATATACTGCTTGGGTTTACAAAGTGCCAAAGAGTACGTTCAGTGCACACAATAGTTGCGCTGTAAAACAGTGAAATCAGAGCTGCCCTGTCCTTATATATTTATTGTCTCCTAAAAGATACATTACAACATATACGTCATGCATCTAAAGTATGCGTTTAAAAAAATAATACATTTTGTCTGTCCAAAGTATAACGTCTTGTGAAAGTAACATTCGATGAACAAATCAGACCACAACATTCTGTCTTTATCTTCTTATGTTATATTTTTCATACAAGTAGAAGGAGCACTGTGAGTCACTATTTGACTCTTTGGGCTGAGAGCTGATAAGTGGTCCTCTTTCTTTAACTTTTCTAAAAAAAAAATTCTATCTAAAAAAGCAGATCTAAAGACTGATGGAGGCCAAAAATACAAGACCGTGGAAACGAGTTTCCAAACCAGTAACTGGAGTAACTGGTAGATTGTATTACTGTACAGTACCGTCAGATTTGTGTGGTTTGAAACTAACACACCTCAGTTTTACAATGTTGTTATTCATGCATGTTGTTCTGATTTGCAAAAGTAACTATAAGTCCACAAACATGTTTTAATTGAATGTTCATTTACAACTTGTTTGTTGTAGTTTTTTCCAGACCTGAACTTGGTGATGCACTGCAGCCGTACTGTACCGTCAATATTCAAAACGTCTTTTTTTCATGGTTCTATTAACATTCACTTTGTTGCTGGTCAATCTACTAAACCAGGCATGTCCAAACTAAGGCCCGCGGGCCAATTGTGGGCCTATGTGTTATTCCTTGTGGTCCTCTGTCTTGCTAACATAGAGTAGATTTTGATCATAAAAAACAAGTTCACAGTGTCCTCAAGCTGGGGAGATGGTTTTGTCATTCAGCCAACTTCAGCTCCATCATAGGTCCATCATAACATCCCGACTCCTGGCAAAACAGTTTTACAGTGTGGGTGGTCGGCCCCTAATGTGGCCCTCCTATTGAAAAGTTTGGACACCCCTGAACTAAACCCTTTCAAATATTCCAGCTCTTTTATTCTCTGCCTGTGCAAAGAGTCTTGAGCGGCTAAGTTTCAGGACGATGGAACTGACAGGAAATCCATTCTTTGCAGGTGGAGAGTGGTTCACTTCAGCTCAGCCAGGCGCTGACATTTAGAAATAGAAACTTCATGTATGGATTGTGACTCAGCCAAGGAGACAGCAAAAGACCACAGAACAGAGGAAAACCAAGACACGAGCGAATAGAAATTGTTGCCACTGCCACACAGCTTTTGTGGATAGAAGCAAACATAGAGCCATGCATCCATAAACAGAGGCATGTGTGCGCTAGTAACAAATTAAACAAGCTAGTAACAATCTGAACTGCACTCACTGGCAACTTCATTAAGATTAAGAGATCCTTTATTTGTTCCACCGTAGGGAAACTTCAGTGTTGCATCATGAGTTAGCGCACGCAAACAATGTTTTTCTCATACAAAAGGCCGCTACTTTGAATATAGCGATACAGCCAATATGTATTATAATTTTGTTAAGAATTTTAGACACAGATCCAAAGCTAACAGCATAGCACACATTCCTACTTCCCAGTGTGTTTAACAGTAGAGAGCCGAGAGAGTGTTAAGGAAATACACCGGACAGCTAGTCTCAGAGCAGAGTGTGTGGATAATTCTAACTCCAAGGACGTTTACTGTCCAAAAATGTAATTACCAGAGCAAATCATATCAAGTCAACAGTGCGTTAAAACCATACAAGGTAAATATTAACAGACGTAGTCCCGCCTATCTCCGCTGTTGAAACTAATGTGCCATCCCTTTCGCCGTCTATGGGCAGTTTAAAAATGGCTGCGGGGGCTGGAAAAAGTGAAAAAACGCATTTGCGCATGCGTCAGCCGGCACGAGCCCCATTTATTTGACGAGTGCCTTCAAAAATCTACAGTGACAAAACTGGTCCAAAAAAATATACTGCCCTCAGCATTGCACACATGTGGAACGTGTGTGCAATCCTGTAAGGCTGTTTTTGAGAGGTAAAAAAGATGCTATACATTAGCATTGGCTAATTCTTATTCCGGGTCCAGCCCCACTGGCCCGGGGTGTATTGTAAGTATATCAGTGCACGTCATTTTGGACATTTTTGAGCCGGGACCCGCCCCCACTGGTTAAAACACCTTGTCATTACCTGAAATCCTGCAGCTTATATTCAAAAGCGGCCTAAATGTGTTCAAAATGTACCATCTGTTATAAGGTAGCTGGTGCGGTTTACAGTATATACAGGTGTGCTTAATAGTCCAGCGAGTATTGTACCTTTGTTCAAAACAGAAGCTGAATGCATTTCGACAGACCGTGAAGTTTCAACATAAGAAAGGAGATTGAATTGACTTTCATTTGAATGGCTGTTTGTGCCAGACGAGCTGGCTACTGCTGACTACAGGGATTATTCTGTACATCCATCTGTCCAGGGTTTACAGTTTACAGAGAATGGTCCAAACAAGATAAATTACACAGTGAGAAGCAGTTGTGTAGACAGAAATGCCTTGTTCCTGTGAAGTCAGAGGTCAGAGGGGAAAGGGCCGTTTGAGGCAATAGAACGGCAACAGTAACTCAAATAATGCACTTCCTGCAACCAAGGAATGATCAATACCACCTCTAATCCAGGGGCATCAAACTCATTTTGTTTTTTGGACCAAACTTACTTATATTAAACGAGTATGGATATTCTTTGCTGGACAAAATTATTTGAGTTACAGTACATTTGGATTGGACCAAAACCGGACCAAAAGTAAAGATAAGTAAAGACTAATGTCAACTCTTTCTTATATATTGAGTTCAATCTTTCGAATAAAAATCTATAGTTGTTCTAGTTTAAATTAGAATTAAAACTATGTATAACATGCCATGTAGCTCATATTACTACAAAAACAGAAGACCAGTACATAATGTGTGTGTTTGCTTTGAAGATATTTATGTAGAACATATCAGCAAAGAGAAACATATTTTAGAATCTCTATCAAAACGTTGTATTATGTTCTAAGTCCTTCTACAGATGGATTTGTGTGATGCAGACACTGTCGACTGCACATGAAATTGTCCAGTACATTGAACAGAACATGCACACTGTATTTGAACCAGGACAAGTCTTCAGGGACAATCACAGTCTGCCTCACTCCTCTTCAGACTCAGTGATTGTCGTAATCAACATTTCCAGACTCTAATCAGCTGAGCTGTTAATAATTCATCACTGTCATCAAATAAGGATGGTCGTTTTGACTTATTCTTTCTAGGATTAGTCTCCTCAGTCATTTTGCTTTAATACTGAAACATTTTCAGCTAAAGCCATAAATGCTTTAAAGGCATAAAAGGCAAGAAAAATAACAGAGATGAGCACTACTCCCACTGTACTAATATATATATATATATATATATATATATATATATATATATATATATTCACGTAACAATAATCTTACTTGACAAAAAGTGTTACATTTTCAGCTCCCTGTTCCACATTTTGAGAACATTAAAAAACAATACTATTTTGAAATTGTCAATCCCATGAAAATGCACCCATCTTGATAACAATAGCTTTTCTGTTAAATAACGGGATAAAAAATAAAAAACAGTTATTAATCCTAAAATCTGAACTCTGAACATTGTAAAGCCCTTTGGGTGACCTTGGTCTGCAAAATAAAAATGCGCTTTGTAAATAAACATTACTTACTTGATAGTTTTCAAGATTGAAATGATTTGTGCTTTGACCTCACACAGACTTCACTGTACAACAGCATGTATATTGAACAGTAGTATAGTGAAATGTGGTACCTTTCTTTAAAAACATCAAAAAACATCACATCAAAAAAAGGCTCCATAAACGCTGACATGCTTCCACAGTGACACACGCTGGACAAACACAAGCACAGCAGCAGTGAAGCAGCAGAGGTCATGTGACAGGAAGTACAAAACAACATCAATAGCCCAGTTTGGAGGGAAGTAGGGAACTTGGTCATAAACTCAGAAGTTCATAAATGTTCTTTACAATGTACTTGGATGAAATCTGTAAACACGATGTATCTTAGTTTTGTACCTGTTTGATCTTTGTTGTAAAAGAAGCAAAAGATACGGTCTTTCCATGCAGCAGTAGGCCATTCCTAGCAACAGTCACCACGGTTACCAGAGCATCATCAGCATCATTAGCATCATTAGCTGTCATTAGCATTAGCATGAGCGGTATACCGAGGTGTGAGTAACGTGCAGCACCTTTCTGGCTCTAAGTCCTCGCTGCAGCATCAGAGGAGACAGGAAGCAGGAGGATCAAAACGTAAAAACTGTTGAAAATTCTGAATACACAGTGGGACGGACCTGGTTTGAAAAAAGTCAATAAATAACTAGAAAAATAGACTTCCGCCAAGAGTAACAATTATATCATTAAGAAAAGTGCTGAATCCAGACTTTCAAAATGTTGGCGAAATCATTTTTACAATTTTACACAGCTTGCTAATAGACACAGACCATCAAACTCACCCAGGTGAAATAAAACCTTGTGTTGCAAGTAATACAATAAAGATTTTATCACCGTCAGTAGAATTTTGGCAATAAAAAGTATTTTTGATTGTCATTATTGTGAAATTCTTCATTCTAGGGAAAGTCCTTATTTTAAGCTTGTTCCATTTTGTTTTGAAAACACTCAAGTAAAGAATAGAAAATCCATATAAAAAAATGCACTTTGATTTTTACTTATCAGTAATCGAAAGTAGTTGCCTTTTATCAAACAAAGATTGAAAAAGACAAACTAATGAAAAAGATCAAAAGTACACAAAATGGCAGTAATAACCGAACAATGTCTTGTCATAGACTGACGGAACACAACATAGACGGACATTTGTCCAAAGCAATAAACATCTACAATTTATATTATATTTGGTATATATATGGAACGTATGTGACCCAATGTGTTAAGTAAACACTGCCCTCTAGTGGGCAAAGCGTGTTGCATGTAGATAGAAAATTTCCTTTTTGTTCAACAGAATCCAAAGTATTTGTTTACAGACAGACTCACCACTTTTGACTTGGATGCATCTGAGATTTCTGTAAAACAAATGAATGATAAAGTTTTATTGTCACCTTCAGCACCACCAAATTATCAACAAATTGTTTTGAATAAATCATTTGCTTAGTGTTAATGCATTCTTTTTATTAATTATGCATCCATCTTTACAGTTTTAACGCACATAGCCTGATGTACCTCGTTTGGGGACTTTTCCAACACTAGGCTCTGGGGTTTCTGGAGAGGTTGTATCAGCTCCATCGTCAACCAGCTGAATCTGAAAAACAAATGGAAAAGAGAAATAGTAAATTAGCAAAGCTCAAATGAGAGAAAGGAGAGCATTAGAAGTAGATTCTTGATATATTTTTGACCGGATGGTGTTGTCTTACCTCTTTCTATTCATAGTAAGAATCAGATATGTTGATCTATCTAAATAGTTCTATCTCTCACAAACTTTGAGGCACATTGTTTAAACTCACATCGTAAGACCCTTTAAGTGTGTGCAATGTTTTAGTTATTTGTGCGTTCATATTCCTGCAGAAATACATCATGCTAAAAATGTGTTTTTTTAAAACTAATTTACAAGAAATAACCAACACAGCAAAAAAAGCAATTTGGACTTGGGAGAGCATCTGTCAAAGCATGAAATTTGTTTTCCTTGATTCACTTAGTGAAACAGAGTCTATGAGTAAAACATAAAGTTTCTTATAAGCAACTTCTCACTTGGAATTGGAATTAAAGAAAAAGAAAATTTTATTATGAATCCATGATAGATAATTGGGGCGACAGTAGCTCAGTTGGTAGAGCATTGGCCTTTGAGCCTGAAGGTCATGAGTTCGAGCAAACCGTAAGACCTACTTCACGACCCCCACCGATGACTGCTGTCGTTGTGTCCTTGGGCAAGACACTTAGCCTGCAGGAGGATCAGTGAAGGGCTGGTGTACTGGGTGGCATCTCTGGCCACCCCCGTGACCCAGAAATGGATTAAGGGGAAGAAAATGGATGGATGGATGGATGGATAGATGGATGGATGGATGGAGCTAATTAAATATTAGAAAAAAACATGTACCTGTGACTGCCTGACGAAAATGCCGTGGTTCTCCTCACAGGTAAAGTAGCGCTTCCCCTGCACGGTGCCATCGTTCTTCCCTTTGGCCTCATCCAGAATGACCCCGACCCACTTCCCAGAGGCGAAGGAGGTGGTCCCGATGTATGCCACTGTCCCGCGCTGGCCTTTCCCGATCACCTCCACCAGAGAGCCCACCTTCACGGGGCGGCCCCCTCCGTCGGAACTCATGCTGCTGGTGGTCTGCACGGGACAAGGGAGGATGAAAAGAGCTTAAAATAACTCCTGCTTTCAAGCTAAAACGTCTTGCAAAACAGATTTCCAGATCTCTGTTCTGACAGACAAAAGGTGAAATCAAAAGTGTTCTAAAATTACAGCGAAAGGGAGCTGACCTATTTTGAAAAATGGGTGGGAGCAAGAATAGAGGCAATGGGAGAATAAACAACACAGCAAAGGATTCACAACAAACTGGTGACTTACAATGTCAATAACATACAAATACATTGGATTTGCATCACAAGGCCTAACTAACATTGTCTAATAATACGGCCATTACAAAAATGAGTTTTTGGGAAATATGGGGACACTTGGTGCTTGTATAGTCATTGACAGTAGCACTCATTTATTTGGTTTTATTTTTTGTGGTGTTACACTTGTTTAAGCAATGTCACACAGTCATTATTAAAAAAATAACCCATTCTGCTGGATTGTCATTGTGTCTCTCCATGGCATGCTATATTTTATAGAACATTTAATAGTTTTAGCAAAACTGCAGCACTCTGCAAGAAAAGCACTCGTAGAGCGCAAACTTCTGGCCAGAGGCACAGTTTATTTTTAATTTATATTGAAATTGTAACTATACAAACACATGGTGAAACTATGGCAAACACTGTTGCTTGATTGTATATTATTTATATACAATATTTTGTATAAGTGTATGTATGTATATATATACTGTATAGTATATGTATGTAGTATATACTGTAAGCACAGTAGGCTAGATAACAATGCACAAAATGCACAAAGCTTCTTCATAAGCTACAGGATATAAATACTTATAATTTCTGCTTGAATGAATAAAATCAATCAATCAGTCAAACAATCACAAAAATATTTATATAATATATTGCAGAGCAGAAATTAGCCTCACACATAAACATCGCAAGAGGTTCTTTCTGTTATTTTAGTTGTTTTTGGGATCTTAAAACAACACTTATCTTGATTCAGTTTCAATGTGATGAGAATTTACTGATCTCAGTGAGAACAAGACAAAACAACAGCACTGAGGCAGGTTGTCATGTTACATAATACTTACAGATGGTCTCATTTAGATCAAGATCAGATACGGAAAGATATAATAATATTAATGTTAACTAAAGGGAACTCCTATTCACATTTAACTCTACCCTGCAAGAAAACATACACTAGCTATGCACATTTCCAAATACCTGCTGCAGTCCTGTTCATTTAATGTAACTGCGGATGTTTCTATCAACATCCAATTACCATAAACTACACAACAACAACCTAATCTATCGCCGCAAACAATAAGATGATAAATTATTCCATTATTTACCATACGAGGCTAACAGCTGTCCAACTTTTTGTTCATGTTTCCAGAAACTGCAGTAATTGAAAACTACTTTAAACATATTCACTTGAAAAGCTCTTTGGTTTTTACATTAGATGTTTATTATCACTATAAATTAGCCAGACCTGTTCCCTGTGCGCTAGAGAGGACAAGATCAATTATTTAGTGCCACTCGACTCTTTTACAGCTGTCAAAAAAAACACACACACAACAATGATCAGTCTATTTAAAAATGATTACATCTGAATAGATTTTTTTGGTTTACTAACAGATATGTTGGTTTTTTTAAACTTTTGTCACTCAACTCTAATCAGAAAAGTTGTTTGGCTGAGCTAGATTGTCTGTCTAAAGTTACTGTAAATCAAAATTACATATATATTTGTGTATAGTAGTTAGTAAAGAGAGAATAGTGATCGTGGTTCTATTGTTTTAACCTGGTTATTCTAAAGTTATTCTAAAGCTAATTTCAAAATGTTTTTCATCAGAATACTTGCTACATAGAATACTGTGGATCTATGTAGCACTGTATCCCACAACAAATTTCCCTTGGGACAATAAAGTTTATGTTTTCTTATCTTAAGTATCATCCCAGATCTTTTCTCAATACATTGAGCTCAACTATCAATATCAAATCCATGTAAATTGTAAATTGCCTCCACCACAACCGCCAACAAAAGCATCAGTCGCCCTGATGTCATCCTTCCCGATAAAAGCACGTCATTAACTGATGTGAAACAGGAAGTTCTCTGGGACCGTTTTTTATAAAGGGGAATATGACATACTATTTTAAGGCTGTCGCGTGTCACCTTTAAGCCCTCTAGACGTCCCAACATCAGAGCTACATCCACAAGGAGCATCAAAACAAAGCGTAGCCGCAGTAAATCAAGCTAATTAAAATGTAGTAAAATGAGCAATTATAATGCACTAACTTACCCGACCAGAGGAAGTTCTCCTAGTTAAAGACATGTTAGAGCAGTGAGAGGACAAAGAGGGGGGTCTTGTAGTGATGCTCGAATCAGAATCCAAAGAGAACCATGCCCAATCTAATCTTGGCTTCTATAGGAGCAGACTGAGTCCAAAAGTCCCAAGGATGAATGTGAATCGGTTTGGGAGCAGTGAGAGAGCATCAGCTGAGTGCCTGTGCCTGTGTCTGTGCTGTCTGGATTCTGCTAAAAGGAAAGAGAGGGCTGAAAGGAGCGAGCCGCTGGGTCCTAAAGCCTGCATCAGTCAGGTAAGAGGGTACCATATGTCATTGTAACTATAGTGTGCATTTAATTCAATAACATGATGACTTTTCCAAACAAATGCATTCGCTATTATTGAATAGAATGCAAATGTTCACTTCCAACTGAGACTAACGCCAACGAGCTGGCTAAAATACAGAACTACCTTGTTATTCTCTGGAAGCTCAGCATCAACTACTGTACGTGATTTGGGGACAACACATTAACAACAACAAAACATGGCCGAAAGAGATAAGGAGTAATAGTAAATGCAAGGAACAAAGCAAACCTTGAAACACCTATTTCTGCAATATATATTTTTTCCCAGTTAATTTTTTGGGAACCTTTAAAAAGCAACAGAGAAATACACTGAACAAAATGGCGAATGGTTTTGTATTGCAGGGCATTGTTTAGTGATTTTATCTATAATTAACCTCCGATAGCATTTTAAGCCATTTTAAATATCTCAGTATTTACAGACAAAGCTGTTGCCATGTTATTTATCATATTTAATTATTCATTTAATCATCCATCTGTAAAAATGTCTTAGTATGTTCATGTTTTCAGGTTTGTATATAGAGCCGGTAACAATTAATTGATTATTAAAATAAATTATGATTATTGTAAAAACTCAATTAGTTGAAATCAATCGATCGATCATTACAGCACTATGTTAGGGTTAGACCACACAAACCTTTTTATGTGTGCAGCTGGTCTTTCAATTATAATAACCAACAATTAGATTTAGTTTGAACCGACTGTAGAATAAAGTATTTGTCGGGCCGATGCAGGGATTACCTCTCTTTATCAGCCTGCTGCAGCTAACTGCCCTGTCAGGATTTTCTACAACATTTCTGTGCTGTCATCTTTTTTGTGATAGAGAGAGTTGCACCAGGCTTTAGTTTAGATTACAGATTATACAGTGATTTGGTTAGGCAGAGCTCGCGTTGGGAGAGGGACAAAAGTGATTCAGGAGCTTTCAATGCACCAAAAAGGGCTGATGCAACTCACTCTAAAGACTTGAAATCATGCATACAAAATAAAAGTGAAGTAAAACAACAGGAAATGTGTATTGTACTTTCATTGCAATGAATTATTATATTGTTATAATCTGTGTTTGAATGTTCAAAACTGTTCATATTTTTTGTTTTTGAATGCATTAGTGCAACTCCAAAAATGCTCATGAAGTTGAGGGAAGATACATTTACACACAAAAAATCTAGAAAATTACATTCAGTACATGTAAATCAATCCACGGGTGATTAGGAAATAGAATACACCACTCACTGCAATATTTTTGCACTCGTCTTAGGCTCGATATCGAGTTAAAGAGTTGGCCGATCTGAATCAATGAAAAAGGAAAGAGCAAGACATACGCAGCAGAAAAAGCAAAATCCAAATACATTCAGAGTCAATAGTGTCTCCATAAAAGGATATGACCAATGATGCCCAAACATTATTGTGATAAGTGAAAACATCTGAAATTTGGGAAAAATGCTCAAATTCAATAAAATCTTGGTACCCCTTTGGGCAACTCTTAGAGTCTTATGACATGATAAAACAAATACCAGTGAATTAGGCCAGATGTGAATTTTCCATTGAAGTTTTTATATGTTTGCACGACCTATAACACTAACCTGGCAAAAGATTGATCACCAGATTGATGATTGTGTAGGACTCAAATGAGTTCTCCACAATATTCTTGAGTTTTTGTGAAGTCTCAAATACCGCAAGAATTCAGCTTGCAGGCATGGTTGCTACAACACATGGATTGCAGCAATATAGGCTTATTGTATTATAATAATAATTATGTTACATTAATATACAGTAATAACAACAAAACCAAGAGAGACTGATTTTTGAAGAGTGTGCCATTCTTTCTGCAGATTATGTCTTTTGTGTTCCTCTAAACAGGCCCAGCCTCAGTATTCGCTATAAAGTGAGATTTTGAAACATTTGGTTGGTGGTGGCCTCCAAATGATTTAATTAAGGAAAAAAAGAGCTGATATATAGACCAAAATGTTGCCAGTGTACGTGAGTTTGATCTAAGCTAAATAACTCTAAGTAAGTAAGTAAGTAATCTTTATTTATATACCGCCTTTCACAGACCAGAGTCACAAAGCGGTTTACAATTGTTATTTTTGGGCACTCTCTCTCTGCTGCCCCTGGGAGGCCAGTGCAACAACAGCTGGTTACAACCATGGTTCAACATATAAGAGAAACAGCAATGGTCTATTAACTATTCTGGAGCAAGCAAAGAAATATAGATGATTAAACCACATCTTAAAATATTAATGAAAGTCAAACATACATTTAAATATTTGTATGGCTCAGAAAACTGTCAGAATCTAGCATGTTTTTTACAGTCTGCGGTTTTGTGTCTGTTTGCACTGTTTGGTGTATTTGTCACAATTGACAAAAAAAGAAAAAAAAATTGGGTATATACTGCATTCATGACACTAATGCAAGTCATTAATACAAATGAAATAGTAGTTTTAAGATTACACCAATGCAGTGGTCATTGTGATAGATCCATGGTGGGGGTAGCAGCCTCTATTACCATAATATGCTCCATTGTGTCCTCAGGCAGTCTATACACGCTTTCCAAAAGAAAATAACACACTTATTACATTGTAATGACATTCTTTCCCATTTAAACTTCTTTGTTCCCCTCTGTGATTAAACTAAACAGGTCATCCATAGACAAATCATTAATTGCATGCATTCATAATTGTCCAATGCATAACATTGCCTCACTGACACTGGGGAGAAGCAGTCTTTGCAGCGCATTTACTATGTTTTATGTTTTTGATACACTTTGCGAGCTTGGTTTTCATTGTAATTTATAGTCAGTAAATTGGTTCATTTCGCCCTAATATTCAAGAGCACATCCTATTTGTTGATTTCCACACGTGATTTCAGAATCAATGCATATTTCCAACATAAAGCGAGACATGCTAGGTCTACATCATCTGCTCTTTTTTATAAACATATTATTCTGGGAGCGGGACACTCCCTGAGCAAGTGCACCGGGGCTGCAGTCTCTGCACGGACACATGGCCAACAAACACTCCGCGGAAGACCAGATACAACCATAGACTGTACCCGGGAATGTGTCTATTGCACACGGGCTCACATCACGAGTGACATGTGGGTGACATGGACCATAATCTCGTTCAATCTTACCAGATCTGAGGGAATTCAGTCTCGCTCCGCTTGCCTTGACGCCTCATCCACGGTGCGGAGCTGTACGTTCTGTGGGGTGCCAGATCAGGAACGCATTTTTAAGCCTGAAAACCACAACAAATTATTTAAACCAGTTTCATTAATCTTCCAGTGTTATGGTGATTCTTTTATATCTTTAACAATAAACTATTAATATTAAACTTATTAATTTGATATATTTTTATTTTTTAGTAAACGCCAAATACTTGTTATAGTTGGTTTTCCGACTTGTAACTATGTATCATAGAGTTAGTTAATATATGAATGGTGGTATAATATACTTCGTACATGTTTAGTTCCAGCTCTGGCATATGGTCACCGTTGCAACATCCATCGCCCCGATGGAGCCTGTTTCCATGGTAACCCGGTGCAGCAGGCGGGGTCCACGCGGCAGTCTTCTAAACTCCCCCGAACGTCCCTCTGCACACATCCACAACACGCCCTAAAACACAACAATGGAGGAAAAGGACACCAACGACAATGTACGTATCGCATCTCATTCCATTTGTTTGTATTTATATTTATTACTGCTGCATCTATATTTGCGATCTTTTTGTATCATGGTGGAAATGCGGCCGCAGCCGGTTTTATACCCTCCTGGATTAATATTAATATTGTCCTCAGCGGGGACTTCACTTTTACTGCAGATTAAGATCACGAATGGACTTTCATGTTTAATCCGTGATCGTCAGTATAGCACATTATCTTGCGCCCTTGTAATAATGAAGCGCACACGTTTCTATTGTTTTGCAGGAGGGCTACACCGGGGAGATAAAGGGGGGACTGCGGCCTTCAATGAAACTGGTTGTAATGGGAATCGTCAACAAAAAACCTCAAAGGTAAGTTCTAGGTTTTACACCGATAGGGCCCCATTTATTATTAAAGCTCACATTGTCCACACTGGCCAATGCACTTCAGCCAATTAGAGTGAGTGCTGCTGTATAGTCCTGCCTTTTCTGCAAAAAATATCCCCGTCAGTCTGCGTGCCAATTATAGCTTATTCGTAAAGTGCCTGGGAGAGATGAAACTCCCAAGAAATGCACTCTCAGAATGTTTTAGATCTCATCAAACAAAAGAAGTAAAAATACTACAAATACAGACCCCATTAAGGGCAATAAACTTCACATTATTTATTGAGCTCATTTCATAAACAAACCCTTTCCAGAGAGTGTGAAGGAATATTGATTATATATTGACAACCATTTTTGTCAATATACAGTGCCTTGCGAAAGTATTCGGCCCCTAGAACCTTTCAACATTTCGCCATATTTCAGTTTTTTAAACATCTCAAGGAGCACTGTGCAAGCAATTATATTGAAATGGAAGGAGTATCAGACCACTGCAAATCTACCAAGACCCGGCCGTCCCTCCAAACTTTCATCTCAAACAAGGAGAAGATTGATCAGAGATGCAGCCAAGAGGCCCATGATCACTCTGGATGAACTGCAGATAACTACAGCTGAGGCGGGGATGGTGTGTTCAGGGTGATGAGCTGTGTTGCTTTTACGCCAAACATATCGTTTTGCATTGTGGCCAAAAAGTTTGATTTTGGTTTTATCTGACCAGAGCACCTTCTTCCACATGTTTGGTGTGTCTCCCAGGTGGCTTGTGGCAAACTTTAAGAGACTTTTTATGGATATCTTTGAGAAATGGCCACTCTTCCATAAAGGCCAGATTTGTGCAGTGCACGACTGATTGTTGTCCTATGGACAGACTCTCCCACCTCAGCTGTAGTTATCTGCAGTTCATCCAGAGCGATCATGGGCCTCTTGGCTGCATCTCTGATCAGTCTTCTCCTTGTTTGAGATGAAAGTTTGGAGGGAAGGCCGGGTCTTGGTAGATTTGCAGTGGTCTGATACTCCTTCCATTTCAATATAATTGCTTGCACAGTGCTCCTTGAGATATTTAAAGCTTGGGAAATCTTTTTGTATCCAAATCCGGCTTTAAACTTCTCCACAACAGTATCTCGGACCTGCCTGGTGTGTTCCTTTGTCTTCATGGTTCTCTCTGTGCTTTAAACAGAACCCTGAGACTATCAAAGAGCAGGTGCATTTATACGGAGACTTGATTACACACAGGTGCATTCTATTTATCATCATCAGTCATTTAGGACAACATTGGATCATTCAAAGATCCTCACTGAACTTCTGGAGTGAGTTTGCTGCACTGAAAGTAAAGGGGCCGAATAATATTGCACGCCCCACTTTTCAGTTTTAAAGTTTAAATCATCCAATAAATTTTGTTCCAATTCACGATTGTGTCCCACTTGTTGTTGATTCATGACAAAAATTTAAAATTTTATATCTTTATGTTTGAAGACTGAAATGTGGCGAAATGTTGAAAGGTTCAAGGGGGCCGAATACTTTCGCAAGGCACTGTATAATCATAATGTTGTGGAAATCCATCATCAAAGCTAAATTGTTACTGGTTGTAAATCAGTGCATTAGCACCAATTTCACCAGTGATAACACACGAAACATGATAGTAGGATTTTTGAACAAATCAGCCTCCTCATCATTCTCACCTCCTCTATAACTGTCTGTAATTGTTTTAGGGAGCATTCACCTGCAAAAATGCTTTATTTTGAGGATTTAAAATCACCAACAAGTAAACATGTGTCCTCGACTTGGTCCAGTTGGTCCAGTTAAACCAGACCAACAAGTGTGAAATGCACCCCAGAGATATGATGTGACAGTATTATGAAAGTATTACAAGATCCAGTTTGTTTATCCACCAGGCGTCATACTGTTCTTGTCCAGACGATGTCACTCTTGTCTCTTCTTTAGCGTTGTTTTAGGCAAATGCTTCTGTCTCCTTCTGTGCAGTATGGAGGTGTTGGTGTCCAGTCAGCCGGGGGACGAGGAGGGGGCGGAGGGGGATGTGGGTCTGCAGCTGAAGATCAGTTTTAAGGAGAAGGCCATCCAAAGAAACGCTCGGCTGGACGGGAAATGGGGTCCAGCCGAGAACACTCTGTCATACTTCCCCTTTGCCTCTGGAGAGTCTTTCAAGGTACTGTTTCTCATGTCATTCATTCAACTTCCTTGATTGACGCAATGGACCAAAGGTTGAAGCCTATCCCAGTAACCAACCCTGAACTTATCACAGCACTACTGTACATCTGTAAAGCAGACTTATCGTGTGAAATATAAAATGTTAACGAGCTTTTGATCATATTACAACAGTGATCATCAGGATTAGCGTACTCAGAGTTGTATTTAGATTGACTCATTCCTGATTTTCAGTTTAAAGACTTATTGGAATATTTGTGGAAAAATACCTTTAAAACAACAAAACAATAAAGACACAAAGGGTGCATATATACAACAAATATTGACATTGTGAAACATAGAGATTTTTAAAATACATACAAAAGAAAAAAGCACATAATTAAAAAGTAATAAAGAACAAGATCAATCCATTTAAGTGCTCTGTTTAGCTTGTGGGAAGAATCTGGAACATGGGTTCATCAGGCCAGAGGAGTCATGTCACATCTTGTTTTGTTCTGCATTCAAAGTGTAAACTTGTGCACAAAACATTTCTGGTTTCTTCGTCCTTCATCTTTTCAAAAAGCAGTGACTTTTCTAATGCACGGTCAAGTTTCACAGTTTGAAGCTTCCACCGAATTGCGATTCCACCTCCAGACGGGGGCTTTCTGTGTGGAGTTTGCACGTTCTCCCAGTGTTGGCGTAGGGTTCCTCCAGGTGCTCCTCTTGTGGCACCTCTTGTATTGTGAACTTTCTTCCACAGTATGTGAAGTGAGAGAAAAAAAGTGTTGTGTGAGTCTGTTAAAGACGATATGTAAACAAATATTACTTACAGATTTGACCCCATGATGTTTCCAACCACATTTTTTCTTATATTTATACTTAATACGTCTACCCAATTTTGTCCACTTGTAAACAGAACCAGGATGACAATAGAATATCTCTCTCCAACCGTAGATGGAGATCGTTTGCGAGCACCAGCAGTTCCGGATCCTGGTGGACGGGCAGCCTCTCTGTGGTTTCTCCCATCGCTTCTCTCCTCTGGCCTCGCTCACCTCTTTACGAGTGTTCGGAGACCTGCAGCTGACCAAGGTGGCCTAACGGAGCGGACCATGAGAGCTGTGTGTTTATTTAGAAAAGTGCTACGAACAAATCTACCCCCCGACACAGCTGGGTTCACTTGTTCAGAAACAATTACACCTGCCTCATTATAATGTCGAGACCAAGTGCCTTCACTAGGTTCATTGCAAAGGAGCTGGCCGATTAAAACAGGCCATTCTTTTGTATGATTTTTCTTATGTTTAATGTTGAATGTTACAAAAATGTATAGTTTCCAATTGACATAACAAGTACAAAGATCACTTGGTCTTAATGTTAAAAAAGTAGGTGAAGTGACACAGGCTTAATCCTCAAATCCCAAAATTAATAATTGGTCATTCATTTCATACATAAGCAGAGGATGGACGCTGTTTTTTGGTGGATTTTGAACCAAATTGAATGTGTTGAAGGAAGGAACAATGGGTTAAAATTCCAAGCTGGCTTCCATTTAATTATGTTGGTCTATTAAGAGACTATTTTTTATAGTTTTTATCTTAATTTTGCAAGAAAGTGATAAAAGTCTCGTTTGTGGGACTTTAATTTCCGGAGGTATTAAATCGTCTCCTTTAAAACTGAATGTGACTGAATGTGACGCCGTACTGTAACAGGTGTAATCATGTATTGTAGCCTACATTAGTGCATGCCATTTACACACAGTTTCGTTAAATGACATATTTTCAATCATGAACTAAATCCACTTTTGTTTGGAATCATAATGTTTTGTACAATTTTAATCTCTAGAAAAATACTTGATTTTCCTTCTGAGCACTTTGTAACGTAATGTTTCATGTCGCAATAAATGACGAATCAATGATATTTTTGTGAGTTCTTTGAGTGTCTAATTGGGTCATACACGAGACGGAGAAGCTGTGTTTTGGAGAGAACATTTTGAGTCAGCGGCGGGAGCGTTACTGACGAAGGTTTGACGTTGGAAAAATATTGCCACAGGTCTGAACTGGTGGAGAAATGTATGTGACGAAGATGTAAAAATACCTATGATTATGACTATTTCAGCAACAAGGCAATTATTAAGAAGATCATTTAATATACAAAATGAAAAAAAATAGAAGTTGTGAAATGCTACACATACGTTAAATATTTACCATAAAATATGTTTCACAGATATATTATCTATTGCAAACCATAAATAATTAGTGCTACATTGGTGCCTGATGCTGCTCCTCAGTCGTTATGCTCCAAGAGTAATTCCAAAACAGTAAAGAGCATTTCCTGCTTGTTCTGGTCATGTTTGTTTCCTGATGGCTTCGATCCAGTCCATCTTCTCCTGATGCGTCGGAGCTTGCATGAAGTAACGTGTGTCCGACTGAGTGATGATTTTAAACAGGTTTCCTTGAATGTTTCCTTTAACGCCTGAAATACATTTTTTTTGACATGATGAGAATGTTTCAAGTAACTAGTATTTAATTCATTCATATTGTAAACAATGATAATGGTGACAAGTGCACTGCTGCTGGGAGCATACAGGCAGATTTAAAGTGGAAAGATGTGAGGGATATCTTCTAAAAAGGGAAATTTGATTTTTTTGTACATGTGAAAGTCAGATCTCAGAAGCTACACAGGGCAGGGTCTGGTTAACACTGTGATGGGAGACCTCGGGGAACACCAGGGGCCACATGAAGCCGGTTGTATTATTGTTCGCCTGGAGGGTCTGATGGCACAGATTACTATAGTTGCCTCGCTTCTGTCAGTCTGCCCCACTGCAGCTGTGGCGATAGAAATTGTTTACAAAGAGCCCACCATGTACAAAGTGAATAAAAATTGCCATGTGAACCATCTTTGCGTGTCAAAACAAGTACTTCATAAAACGATGTCTTCCGCAACAGAAAAGAGAAATGCCCAAATAGATCACATACAAATTTTGCTCCATACATTGTATACATACGTTCAACATGTTTTACGTTCATCTTTTTCTTACAGAGAAGTCAAAGAGAAATCCACCCTTTCAATGTTGAATATTATACAAATGAATGATATGTGGAAAAACAAAATGTACTATTTGAAATATCAAGCAGTACATTATATACAGTAAGTTAGTCCCCCAGGAGACTACATTTTGAATGGATGGTTTTATTTCTGTAGTGAATATGTACTGTATGTATAAGATCTTGTATAACTCATAAATACAGGTATGATTGTCTTACCTGAGGGCACCCCATTGTCTTCCAGTGCAGACACCAAACAGCCTCTGAGAGAGAATCCTCCAACGGGGCTGATGTCATCCTGTAGACAGGAAGCGGATCAGACTTACTCACCAAACAAACACTTAGCAGCTATAATTATGAGCACACAGAACACCACAGTCTTGCTCACAGGCCTGGGATTCACTGCACTGTATTTGAGGAGTATAATGAGACTGAGGAGGGTTACCTTTGTGGGGTCGTAATAGTGGACGAAGGCGGGGTCTGAGCGTAACACGAACAGTCTGACTTTCCAGTTTTTCCTTCTGTGCCCCTGTTATTACAACAAAGAACAAACAAGACAAAGATTAATATGAGCAATACACAGTTGGGCTTGAAGTTTAACACGCTCAGGGAATATTTTGGAGATTATGAAAATATCTTTGCTATAGTGGTTGTGTGTTTTCCATGTTCAAATGATAATGACAACAGTCCTCAATAGCATGTGTTTCCTTGGTAGTTGTGGATGAGGTTCTTTATTCTCTCTGATGGTAAAGATGCACATTCTACTTGCAAAAAGGCTCCAGTTCCTGTAACTTCCTGGCCCGACTTACAGGAACTGCACATTTGAGATCTTCCAAGTGCGGCACAAATATGTTATAATTTGAAAATAGAAAGCAATGACAAACAATGTGCATCTTCTCTGCATCTATGGCTGGGTAAACCTTTAAGCACAACCACTATTTTTTTATGGTTTGAGATCAAAATATTTACTATTTTCTCATGTAAATGAACAGTTTCCTCCTTATTTACCTGTTTGAGCAGATATCCTCGCTTCACCACTTTCCCGCTGAGTTCCACTGCAGACAGAGAAGTCTCTGATTTCACACTGCCGCGCTTCTTCAGGCTGTCAGACTGAAACAACAAAAGGCATGTTAAATATACAGCGACGTTTATTCACATACTGCAACAGCAGCATGGAACAGCAACAAAACCAGAGTAATTCCAGTAGTATATTGTCCGATCGTTATTTTCCCTTTTTTAAATACTGTACATCTGAAATACTTACAAAGCTGTAGAGAGCGGTGGAGTCGTCGATGAGCTGCTGGCTGGGTCCAGCTGTCCTGAACGCCTCACAGCTCCGCAGACCCACCGTGCGCAGATAGCCCTCCTCCAGCAGAGCAGAGGCCAAGGTCACCGCCTCCACACGGGACAGGGAGAACTGCATGCACACCAGCCAGTCCACCACCGCCGAGCCTGGGCCACAGAGACAGAGATATATACGATCAACTATTTGTTTTGACGTGACCTGGAGAATCTTGGAATGTAATAGAAAAAATAGATGGTCATAATGAATGGAAAATTACGTTTATCTTTTACATCTAATAAAGCCTCATCAAATTGAAAATGACGTGATCACATAGTAGTCTGGTCTTACCACACCATGGAACATTTTGGAAATAATAATAAATAATTGGAGTTTACGGATAGCTTGGGCCAGGCAAGTCATATAGTCTAGGTCAGAGATATGTCATAGAAGTTTGAAAAAGGAGTATTTGGACAGAAGGGAGAAGGGACGGGTGGTTGAATCTTGGGATTTTTGCCTTGCCATTAAACTTACCTGAGAAGCAGTTCTTGAAGTTTTTTCCCTGCTCCATGTGACAGCTCATGTTTATTCCACTGTGGACATCGTACATGGAGTCCAGTATTTTACTATATGAGGAATTACACAAATATTATTATCACTTTTATTTCATTTTCATTTTACTCATTGTGTTGGAGTTTGACATATTACCTCAGATCAAAATGTTGCGTTTTTGCCTCTTCTGGATCCGGGACGGTGTCCACATCCCCACTGTTCTTCAGACTCTCCACAGCAGAGAGAATGTCTCCAGCCCACATGTCCCTCTCCTCCCTCGAACACGCCTCCAAAAAGTGCTCCACACCAGACTTGGTCACAATCTTCATCACCAACTACAGATCACACACAAGAAGTAAGGCTTATCTTGTGCTGAATAAATAAAGATGACATTTTATTCAAAAGGACAATTAGCATATATATATTTTGTGTGTGTGGGTGTGTATTTTTCATTAATCTACATCAATTATTGAACCAAATTCCATGACATCAAAGCACATCCCATTTTACGTAATGAAAAGATTTCACTGGAAAAATAAATGTGCTTGTAAAAATAAAAATCAAGTCTTGACAAAACAGTGGCCTCAGGCAGAGGATGATGTCTGCACAGAGCGGTGAAAGCAGAGACACTGCTGCCTGCACTAACAAAACAAAAGTGTGGTTTGCAGCTATGAAAACATAAATGTGTCTTGTGTACATTGAAATTAGATGTTTGCAGTTGAAGACACCACAACATTAAAACATACCACTGTAACAGGCTTTCATAATTCATTTATAACCAGTGTGGGAACTACATGCATAGCCTCAGAGCATGAAAACCAGATATTACTTCTCTAAAGGTCAATGAAGTAACAAAGTGATAAAATGGGGACAATGAAACTTGGAATCTAAATATAAAGAGAAGGGTTAGGTTTATTCTGAATATGTATTTTTCATATACAGACAATAACAGATATGCAAGCCTAAACTTCCTCAATTTGGTCTGCCTATTTCAAAACCTAAACTTTTGTTCATTTTAAATAACATGAACTATCCATACACTGCAGTTCCCATTTAGAGTACACATAGGCTACACTATAGATGTTGGATTGAGAAAGTATGATCCAACATCACTGGGACATGTAAAATTGAAAATGAATAAAGCCAACTTACAGGTCGATTTTCGTAGTCGAGAAATGGACACGTGACCTCACAACCGCTTAAAAGTATTTTCCCTCTTTGACTCGAGTCCCGTCTGCCTCCTTCATATTTATAATACAGCAGTTTTTCAGGCATCAATATGAACCAGCGTGCCTTCCAATTGTGCACAAGATGGCCCTGTAAGATGACAAATTATAGCATTAGAAATCTCAATAACAAATAACTTTAGAAAAATAATTTTCTTACCCGTTTGACCAAGAATCCCTCCCGCAGTGACTTAGACTTGTCCATGTTGATGCCTTATGGCCCTGTAGTTGCTCTGTTCATGTTTATAAAGGATTTCAGACCTGAGTCACTGCACACGCCCTCTCACACCTTCAGAATCACACTTTATGGCCACTTCTGTTCCCGAGGCGGCCCTCCCAAAACAGTGGAATTACATGTTTCTTTGATTACACAATTCAGAATTTTTTATGACATCATGCCATGGACTTGGTTGAGGTTACAGTTTTGAATGTAGTTTAATCCAACTGCTATTGTGTTAATGAACAAAGAGTTGATTTTTAATTTAGTGACAAAGAATGGATACTTACAGTTGTCTATATATGTATTTATTCTAGTTTACTGTAGTCTCTCTGTTGTATACATGTTTTCTTTATCTAAGTTAGAAACAGGTATAAATGTGTGTGTATGGGATCAGCTTTCTCAAACGGCCAGACAAATGTACCTATGGGTAAAGAAACTTGAACCTGAACCAAGCAGGCACAAATCCTTAAAAAAAAGAAAGAAAAGAAAGAAAGAAAAGAATAATGAATATAGAAACGTGGTTCAATTGGGTATAATTCTCAAAAATGGCATACTATCGATCTCCATGGAGGATGTCACAATGGATATTTTTAAATTTAAATTTTAACTCTTCACTTTTGGTTGGTTAATTATATAGAACCTTATAAGTTAGTAGTCATTGTGTAATGTTGCCTGATTAATCTATATAATAAATATAGTACTTTATGTTTTAATGTTGTTATTTATTTTGCTGAAAATTAAGCAGCACAACTGCAATAGTTTGGCATATATAAGCCATGTAGTAGAATATACATGTTGTGTGAGGTGAAATGTATTTTAGACACAAATTAATTAGGGAACGTCAAACTAAAATTTGACTCTGATCATGCGTTACTTTCTTTCCACACGAGGGCGCCCTTATTCCTTTCAACCTTGCATAGAAATGTCCAATATCACTTATGTGCGTCATTCAATTAAGCGGAGAATTCAGGTCCCAGACTAAACAGAGAGGGGGACATTCAAACATACCACACGAGATGATGAGGAGCAGCTGCAGCCAATGGGACACAGCTGAGGTCTGTGTTTGGAGCCTTCTAAACGCACCGAGAGCAACACAGGCGAAAGGAACTGTCCTGAAAAACCTTCACAGCCATTACATAAGAGCGTCTTTGGATCAGGGGCCTCTCTCTACTCATGGGCCCTACTCCACTCATGATTAAGGCTTCAACAGATGTCTTATTCCCTCAGAGACGATTTACAAATATTTTCTGAATCAATGAAGATACTGCATGTGATCGATGAAGGGACAGACGTCAGACTGAACTTGAGATTCACAGATAACATTTGTATAGCACAATTCATACACAAGGCAACTCAAAGTGATGAACAAAACAAAACAGATAGCATAATAAATAATCACAGTACATTAAAAAGAAAGATACAAATATAAAATTCCTCAGTTGTATGCACAGCTAAACAGAACTGTTTTTAACCTGGTTTTAAACAATGTCAGAGAGGAGGCCTGTCTCACATCTTTAGGAAGATTGTTCCAGATTTTAGCAGCATGAATCTGAAAAGCAGCCTCCCCATGTTTAGTTCTGACTCTGGACACTAACAGGAGTCCAGTCCCGGTGCTAATAGTTTGTGCTTGTTTTGTACTGAAACATTTTAGGGATAATTTTGCCAAATATTGAAATATTTGACAACATTTAAAATACATTTTGGTGAATGTGAATTATGAATTGGCAATGGTCCATAATTTTCAACCCAATAGGGTTGATGAAAAACTTGGCCGGCCAATAGGCCAAGTTACAAGTCATATCTGTGGAGAAGGCACCGCTCAAACTACATGGTGTTTATAATGTCACAGAATTAATGCAATCAATAATAGACATCCCCCACAGACACATGCAAGAGGCCAACCATTCACCCGTAAAGTTTAAACTCTTAAGTTGTTGCTCTACAATCAAGTGAAGCTTCAGTTGGAGATTAAATATGATTGGATGGATAGATAACAAATAAATCCTTAGTTATATTGCAACTTTTCAGATTCTTATATATTTACTGTGTGTATGTCAAGTGCATTTAGGGTCCAGACTATTGCACACTGTAAAAATGTTTGTAACACAGTCCAAAATGTGTTATTATGATTCCAGGTCCTGTATAGACCACTTGTTTTAGGTGAAGGAATGCACCCTGGACACTGGTGGGCAACCATTCCCAGCAGCACAGGACAAGACTTTGTTAAAACACACAAAAAGAACAATACGGTCTCTCTTTATCATGTGCAGCTGATTGTTAAGTCACGTCTCCAGGTTTGGTGCCAGGAATGCCCCATGTTTAACATTAGCCACAAACCAAACAGGCGTTACACAAAATTAAAAGTTTGCCGTGTTGGTGACGCCAATGACAAACGACTTGACTCAAGCTCCTGGTTTGGGCTCTGGCTGCAAATAACTTTCTTCATGTCCACAGTAGATCTTGCATCTGAATTCCTTTGCTACATGAACATAGTTTTGTTATGCTTCACATGAGCTCACCTTTTTGTGCCAATAGTTTTAAGGCTTGAGTCCATAACTTTGAAACCAGAGCAAAAGTAACTGTTTAATACAAACTAAAGCTCAAAACAATTTGGTTTATGACTGGTTTTCATTTCCATGTCTTTTTAGACTGTGTCACAGCATCAATTCAGCTTTTTTAGACAAAAAAGTGGAAAGAGAGAGGACCACCCTCACTCACAAAATCAGCTTTCAGCAAAAACCGTCACAGGGTTCTTTCTTACACTTGTACCAAAGATGATATGTTCTATAATAAGATCAATAAATATACAAAATTGTGTATGTATCTGTATATATATACTATATACACACATACATGTTGTCATATATATATATATTTGTACCATTGTGTTTGATGGAAGTGTTGATTGAACTGATCAGAGGTAGTTATTTTGAAATGACTAAATAGGTCAGCCACAGCCTCTGTGTGTGTGTGTGTGTGTGTGTGTGTGTGTGTGTGTGTGTGTGTGTGTGTGTGTGTGTGTGTGTGTGTGTGTGTGCATGTGTCTATTAAATAATATATGTAGTTCACGGTGGGTCTGTTGGGTGGTTGGGTTGATGGGTCATGGGCCGTGGGATTGTTTTTAACCAAAAAAAATGGGATTGATAGCTAACCTAAATAAATTAGAAAAATAACAAACTAGAAAATGCCTCCTACATCCATGTACCACTCTAAAATAGAAATGCATTCCTAAACTTTATATAAAAGCCCTCAGAGTTGTTGTGAGATGTTCTTTCGAAGGCAATTCGTTCTATAATAACCACAAGAAATTGTAGAAAAGAAAAATGCAACGTTCTTTCAAAAATATTGATTTTGTGCTGACATTTTTCCATCGCCCAGCGTCTTACGACAGTAATTGTGAAACGGTTGAAAAGTGGTGACCTATTTCAACAGCGGTGTTGGCTACTGTATGCATGTGTTGAAAATCCCACACCCCATTTTCCCCAGTTCAAACACACATCCAGCTTATATAGGACACTATAGCAGATAAAACAGACAAAACAAACTGAGGTTTTTTGTGTCTGAATGTCATTTTATAAAGCCTTGGAATACATTGTAATGAAAATATAAAGTGCGCCGGTAAAACAAGAAAAATCTGCATACAATGTATGTCAAGCGGATTAACAACAGCAACATGTTCTATTTTTACACATATTTATACAAAAATACTACCATAATGGGAATAACAACAGTAAACATAATTGTAAGCATTACTTTAAGCCGCAATAGAACATAAAATGGATCGTCTAGTTGAATGGCTAACACTGTAGACACAGTGGGCGTGTCAGTTTAGCAAATACAGATTTCTATTCTAAAACAATACAAAATAACACTATCCATTTATTTTAACTAACGGGTACAAATGGTTTAGGGTGTCATTATATAAAAAAATCAATATATTTTTGAATGATATTTTTTGTGTTTTGTGTTAGATTTCAAGGAGGGCTGAGTCGATGCCAGGCGGTCACCACTTTCTCCGGATGAACCATTGTGTCCTTCCATTGATCCACGGCCTCGGGGACTGGGCTGTCCAATCCCAACAGGATCTAAAAACATAGGGAAAAAGTGACTTACTGCACGTGGCTATAGCACAAAGGAAACTGGTACATTTACTAAAATGTAAAGTCATAACATGAGTTTTGTGGGTACAGTCATGTTGTACTTTGTCCATAGTATCAATTGTTTCTGTTTCTGTCATTAGTACTGTAGGTGTAATGTTTGACAATGGAGGAAATTCATGTTGTGTTAATTTTTGCTGTTTGCTGACACATTGACAGGTCTTAACTGAAATATATAATTATACAAAATATAGTGGAGTCCAGAGCAATAGAAAACAACAACAAGAAGATACGATAAAACAATGCCACTTATTTGTTCTAGGCCTTTTATCCCTGCGCCTTATACTGTACAACAATTCAGCAAATGTCTGTATATTTATTGTGGTAGAGTTGTCAGAGCAGAGTTGATGGACTTTATTATCATTTTGAATCCATTGCATTCTTGTAGCTATAGCACACATTGCCAAAGAAGACTGGTGAATGATTATCGGCATGGAAGCTAACAGCTGTTAAAAACCTTTTTCAGTAAAACATGTTGTGACCAGTTAAAACAGTCATCTATCAGCTACATAACAACACAATATATATCCAAGTTATATCCAAGTGTGGCCTATAAGTGGACAAAATGTACTTTTTTTCCAAATCTAGCTGCTGCGGCTTTTATACAGGTGCGGCTTATAGTCCAGAAATAAGGCAATAGAAGCCAACTGTTATTCGAGTTAGGACTTAAGAATGTAATATCATTAATTTATGTAGTTTGAAAGTGAAGTACCCCACAATCAAACAAATGCCATTGTAAGTGAAGCCATCGTACCTGCCCCAGACACTGTTTCCTCCGCACAGAGGAGCGGCTGTACAGTCTGACATTGAGTGAACACGGCTGCTCCAATGACTCTAACTGGAAGTGCCCCGTGTCCCTCCACTCGCACACTCCAGCAGAGGCCTTCAGCGCTTTGGTCTTCCTCTTCATCAGCACACGGTCGCACTGCTGCAACTCCGCTTTCACAAAGAACACTGCACACAACACGACAAAAGGTTTAAGGTCTTTCCCAATACGTTCAAGTGATGTGATCTATTCAATTGCATGTACTGTATGAACATGCAATGAGATTATGGATTTTTTGGGAACAATGTAAACCACAAAGCTTACAAATAGAGCGAGGAAGGCTCAAAAGCGACCAGGCTGTCTTTTTCAGAAGATTGGAAATAGGAAATCAAGAGCCCTGTGAGTTACTATTTGATGCTTTTGGCTTGGAGCTGAATAAATAAGGAAGGTCCTCAAGATTTGGCCAATGTTAGAAAATAACATGTACTGGAGATGGAACCAAAAAGATTCAAAGCTTTAGGAACTACACAGAATATATGTATTTAAGTATAATTGTTCAACTGTGGTGGTATGAAAGTAAGGTACACCAGCTTTAAAAATGCTTTATCTCGAAAGGAGTGTGGAGTTTCGTTTTTGTTCAGAATCATCCACGGTTATTTGCTTCATAAATGTGGTTTAATGAAATTTCATGAATTGATTAAATGTAATTCAATGTTTGTGTTATTTAATTCCCAGCGTTTGAAGAGTTAAATCTAAACTGTTGTTGTTACATACCCTGAGTGAGAGGAGAGGAGGACGGAGGCAGGTTTTGTACTTTGTGGATCTGCAGTTGGATTCGACCGTTCACCGGCTGGAAACATGTGGAGAGGTGCACTTCTGAGTGATACATCTGTAGGGAAAGATGAATATGTAATTGAAACATTTTAGTTTCAAACCGGCACATAGATCGACATAACAGACAGATCCACGTCCTTTTCAAACATCTGTCCCTCTCAAACATTCAACACAATACAAACACACTCTCTGACCCTACACCCTACACATGTAAAAATAAATACAAAATAAACAGAGTTATCCTTCAAATAACTGGAGCTCCTCTTGACAATTAAAAGCTCCGGGCTTTCATTGAGGCAAATCAGGCCCAAAACAAAGGTATTCACAAACACCATTATTCAACTCAAAATAAAAATTGTCATTACCAAGACTGTGGGACTCACGATTTTGACTCGGACTCTAGTCGAACTTACGGTCGTCCTATTTCTCTCTCTCGCTTTCTCCCTTTGTCTCTCTCTCACGTGTGTTTGAGCCACTTCGCCAACAGTAGTGCGGCCAGAACACACCACAAACACAGAACGCGTGGTCAATGTGTTTGCTCCTGCAGCACGTGCTCCTGACACACAGTTTAAGTGTCACTTAAAATCTGACCAAAACGAGAGACTAGATCTGATTGGTCTCAACCATAGACTGTAAAAATTAACCGAAAAGAATGAGTAAATACGTTTTCATGATTGGAATCGGCAGAATGGTATTTGTCTGATTTCATGCAATATTTACAAAAATAATAGATGATTAATTGTGCCGTAAGCTATGATACTTGGACTTCAGTTGGATTTGCGAGTCCAGAGACTCAAAATTCCTTGTTTTCAGAGGGGCCCTTCTAACCTACAAATTGTCTGAACTGAACAGACAGAACATTTGTCAGTATAAATATAAAGTTACAGTACCAGACATATTTTCAAATCAATACAAACACATTTTCCACTTTCTGTCAAAAGGTGCACTTAAAGGTCTCTCTTTTGACAGACACAGATTTGAAAATGAGTCTCTTTCATTTCACAAATCACCAACAGAATCCAAAGTGTCCCTTGCACCGGTATTTCCTGTCGGAGGCAGTAAGTATAAAAACATCCCAGACACGGCTCCATTTACCCTAACCACGAGAGCTCAGAAATGACCTACTTTTATAGTTCTACTTAAAAAAAAAAAATTCTCTATAGTATTCTCTAATCAAATATATTTTCCTAAAAAATCTTTTCTTTCCTTCCTAGTGTGATTATCCAAAATCTCGAAAATGAGAAGATTCATCTGTTTATTTCCTTAAATAAACTAAACTAAACAGCAAGGGCACTTTTTACTTTATGGACAACTGTTGGTAAATGCCAGCGAAGCACATCTCTTCATCGTAAGAGCAGCTTTACAAGGAAAGCACAATGTAAACCCACCTCCTGAGTATGATAAGATTTAAATGAAAATAAAGCTTACATATTTATTTAAACATCTGATAACTTTCCAGCGAAGGCATGAAGCTAAGTAGAGCTGTCACTAAAGGTGTTTTTAGCAGTCGACGAGACATCATTATCTTTTTGATCATTTAAATTGAATTTGTTTGTTCATCACATAATAAAGGTTGGAATATGGTGATAATGCTGTAATGATCAAAAAGTGACATATATATATATATATATATATATATATATATATATATATATATATTTTTTTTTTTTTTTTTTTAATATGTATGGGTTGTTCTATCCTGGTCGAACCACACCATAGTACAAATTACATTTTGCGGAGTGTACGGATGGCCAAGGCCAGGCTAGGGCTGTTCTTCTGTGCAATAAAAATCCAAATGATCTTGTTTTGGCTCCTGTTTTGCAGCATTTGTAAAGATGGTAGTCAAAGCTCGGGTACCGGATTTCAAACGGTGGAAAAATGAACTATTTAATACAATCCATGTAACTAGTCCCTCGTTCTCAAAACGGTTTGATTCAATCACTAATTTTCACATGTATTTTTTTTTCCTCGTTGTATTTTGGCCCATTTAGACCCCAAAAGGTCTAATATGAACTCACTTTCTCACATGTTTGTAAAAGATAACAATTGTTCTTATAAGATGAACACAGCATGATGTGGTTTGTTTTTGTTCATTTGTTCACATTTTACTTTGTCTGTATCTGTAACATACAACTGAGGGATTTTATCGTCACTCTTTTAATTTTCATGTGTGATTATTTAGGATTTAATGTCCTGTGTGACTGTCTCTATCTTGTTTTGTTCAGTACTTTGAATTGCCTTGTGTATGAATGGTGCTACACAAATAAACTTGCCTGGCCTACTGTAACACGGAAACATAACACACAATGTCTCTGCTGAACTCACAGAGGATTTGGAGGGTGTGTGGAGCTCCAGCCAGTGCTCCGTCTCCGTGGGGCAGAGGGTGCGCAGTGACAGGACACACTCGGCCACTGTCCTCTTGCGGGACGAGTGCGACTGCAGGCGGAGCACCAGAGCACTGCAACACAACTGCTGCAGCCGCATCGCAAACACAAATGTCTCCATGAACGTCACCTCCTGCACACGGGACCAAGCAGAGCATTCACAAACACAGGAGAATACAATACATTAACATCCCACAGTGGGGAAATTTCAATGTTGCAGCGCACATACGGGACAGTAGTAAGAGTACACAGGGAGCACACAAAATATACAAAGTAAGTAGCTGCTATGTTTCTCGGCTAGCTGTAAATGCTTCAATATCAATATACCGATATATATCTATATATCTATAAACTTATAGTGCAAAGTTATATACATATCTGGCAGGATAATAAGTAGATAAAAAGACATTCATAACATGAAATTGCAGTGTTGCACGTTGCACATAATTACAGTATTTACTATGTACAGATGAATACAGACTCAGCAGTTCTCATTGTACAGTCTGACAGCAGCAGGAAGGAAAGAGTTATTGTGGCGTCTTCTCTGAAAAACAGCTTTTCTCACTACAGCTCTTACTGGCTCATAAATACATTCTAGTGAATAATTTGATTATTTTGAGTGTGTTAATTACCAAAAATAGTTTGAGGTTTCTTTTACCTGCTGATACGTCTTGACCGAGCTCTTGAACTGAATTGGTTTACTGACAGTGATGATGCCTTTGATGCCAATCTTCTGTTGTTCTCCACCGTCCAGCGTCAAACATAAGTCTGAGCACTGACAAAAAACAAAAGCACAGAACATTTAATAGACGTCATATATAAAACCAGACTAATAACCTCTTTCCTATTGCACAATAACAAAATGTCATGGATTTTAAAAAACACAATAAGAGGGACAGGGTATGTTAATGAAAACCCTTCCCCAGACTGTAGCCTTGGGTATTTTTCAATCCACTGTTCCACATTCACACTTGGTTAAGGTATAATTTACTGTCCCTGTATGAAAATGTGTCCTCTGCATTTGAGACATTCTTCAATACCTCAAGAGCAACCAGACAGGAGCAGTTAAGTTCTCGTCAAAAGTAGGATTTGAAAAACGTCCACTTTGATAACTGGGGCGCATCTCAGCCTCTCAGGCATGCATTTGTCCATTAAGCACACTCTCAGTTGCTGCGTTTCAAACACTTTAGATTCACAGCTTCAGGAACCACTCAGACCAGACCTTTTCTTGGTCCCAGCCTGAGCCAGAGTTAGCGTAGCATTGAAGGTCTCACACCGGCCGTTAGGAGGAGGACAGAGGCTTCATTGAGGAGGACAATGGCACGTTATGTGCCAGTGAAACCTTACCTGCACCAGGGTGATCCACACCTGCTCCAGAGCCTCCTGATAGCTCACGTGGACACACACTTTACCCAACTCCCGCTCGTCACCCGATAATGTGATGGAGTCTGGAAGAAATCAGGGAAAAGTATAAACAAATCACTGCCAAAATGATCAAATTCAAGTCAATACATGCTTGATGTACATCTATGAGAGATTTACCTTAAAATGCCATTCTCATTCCTACTGTTTGTAAGTTGTGATGCAACACTGACATTTTCCACAGTGGGACTAATAAAGGATCTCTTAATAAGATTAAAAAGGTATCTCTCACTTGAATTGAGAAAAAGTGAAAAAAATCTATTTCCAGCAACTTTTGGCTTTATTTTTTAATGGCTCCAAGGTGGGTCTCTACATGGACCATTCTAGGAGATATCAGCAGTCCAAGTATAGCCTCCTCAGAGGAAGCTCAGTCAGGAGGACCTCGGATTAGAGCTGCTGCTCCTCCACGTTGAGAGGAGTAGCTGAAGTGGCTCAGGCCACACCCCCTGAGGGGTTAATAAAAATAATATTAATACATTTTATTGATGCACCTTACATTTTTAAGAGCCCTCACAGATTAAAATCAATGGACAAATAAAAGGTGTTCTGAGCATGTCCCAATATTTACAGTCTATGGTCCCAACGGGAGGAGACCCCAGACACACCTGGGAACACATCAGGATTCCCCCAGATGAGTCGGAACAAATGTGTGTGGAAGGGGAAGTCTGAGCATCTCTTTGTCGTGAGATGCCTCATTGACAGCATCGTATCATATCTCTTATGACGTATGGTGATAAGACTGCCAGTCCGATGGATTTTAATAAATGTACATTCAAATGTTCTTTTTCTGTTATTGTTTTCACATGGTTCCTGTTTGCAGTGTGATAAATACAGTAAATACTTGGGGAGGACAAGCAGCACAAAACATTTCCTTCTCAAGCTCAAATATGACTCATCTTTATTCTCTCTATTTGGATGCAATTTTCTGTATGTAGGCCATACTTATGCACAATGTTTTTCCCATTGCACTACAATACTTTTTTTGGTCAAAACCATGGGTAAATAAAGACTTTCAATAGCTTAAATACTTCTACAATCTGCAGTCGTTTATTTCCTGTCATTGGAGAAATCAATGTTTACTTTTTAGAACAGTGCAATTTCTGTGCAAGAGCTCTTAACGGTAACAATGGACGCAGTGAAAGCATCTGAACATTATGCAGTCTATAGTCACAATGCAAAGGAATGTTTAGCCATGTTCATATGGGAGGACATGTTTTTTTTTTTAATGTTGTTTTCTCTCTTATTTAATGGTGGAAGAGAAAATAAACTAAAATATTTACACACAATTAATTTGGATGCATTCAAAAGCTCCCAAGTGACTCTAGTCTTTATGATTGCAGCTCTCACTCCTGCTGCATCCACAATATACATCCAAGATCAGGAGTGCTGAGCCCACTCATGTGGCCAGAGAACAGCATCCTATTCTACTGGACTGTTTCCACCACATAGACTGGGATGTATTAAAAGAACAGGGCATTGACACTTATGGCAATTTGGATAATTACACCTCCATGGTTTTAAGTTAAATTTTATATTAAACATCACAACTTGGAGACAGCTCTGTGTGTTTCCTAACATGGGATGACTCATGGAGGCCAGCAGCTCATCTGGGTCAGAAACAGTGCTTTTAGGGCTGAAGACCAGGAGGTGAACAAGAAACAGCACAAGAGGCGTGTTGAAGCCAGGTTTGAGGACACCACATATGCCAGGCAGATATGGGAGGGCATCAGGGCTTCACAGACTATAAGAGAAAACCATCCTCTTCAGTTAACAACCCCACCTTGGCTGATCACCCTCATCTCTTTTATGTACGTTTTGACAACCCTAGCCCGCAGTCTGTGACACTCTTCTCCATCCCAGGGTTAGACACACGCTGCAATACCACCATCACACGCTCCATATCAGTTTGCTCACAGCACAAAAATGGTCAACAGAGGACGCCATCCGCATAATGCTTCATACATTTCCGAGGTACCTGGAGCATAAGAACACCAATGCTCCTTTTTGTAAATTATTGCACCATCATTGCCTCGCCCACGCCCAACAATGCACCCACTACCTGAGGAAGCTGAGGAGAACCTATGTTCCCAGGCCAACACTACCCCTCTCATCAAAAACAGCTCTGACGTACCAGTCACTGTGTTGCTGTTGTACTGATGCCCAGATCGGTCAAATGTTTACACTGGGCTATTTACGTAAAGGGATTGTGGCGTTTATGCACTTTACATAAAACACTGCAGTGTTATTGCTCTAAACTTCATTTCATTGCTCTCTGTGAATGTGTGACATTATAATTCTGAACCAAGATCGAAAAGTGCCATAAATATAAGTACAATTTGATTTTAGCACAACCAAAAGGAAGACCGTTGTTACCCAGGCTTTCTATGGAGTCTTTCATGGAGGATTCGCTGCTGAAGACACTGGAGGAAGAATCGAACCGCTGCAAATAAACACAAAGCCGATCATTTATAGTAAACCGCAACAATAGAATCAGACAAGGATGTTACAAAATAAAATGTTTTTATAACAGTCTGACAGCTTTCAGACTGAGAAGGTATAATTATTATATAATATCACATTTACATTATCATGAATGATCATCAATCAATCTAACTGTAGCCCTTTAATACAATATTTTTAATTATATCGATTTTATGGAACATTTAAATTAGAAATTATGTTAGAGTGAATGTTAATTACCTTTACTTACTTTTCAAATTGTAGAGCCCTGTTTAGAGCCGCCCATGCTCACCCTCAGAGCTTTCTGATAGGTTGAAATGAATTAAAGTGCCCCATGTTCAGAAAAATACTATCATTTAAAAAAATAATTACAGTTTAAGTTGCTGACATTGCCTTTAATGAACCCATTTAAAGTATGAATATAATATTGTGAAATAAGCCTTGCAATCACCATTTCAGAATCTGCTTACTTTCATATCTGTCTTACGTGTTCGTTTGTCCGTCTCAAGTTTATTTGTTTACCTCAATTTCTATGGTGCTGTTTCTATAATCCCTTTTTATTACTTACTCCTGTTTGCTCAAAGTGTTGCCAGGCTAAATATTTGAGCTAATTAAACGTCAGCAAACTACACGGAAATAGGAGATGATGGGAAGTAAAAACCCCTAAATGACACATACATGTAAGATTGGGTTATTGTTTTCTTTGGTGTCACATGTTGAAGAGGCTGGGATATAGTCCTGTATAAACTCAGGGAGAGGGAGCTGCAGAAATCAATGGGTTTTACCACAATAGAAGCACTGAGTTTACTTATGCCCAGCTGTTCACATCCTGGACTCTGCTGAGACGGCTCACGTTGCTATGACAACGCCACAACACTACTAAATATCCTTATAATCTCAACAACATTATATCTAGTGACTGATTGTTTAAAGCTGGAAACTTTTTTTCACCATAAAGAACCCGGTTTGTTTGTTCCAATGGAAAGAGTCTTGTATATAAGTAAAAAGCATAATCAGTCTTTTTCTTTAATAAACCTTTAGCTGAGTGAGGGTGATCCCTCCTTTTTCACTTTTCTTTTTTTTTATTTGAAAATCGGGTACCCCAGTCCCGCTGAGAGTCCAGTCCAAAAATATCATTGATTAACCAGCAATGAGCAGTACTTAAGTAAACACCTTGAGTGTAAAATGCAGTATACACACAGAGCTGAAGTTATACATATATATAACTATAATTATTTATCTATATATTGTATAATGGGCGGCAGTAGCTCAGTTGGTAGAGCGTTGGCCTTTGAGCCAGAAGTTCGTGGGTTCAAGCCCCGCTCAGGACTTTCACCATCGACTCCCACTGACTACTGTCGTTGTGTCCTTGGCAAGACACTTAACCTCTGGGAACACCAGCCACAGTGGGGCGGCTGCGGCTGTAAAGTGCCAAACTGCCGTTGTGTCCTTAGGCAAGACACTTCACCCCCATTGCCTAGAATGAGTCTGGTGTGTGTGTGAATGGTTGGTGGTGGTCGGAAGGGCCGATGGCACATACTGGTTGCCTCGCTTCTGTCAGTGTGCCCCAGGGCAGCTGTGGCTACTGTAGTAGTTTATCACCACCGTGTATGGAGTGAATGAATAATGACACATGTGAAGCGTCTTTGAGTATCCAGAAAAGCGCTATATAAAACCGATGCATTATTATTATTATTATTATTATAATGTATATATATATATATATATGTCAATAGGCCGTTCGCTTATCATTATAACATACATTATTGTAATTCAAAACTTGACTGTATTTATTTTGATCTTAAAATTGAACCCTTTCAGTGGCAGAATTGTTACATGATTTCTGAGAATCCAGGACTTTCTATGAAGCGACCTGGCAACAATTGCAAACATCACCATAAAAGAGAAATCTGAAGTGCCCTGTAATCTCATAAGTGTTTGTTGGTTTGTACTTTTGCAGTGGAAAGTGGTGAGAAGCAGAGATAAGCTCTTCACCTGCATGTGGCTCTGAGGAGCGGACAGGTCAAACATGGAGCTGCTCAGCTTCTGCTCACTGGGCTTCAGCACAGCTCCTGGAACATCACAAACCATTCAATAAAGAAGAGTTTACATAAAACAACAGAATAACCAATGGAACCAGAATGTTTTGTAGAGTGAGAAATTGCAAAAAATATTCTTGCTTTGAAGTATTTCATGCTTTGTCCCATAGACAACCCTCATCAATCACAATACCACTTCCTAAAGCCACATATTACTGTACTTTAAATGCAGTTATAATCCCACAGAAAACAGATGTTAACATAAGCTTTGACTGGGTCAGCATGTGACCATTTGTTTTATTGTAACATGAAAATCATGTTTTTGTCGCAAAAATAGAAAGACAATATATTAAAATAAAACTGACAAAGCTATAAAGACATTTCTGTCTAAAACATCACTGTCAGGATTCATTGTAATGCTGAGAAATAAGTGACATAATAAATGTAACATTCTTTCTTTTTTCCATCCTTTCTATTACTGCATTACTGATTCAATCAACAATTTGTTTCTAACTTTATTTCATATTGAAATACGTGAAAGAACTCAGACATTGCTCAGTGCAGTAATTCTTAGTGTTGGAGAATCATAGAGAAAAAACTAGTTTGAGTGGCCAGTTTACTTGCTTTGTAGGGTAAAAAAATGTGTAATTATTTTCTTGTTTTAAGTAATTTCATGCGTTGTTCCATTGAATTCCCCATTCGGTTAAAACAGAAGAGATATTTACCACTTACTAAAAATAACTCAGAAATAGTTGCAGTTCAGTGTAATCCTTAGTTATGGAGAATCAGAGAAAAAAATGTGAGTAAATAAAATGTAGTTTGTTTAGCCGGTTAACAGCACATTAGGTGATCCGGTAAATCTACACAATCACTACTGATCTACGTTCTGGGGCTCTGCCATCTCTGTGTTTTGTGAGATCTGTGGATTTTCACCTTTGGGGCTTTGTGCGTGGCGGTTCTTGATGGTCTTGCGGCGCAGTGACCCCGGAGAGTTGTGCTCGTTCATTTGGACCAAGCGAAGGTTTGACTCGGGGCTGTATGTGGTAGACGCCAGTAACTCTGCTTTTCTCTCTGCATACGTGCACCTGGCCGAACCTACACACACACACACACACACACACACAGGTAATAATGGAGAGTAACCTAAATGTATACACAGGACTTCATTCATCATATTTTACTAGCTCAATGTGTATAAAGTGGATATCAACTGTACAAACATTAGCTATTAGTTATGAGCTTGTCTTTATTGTGGCACAAGTTCTTATAAATGTATTGTGCCAAATTATGACTTTTTTGGTGAGAAATCAACCAATGAAGACTTAAAAACTTTAAATTGTCTCTGTATCACACTATTACTTCCTGTGTCTTTCTGGAACTAATGAGTACGGCACACCCTTTAATGTTCACTCCTTGAAGAAAGCAATGTATTTTGTTTTTTTGGGGGGATTTCTATGAGGTCGGAGCACTAATAACACAAATAATTAGTTTGTATGTTTTTTTTTAAACCCTAGTATTTTTTTAATTATTGGCTGAGATGCCTTTGGGGCATCTTGCTTGGAGATTGCCTAAAACCAAGCAAGATGCCCCAAAAAGGTAGATTTCAGTTTCAATCAAGCTTCAAGTAGATATAGTGACTCAAAAGGTGATCTGCCAAATGGTTGAGGAAATGTGCAAACATTTTCCCAACAAGAATTTACAATGTTTATTTTAATGGCTCCTGTTCAAAGTCAATATTTTAAAAACTTTCCCAGAGGTGAAAATGAAAGAACTGCAAAGCTAAACTAAACTAATACGAGACTCATACATGCAGCATTAGCATCTCATATAAGCTGTGCAGGTGTTATACTGTTTTTAGGTTTTATGATTTCTCATTTTGATGGCATTTGGTGAGATAATACCTTTTCAGAATAAAAATGTATGATAACTTTACATTAAAGTCAAAAATTGGGACGAATAAGGTAAAACCAGGAGCTTCAATGATGACGTTACATTTTGGGGACATGTTACTGTACATAAACATTTTTGACATTTCAATTACTGATTCATTATAAATATATTTTTTAGACAATACTTTATAGATGTCTTTATATTTCCTTTATCAAATTATAGGATGTATTGCAGAAAGAGTCCTTAGAGTAGTGTCATAATTTTACAATCATGAAGGAGGACTAACATATGCCAAAACCAGAATGATATTTGTCGAATGATCTACACTGCATTTTAGTAAAAGTTAAAGCTGGACTGAGGAGAGTTGAAGATAGATGAGTGAATACATAATGCAACATACTCTGTAGTCCAGGCTGTAAGTTGGGGAACATCTGGCCCCTGGGCTGGACGTAGGAGGTCTTCACCGTGGGCAGGACAAAGGGCACCACGCGGCCGTCCACCGGCAGTTTGGACAGAAGATAGTCCTCTGGGACGGCGCTCCGCTCCACAGGCTGCTGCTTCACTGGGACAGGGGCCGGCAGCTTCATGGTGATCACTGTGGACCAGGAACAGTATGGTGCCGTGTGAGGAAACATGTATTAGTAGAGTTGTCATGAGTTTAAAACCCCAATAATCTATGATACAAGATAGATATTTACAAACAAATGAAAAAAGGAAATGGGACCTTTTCTGAATAGTTTTTAAAAACAAAAGGTACATTTTGTGTAAAACATTTATTAAATGATGAAGTCACTCATTCATTTGTCAGTGTGCAAATTCAATCTTTTTTCAAAAATGTAGCTAAAAAGCATTGGGAGTCTATAACTTTTTCCTTATCCAACTTAAAAAGCATAACATCTCAGAGTTATAACTAAAATGTGTATTCAACCAAAGCAGAAATCAAATAAGTAATAATACATTTTAAAACTTGGTTTTGTGAACACAAATGTTTAAATCACCTTGAGTTTCGTGCTCATGCTGCTTCTTCCGCGTTAAGTTTCTGCAACAATTTTTGAGGCACTCCATGATTCAGCCCAGAGATGTGCCGACTGTATCAACTGCAATAGTCACTGCAAAGAAGACAACATTCCATTATTATCAATATCTATTCATCATATAGAACCAAATGTACACCCACTGTTCAAGCAATGTTATCTAAATCATCTGGACGCCTGTTACGTGACTTTTCAGCAAACAAAAGTACCCAATCCACATAGACACAAGTATGGTCCAAGAGTTCCTTCATATCACATCACATTTAACATGCAGTTTTGTCATATGTATCTGTGATTCAGTGTCCCCTCCTAAATTTTCAATACGGGCTTTTGTCCGAAAGGTTTATGTGACCAACTAACTACAGCTGTACCAAAACCACATCCCTGGTAATGGTAGTAGGAGTAATAGTAACAGTTAGTAGTAGAATAGAGACTTGCCCTTAAAACAATGAAATGCAGTCATATTTTTAGGTAAATTAAAGGTTTACTCACCCATCCAAAGCCTTCAACACACTAAGTTGGGTCCGGTCTGCGTCCACAGTAGTGCACTTGTCATGAAGAGCTCAGGTTTGCTCTCTCTCTGTCTGTCCCTCCCACTAAAGAGCTGCCTCATTCCCGGACACTATTTAAGCTTCCCTGAACACACGCTGCCTTCCTATTGGCTTCTCTTTTCTCCAATGGCTATCCAATTACAAATAAATACACATTGCATTCGCGGATTTTCTATAGCAATTCTACAACATCGGCAAAATCTGCAAATCCAGTATAATCGAAGTGGTGTAGAGACATTTATTTTGTGTGATACAAAATGTTGACAGTGGATATGCTTTGTGACACATCCATCCATTCAAAGTAACAATAAAATTAAGGACAATTTCCAAAAGTGCTTTTTGACTAAGATCATAGTTTGCGTGTAAAAAAGTATAAATTGTATATAAATATTCAAACGTAAAGACAGTCCATGTTTTTGAGGGGAAAACAAAAAGTTAGTTTGTCCTTCAGCTGATCCTGTGTTGGACCAATGTGACATCATTTTAAAAACAGGGAGGTGATGTGATGTTACCGACAGCACGAGTGACGGCAGAGGAGTGGTGGGACGGAGTTTGTAAAAGGGGAGAATGATGCGGTCCATTAGAGAAACCTGAGCCCACAGTGGGGTGGGTGGGGGGGGCTAGAATGGGTGCTCGGACACGTATATCGTCAGGCGGATGATGGAGCTGCCGCGGAAGTTTATCACGTTGTTGACTGTGACCATCTCCAGATCCAGCACCACCACTTTGGGGCCTTTGATGGGGCGCGTCAGGACCAAGGTGGCGCTCACGTTGCTGGTTTGCTGAAAAAGAAGATGAGAGATGCGCTTTCAGCACTTTGTAATATGTAAAACAAAATCTACAGGTAAGGACGATGTCGAGGGTGATACATAGGGACGGGTATATTTTAGAGATACGTGCCTCGATATGTATTTGAATACAAGGGACTTTCAACCTGATACTATTCAAAAAAACTAATCCATACTATACATTACAATTCAGGGCGGCTTTTTGCCCCTTATCTAACGCTACGACCCATTTCATCAATAATAAAACACTATTGAGGCAAATATTGGTAAATTGTTATATCAAAATATTAGATCAGAAAAATAATGAAACTCTAACTCAACTAAAAGCAGGAAATATTCCAAATATAAAAAAACAGGATTACTGTTTAAATGTGGATTGACCCTAATCCACATTTATCTAATTTCCAAATATCAATATTTTTCTAACACAACATGGATAAAGAACACTGCAGTTCCAACAGATTTATCTTTTTTGAAAAATTGCTATTTCTAACGTTACTGCAGTCCTTGACAAAACTATCTCATAATTCTTGCACCCATTTTTTATATCGTGCAGCCCTCATGAAGACGCCTCTTGCAGCACAAGAGTAGTATTACATAATTACCTAAACTGCAGTCAAATAAAATACAATAAAAGTATTCATCTTTGTGTTGTCTTGCAAGTTCTATTACAGCAATCAGTGGTGTTCAATAGGCACAGTGTATGGCTGTGCTGAACTTCTCTGTAATGTAATTAAAGGTAGAATATGTGCCCACACGACCAGGCAGTATGTGGGGAGTGTTTTGCCTCCAGAATAGTCAAATTGAATACAGAGTACAAGTAAAAATTATTCTGTACTCAATTACTATTTCAGCCTTTGTAACAATGCTGAAATAGTCATATGGATTTGTACTATACTCTATACTAGTATTTTCATATATTTCATAGAATATTTGCTATAAATAAGGAAAACTTGGAGACAAGGGAAATGAAGACTTAGTGCACCATCTGCTGGTTGAACATTGCATGTACTTTACTACAAGCTATAAATACTGTAATATCTGTGTAATGCGTTTCCCAAACAAAACCAAATATTGCTTACAGGTATGCACTAATATTTGCTCATTTGTAAAAGTGTGAATAGGATTGAATAGGAAGAATATTTTTTTTCTATCAGCCATGGTGTACAACTGATAAGATAAGAAAAACACTGAAAATAAAAAGAGAACATGAATTATTGTAAAAAAAAAAAAATAAAAAAAAAAAAATAAGATTACCATCCCGGCGCTGTTCCCAGTCTAATACACAACAACAGAAGAAGTATCAACAGGACTAAAGGCCTCTTGCTTTAGTCCAATCAGGGGGTAACTTTCCCCTGTGGCTGCATTAAAACTCAAAAACATATTCTGACATTGACATAACAATCTAAAAGTAAAAACCAAGAAAAAAACAAACGCAGAATTCTAGTTTTTATTTTCAAGGACTTATTTTTGGTACTATCAAATGTGATGCTTTCATAATGCTTAAAAGACTCTGCAACAACCAGAAGTCAAAATATAACAAAAACAAAATAACAATAGTGCAGCCATCAATGAATAGTCTATTTGTAAAAAATAGAATATCGCCAATGGTCGGAGGCACTCACCCTCATGTAAAACTCGCGTCCGTCGTTGCCAGACTTGATCTGAAAGATGTAGAAGGCTCCTGGGTAGCGCGTGGTGGCCTGCATCTGGAAGATGTCGGCGGGGACAGAGCGGCCGGAGGACAGGTCCATGTGGCGGTACAGGATGGTGAAGGGCTTGTCCCGGCACTGGGGGTTCTCTGTGTAGCACATGCACTGACTGCACACAGACACAACACACACAGTTACACCAGGTGCCACAGTGGCTGTAGCTGTCCTTAAGCAAGACACCTCCCCCACATTACATCCAGTATGAGTCTTTATCTCTACTTTTCTCTTATAACTCTTTTATTACATACGTATATAGTACTTATAATACATCATATTCGGATAGCACTGCCTCGTGTTGTAATAGTTTATGTGTGTCTGCAGGCCGAACTGCACACAAACGGATTGAGCTGAAACGGGATGTGATGGAATAAATGGGGTGTAATAATAAGAAGACCCTACTATAATTCAAAGATGATGCAGTATGCACATTTACTAACGTATTATATAATAAGCTTTATAATGAAATAACTGTACATGCCGTGTCTATTGTCAGTTGCATTTGTGTCGCAGACTGCTCTTTATACTATGTTTTGTAGTCTGTAGAGAGTTCATTTTCACATACTGTATGCTCTATAAATCAATATACGTTTTTTTTTTTTTTGATATTGAAGCACAAGAGCTCACTTGTCGCTGACTTCGACGTAGGGCGGGGGGCACTGCAGTGGGTCCAGGCAGGTGAAGCCTCCCTGGAAGTTGAAACACACTTGCTGCGCTGTACATGTGTTATTTCCAGTTTCACACTCATTATAATCTATCAAATCAGAAACAGAAACAAGTTGAACCTGGAAGCTACAGTTTAGAACAACAAAAATAATAGTTTTTCCCTATTCTAACCTTCACAGCTTCTGCCGTCCTCATAAACGTAGTATCCAGGTGGGCAGATGCAGGTGAAAGAGCCCGGAGTGTTTATGCATCTGTTCTGACAAAGAAACTCGGAGAAACTGCATTCATCCAGGTCTAAAGAAAGAAACAAGGAGTCAGCGCTTCATAAGGATCCTTTTCATGTGGTTAGAGTAAATCATATGTCAGTTGTAAGAGCACACACAGAGCACACAAAATATATAGCTGCTAGGCTCATAAGCTAGCTGCAAATTCCAGCTAAGAAGCATAACAGCATTTAAGAAAGTTACACTTGATCATTTTAATGTATTTAGGAAAAAGTATTAAATCTGCTTTGAAGGCTCTGTGGCTATATTGATAATGATTGTAACATTGTGCTCCATATCAAGGAGAAATAGTCCAAGACTGTATACAAAACCTTGTATTGTATGTATATTATGTTCATGTGAGAATGTATTCAGGTTTGAAATAAATGAATTGATCTAATTATCTGTTTTTACCTTTAAAAACAGTGTGCTTGAGGTAAAAACTTGTAGTGTCCATGTGGAGGGGTCAGTACTTGCCCATGCAGGTGGTGCCATCAGCCGCCAGCTCAAAGCCCTCCCCACAGTTGCACATAAAGGAACCAAAGGTGTTTAAGCAGCCATGACTGCACGGCTCTTCTTCACACTCGTCCACATCTACAGAAAAGGACAATATTACTTCAAACATTCAGTTGAAAATAGGAACGCAAACGTGCAAAGTCCAATCAGAAAACATAGTGTTTGGTTGTTCAGTTAAGTCAACATGAACGATGCTGTCATACCCTGGTATTTTTGGTCGTTATAGTCACATCCAAAGATACAGTAGACTACGTCCAATACAAGTGGAGACCTCAGCTGATTTGTGCGTTTATCCTAAATATTGTACGTACAGTTGTGCTTCAAAACATATAAACCCGGGTAGAAATGTCATTGTTGTGGCCATATTTAGGAGATAATAACACAACACTTTTTTTCATTCATCATTAGTGGTTGTGTCTTATCGTCAAATAGACATGTTTTTCTAATTTCAAATTATAATATTATTGAGCCATGATGGGGAAATCTCAAATGTGTAGTTCATATAAGGCGGCCCAGGAATTTACAGGAACTGGAGCCTTTTGACCAAGAAGAATGGGCAGCTTTACAATCAGAGAGCTACCACACATGACTCCAGGCTGTCAGAGATCTTAAAGTGAGATCATCTACATTTCTGCCTGGGTGTGTAGACTTTCAAGCACAACTGTGTATACTAAACTTAGTGTCTTAGAGAGTGTTGGTGTGTACCTTCACATGTGCGCCCGTCGGGGTTGAGCAGATACCCGGGGCTGCAGGAGCAGGAGTATGACCCGGCCACATTGGCACACAGCTGCTGGCAGTAACCATAGCGACACTCATCAATATCTGATGAACAAGAGCACACCTCAGTGACCATTTGAACGACATAATATAACACTCAAAGAACAACTGACTGAAATGCACCCTGTGCATGACACTGTGAGGCTTTCTGCTTTAATGAATGCGCTGTGTAGGGACATAAGGTACACCAGGTGTCGGAGTAAACAAAAGCAGCCACGCTCACTGCTGATTTCAGGAATCAAGAATCACAACTGTCTCGAGGTCAAAAGCAGAGATTGAATGTTTCAGACAATACAAATACTTTTTAGAGAGTATTGGTTTAATATAAGCTTTTTGCTTGGTCCAATCCCTTTTCAAATCAAGAAACTTATAGAACAGGAAAAAAATTGCGATTAATCCTGAGTGATGGTGACATCAATTGTGATCAATCGTGATTGAATATTCTAATCGTTTGACAGCACTAGTAGTTTTACATTAACGAATAAAGAGCTAGTTCAAAAGTGTCCAAAGACAATACTGTTCTGTCTTTATACAATACAATTACATTAAAAGGTAAGAGAAATCTCTTGCCTTGTCTGACCTGTAGCTGAATTGGCAGTAGAAAGTTTTAGCTCTGCTTGGTTGAATATTTTACATTCCTTTACTTTCCCTCTTTCCGTCATGGAAACTCTTTCCATTGAGCCCTGCTAACAGAAGTCAGTGTAGTGCTTGGATGCTCTGCCTTCTCACCGTGACACTGTCCTCCGATCAGCCAGTAGCCCTCGGTGCAGGAGCAGGTGTACCCGCCGGCTGAGTTGATGCACACCTGAGTGGGGTTACAGTGGTGCGAGTTGGTCGCACACTCGTCAATATCTGAAAAGCAGGGATGGATTGTAAAAAAAATATTTTATATGTTGACTGTCTTGTAATACGATTTAACAATTTCTTAATTATGTTGAAAATTTTTACTGGCATTGGAAAATCCTATTTAGGAATATCTTACTTTTCATAAATGTGCAAAATATTGGTTTGGTACAATATACTGTATAAAACTGCTATTTGGTTGACTCATCGTTAAGTTACAACACAACAACACAAATTCAGTGCAACGTTCAAGTAAATAAACTGAAATATCTGAAATCTGAACATTGTAAAGCGCTTTGGGTGACCTTGGTCTGTAAAAGACGCTATATAAATAAACATTACTTACTACTACACTCATAATCCAAATATTTGCTTTATCTCAATGGAACAAAAAAAGGATGACATCATATTTATTTGAAAATAATGATCAGCTCTTCCATTGTCCCAAAAAGTGGTAAAAACGTTCCTTGACTTAAACTTAAGGAACCCCTGTGTCCTGCATAATGCTGCTCTATTGTTTAATCCGACTAAACCTGATCTGAGAGACTGTTTACCCAACACTTGGGTTTCATCACTTTGCCCTCTCCAGAAACGCTTGACATAACACTTTTTTTTTCTCAAGCCAATCAAACTCCAATTGTTTTAGCGCGATCAGATTACGGCCGAATTCCAGTGCGGCGGCTCAGTCTCTCCATCACATTTCCTTTTGAGGACATGAGGAACCACCACCTCTGTGAGCTTTTCAGACCATGAAGTCACCGCTCTCCACACACTCAGGGGGAAATGGGTGGGAAACGGTCTCTTTGTTTTGTCAGGCAGCTCCAGCCGGCGATAACGTCTGTCAGTGCAGGCAGACCGTGGCAGTGGTGCCAGTTTGGACCATACAGACACTGGACCAGGGGGAAGGGGCTCTGACCAGGGACTGAAGCCAAGAGCTACACCTGTTTAGTAAGAGTTCCAACCCCAAATCTCTGAAGAGTGATCTTATCCACATGTGGCTTCACAAGCTTTCACTTACCCTTTCGAGATTGTTTCAGTATTTTAAGATATAAATCAGTTTCACCTACTAATCCACATATTCACAGCCATTTATCTGCACTTACTCTTGATTAATGTCCAAATTCTGACTCCAGGTTAAACACTGCGAGATTCAAAATTTTATGCAAGACTAAAAACAATCTGCTGGCTACTATGAAATGCAGTAATGAGAAGTGGAGGCTCATCAGTTGTGAAGTTTAGAACGAGAAAACCTAAAAACCTGGATATATTAAGGAATGTTAGGTTATTATTGTGGCATATGGGACATGTTTAGTATAGTTTGTTAATGAACAGAAGTCACATCAATCAACGACTCAAGTAGTTTAAAAACCATGACTGAGTTTAAAATGTTCACTTCTCGAGTTAAGTCCTGGCTGAAATCAAAACAGAATTGTACCCATTTGTAAATTTGTAAATAGCACTGAGTTTGTGTGTGTAAATGATTTAATCAGTGTATATAGGTAAGTTTATAAGATAATAGATAAGATAAGGCCCAAACAGGGACTGGAGTTGAAAATTAACTATAAACTCGTTTTGCATCGCATCAGTTACAAGCTTGTTGTTGACTTGCAATGTCCCTGTCAAATAAATGAATCAATGAAATAAATAAATAAATAAATACTCTAACCAAAACTAAACTTCAACTTGTGTAGGACTAGTCTACTTTTACATTCATATATGATAAATCAGAACCAACCCTGCAAGTGAAGATGGATTGGAGTAGAAGAATTTTTAAAAACAAAATCTGTATTATATTAGCCTCTTTGGATTAGACATAGGCCACGATTCAGATTATGTTACTCCACATCTGTATCCAATCTGATTTGGTATTATGGTCAAATAGGAGCTATTAATATCAATAGGTCTCACATCTAATGAAAGCAACAGAAATAATAGGTAGGTTACGAGCTAAATTAACACTTATTATAAGTAAGTGAGGCTGCGGTCATTAGAGGCCTGTTGGAGTGTGAAGCACAAAGCACGGCCTGTTGCAGATTGAGACAGGAAGTCACAGTCTGAGGCTCTGCTTAACAGCGTCCATCAGCGGCGATTACATCAGAGGTAAATGTGTACATTACATCTGCAGGTACTAAAGCTGCTTATAAGGCTGACACACTTCATTTGTGTCCTTCAACGACCTCATAAAGGAAAATACACCTTTTACAAATGACTGGTGTATAGTAATATCATTCTGAGTCAGAACTGTCACCAGGGTTTTGGAAAAAGGCAGGTTAAAGTATGACATATTTCCAGTCTTTTCCTTTGATCTGTAAACATTAGAGCAGGCATGTCAAACTCAGGATTGTCAAATTCAGGCAAGACATTTTTTAGTGGCCTCTAAAATTATTTTCAATTATCATCATTAACTTTCAGCATTGATGATTGTGGGCTACCAGGGCATGTTATACTGTACATAATTGTTTTCAAGAAAACAACCAAATGTTTTGCAAAAAGAAGTTAAATAGTTAAATATAAAACTTTATATTTGGTCTAGTTTCAGTTAAATCTAAACAATAAACACACGTCAAATGCCAAAAAACCTTCATAATGTAAAAGACTAAAAGGAAATCCCTTCTAGTTTTTTGGCCCCCGACAAGTTCCCATTTTTTTTATTCGACCCTGACATAAATGAGTTTGACACCCCTGCAAGCCTTTTGTAGGAGAGCACTATGTTGATTACAATCATTACACCATTCAGTTTGAGAATAAAATGGTTGAATTCATTCATTCTTGTTCATTCTGCTTCCTTTTTTCCTTATTAAGGAGACGATCTCAGCATGGAAACTATGGACCTGAGGTTCTGCTAGCTCATGCTGCTCATTGTTTAGATGTCGTCTCATAATCACCAGTGTTTTTGCTTCTTAACTCGATTTGTACTGAGCCCAGTGCGCTCCCACTGACAGCCTGAGGGCATTGTTTCGCTCTGCTCCCACAGAGGCTGCTTGTTCTAAAAGCACCTCTGACACAGAATGACTTCATATTTGGCATTTGAAGGTGTAGTTTACCCAAACAAAAGTCTGTTCTGTCCTATGAACAAACTCTATAACCTATGGTGTGTGTTTCTTATGTAGTATGTGTGTTTAATGCGATTTTCCTCTCATTAAACACTGCAGGTTCATCAGAAGTTTGGACAGTTTGACATGATTCCCTGAGGTAATGGGGAGTGTCACAGCAGCTGGAGGCAACAGCTGTCACTTAGGTTGCTATTACACTTTTTGGGCAACTGGACTTGGTTCACTTCAGAAACTAAACAGTCCTCACTGCACCATTTTATGTAACGCAAACTATCAACGCAGCCTTATAGTCAGACAGCTGGGGATGTGAAGGTATTGCCTATGGGCAAAGAGCAAAAGCTCTGGTTCAGAAAACAGTAGCTTCACATAATTAAGCCATGACCATAGATTATAATTAAAACCACATAAGCTGGACTGTCACCAATGTATAATTCAAACTTAAACCCAGAAGAATGAACATTGCTTCACTCTGATGACCTGTAGTCACATTAACAAGTTCCTTTGGGGCTAAACTAGACCTCCTGGAGAGAAATGCATGTTGTCATCTGTTGGCCAATTTTCTCTTGAAGACTACAACATAATAACAGAGAGGGAACGTTATACCCCTGAAGACACATCAGCAGATCCCTATGACAAGGCATCAGTATGCTGTGTGTGAGCTATCTTCAGTGCTTGTGTTTTTCCAGTCAATAATGTCAGAGCAAACTGACCCTGTGATTGTAAATACACTGGCCTGTGGTATAACCACAATGAGTGTCAGGATCGAGCACAAAGTCTGAAGCCCTGAAATGCTAATGTACAAACCAAACTCACCATTGCAGGTGCCATCCTCTGCCAGTTCATATCCTAAAATACAGGGAGCGGTGCCCCTGACCCTGGGGTAACTGGGCTCCACAGACCTGGGTGGACCGGGCAGGAAGGTGTCAGAGTATCCATCTGTGTCGGGGTACGCCGGCTCAGGCAGGGCTGGGACCTCGGGTCTTTGGGGCTGGTTGTAGAGGCCTTGGGGGATGCACAGATAGCCCCCGTTCCTGTTGACACAGCGCATGTCTCCTCTGCAGGCATCTGGTAATGCGCGGCACTCATCCACATCTGGAGAACAGCATTGATAAGGACATTCCTGTGGGCACATCTGTGTGCACTACAGAAGCTGTAGATATCCCTGTTACACACTTACCTATGCACTGTCTGGCCCTTCTGTCATAGGCAAAGCCATCTGAACACGTCTGAGGAGACAGGACTGAGTTAATACTGTCGCTCATGTAAAACAGCTGTTGTGCGCGTTGCACTACATTATCAGTGCCGCAAGGAATGAATGAAAGCTCAGAATGAGTCTTACCTGACCGTGACCCGGGTGAATAAACAGTAGAATACAGTATATCAAAGCTGCCAGCATCCTGGAAAGAGAAGATACACTTCAAACTCACCTCCAATCACATGCAAACTACTATACGTTCACAAACCTCTTGGAGGAACATAACCTAAAGCCACGCATTATTAAAAAGTTGCTCCCTTCAAAAGGAGACGACCCGTCCGCTCTGCGCGATGTGCCTTCTGCTCTCACCAATCGGGGCACACACCGCCCCCTGGACGCGCCTCCGCGACCACCAGATCATACAGTGTCCGCTCCGCACGGCTCTGTTCGCTGGAAGAGGACTGTCCCGTCTGTGCGGATTGAGAAATGAGCTCTCCAGAGGTGCTCACAGCTGGCCTCGATCAGCCACACGTCCTCAGTGCTTGTGGTCCTCTGTAGCCGAGAGCAGGGCGCACTGAGCGGTCTGTTCAGAGGACCTGCCCCTCAGCAGGACAGAAGTGCATACATCTGGAACATACGACGCACCAACACTACATCACGCACAGCAAGCGCGCCACCTTCTTTCAGCCACTCCTGTTGTGACCATATTGATCATTATAGCTTTTTAAAAAATTTTTTTTAACAAAAATACTGGTATCACAAAGAAAGTTAGAATTACCTTTATTTGTTTTGACAAAAACAAATTCAATGGCAAGTGCCTTAAAGCGTGTACACATTTTATTTACCAATTGTATCTATAAAATCCACAGTCCAATTTACATTTGTACAACTTCATTGAAACTCTTATAACCATATTCCAGACAGTGCCCAGCTCCTCTCAGGTAAAACCATACTCCACATGGTGTAAAATATTCTTTTATATTAACCATTTACAATCTTAATTCACATATACATGTCATTAACAACAGTTCAGGCACTTTATTCCATTACTTCCCCTGTGCCGATAAATAGAAAAGCCATCCTTTCGTATTTTATATAAAACTATATAATAGTTGTGTACTTCAACCGCAGATGTAGCCATAATTGCAATGCTTATTACACTGCAGTCAGGCCAAAGAGAAAAGACTGAAAAGCAAAAATGTCTATGGTTTTAACAGATGTAGTGGAACCACATAAATCCCAGAACAGAAGATGCTGCCAGATTGAAGCTTGAATCAGAAATAGTTTTCTGTGGATAGTAATGGAGGTTACTCCTTAAAAATATGAATCATTTGAATCCTTATTGGTGCAGAAGTGATTTGTTGCCAATGTCAGTAAAAGCACTTACAAAGGTGACAATAGAACATTGCATAGGAGGCTATTCTCATGAACATAAAGTTTCAGTTTGTTCCAACAGATTTATTTCTTCAGCAGCTCTGGTTGTCCAGTCTCTGGTTGGGTGCAGGTCACTGGTTGAGTAAGTCTTTGAGCGCAGCAGCGCCCCCACTGGCCTCTCCAGACACAGGCACAGGGGTGAAGGTGGGCAGAGCATCAGAGATGGGCTTCATGAGCAGGTGACCTGAGGCCGAGGGTCCTGGGGCTCCAAGAAGAGGCACAGCGGTAGAGCGAGGCGCCAAGAAGGGGTTCAACTCTCCGGGACGCTTACTGGGAACACCTCCTGAGAAGAAAAAACAATTTCTTTAAGCTTTCAAAGGATGCATATTTCTTGCTAGTTTTTCCTCTACATAGCCATACCCATGATATCATAGATCTTTATGATGCTTATGGAAACACTAAATGACAACCAGTTTCAACAGGATAAATGATAAACAAAAATTATTTTGACATGATAAAGAATAAGCAGGGAATTGGTTTTAATACTTATCTAATACAAATTAGGAACATTTTGCTGGTGGCTAGTAGTGACCATGTGTATGTATTTTATGCTGTTCTCTTTTGTGCCTGTGAAGCACTTTGGGCAGTTGGTGTTGTGCTATACAAATAAAGTTGACTCAACATTGAAAAATGTCCAGTCAACTGATATACTGCCCGGAGGGTATAATGTACTGCCCTATAGATTGGTTCAACCTCTAATTTTGTAAGGACAGAAGTGAAAACTTTTTAATGAAAGTGATCACTTTTGGCACTTGAGCCATCCATCCATCCATTTTCTACCCTTTAATCCATTTCTGGGTCAGGGGGGTCAGAGATGCCACCCAAGTCTCATAGCACCAGCCCCTCACTGACCCTCTGCAGGTGGTGAGTCCACAGGAGGACGGCTGCTCTTTGAGTGTGAGCATAGCCTTGATCTTTCAGTGGGGGCTTTTTTGGGCAAAGTGGGGTTAAGTGTCTTGCCCAAGGACACAACGACAGCAGTCATCAGTGGGAGTCAATGGAGAAGGTGCAGAGGTGGAAATTGAACCCACGACCTTCTGGCCTTAAGGCCAATGCACTACCAACTGAGCTACTGTCGCCCCAAATATAAATGAAAATGTTACAAAAGGAAGAATGTGTTCAGGTCATCGGTATCATTATTCATACGTTCAACATTACGAGAACTTTTTTGCATAAGATTAATTCTATTTTTAAGTAATCTGAAGTGGTGCATTTTCAGCATTTTTGTCCAATTTAGTTAATTCTAAACTTAATCATTGGCAACAAAGCTTACATCAAATTAATTAATTAAGTGTATTTTGGTCACTTGTAAATGAGAACATGAACTCAAATCCTTTTTAGCTGAGAGCCAGAAAAGTTTAGAATGCATTTCTATGGGAACCAGACACATTTTTATACTGTGATTATGTGTATTTAATTTATAAACTAGATCAAAACATCTAGAGTTTAATATTAGTCTCAGAATGTATTATGTTTAATAAAAGTTTTTTCTACAGAAGAAATCCAATACATAAAACATTCTTACTATTATGCCTTCTAAGATTTGTCTGAGAGCCAGACACAATCTTCAAAAGAGCCACATCTGGCTCCCAAGCCATAGGTTCCTGACCTCTGCTCTATACAGTGGTCCCTTGTTTACCGCAGGGTTTATGTTCTAAAAATAACCCGCACTAAAGTGGAATCCGCAAAGTAGAAGCTATAGGTTAAGACTGTAAAGCTCCTCACCATACACTTTATACACTTCTCTAAGCACCCAAACTCACGACTGCTGAAGTGCCATCGCAGAGATATCAAAAGTTGTGCATACACTGTAAAATACAGCTGCAGAGGAGACAGCAGGGAGGGTTACACAAGCAACTGAAGTTTTAAATTCTTAAATACAGACTTCAAATACAGGTATACTTTATAAAAAGTCATAATAGCGATTATATAAAGTTGTATATGATGTTGGAGCAGCGCATGAAAAGCATGCTGTAAAAATGCACAGACAACAATTATTTGTGGAAGATGAACCACTGTATATCCCTTGACAACTTGTTTGTAAATCTCCATTTTAAAGTTAACAACAATAATAATGGTCTATATGGCCTTCATTTACCTGCTGTGGAACTGGAAGCACCTGCACCTTTCCTCTGCGGCGGAGCGTTCAGAGGTTTAATGTCGTGCAGTTTTGGAGCCGGGAGGCTGGGGGTCGACTCCATCTCCAGGAACTTCACAAACATCTCGGAGAAAGACTGAAAAGAATAAACTCATTCAAATAAAACACTTTTCATGCATTATTCTTTTTTACTACATTACTAATAAATACCCAAAATGATTAAATCTGTACACATTATGCTGAGGGTCTTACTGAGTTGAAGGAGTGTTCGCTGGTGGGTCTCTGGGGAGTGTTCGGGACGCTCTGGGCTCCTCTTCCTCCCAACCAACTGGACACCCAGCCTGTCACTCCATGTCGCCCATCTCCCTCCAACATCTACAAATACACAACATTCCAATATTTATTTTTGTCCTCCACTCATCTTAATCTCCAGATCTCAATACTCGACCGTAAATAAAACATCTGCATTGGCAGTAAAGGTGGATTAGGAAAAGATCAGATTCAGATTCAGTTTATTTGCCATTTGCAGTAAAAAAAAAACACATTGGAATACATTAGCAAAAGTCTCCAGTGTGCACAGACAAATACAGACATAAAACAACATTAAAAGACAAAAATAAAACAAATAAAACAGTAAACAAATGTCACTGTGAAATCGATCGACTAAAACAGTGCTAAACTAGTGCAAAACATTAAAGTGCTCTGTTCACACTGATAACAGCCTGTGGATAAAAACTGTTAGCGTAACGAGATGTCCTGCATCTCAGCGACCGATATCTTCTGCCAGAGGGAAGAAGCTGGAACATGGCTTTTCCAGGGTGGCCAGAAGAGTAATTAACAATCCTAAGAGCTTTGTTTAAAAGTCTGGATTTATAAAGAACCTCCAGAACAGGAAGCTCACAGCCCACGGTCCTCTTTGCAGAGCGGAGCACCTTGTTTAAAGATCTCTTTTCTTTATCTGTGATGTTTCCAAACCACACAGACACAGAACCAACAAGTAAACTCTCAATGGTGCAGCGATAAAAGATAAGCAGAATCTTAGAGTTAGTGGTAAATTCTCTAAGTTCACGCAGAAAGTAGAGACGCTGACGAGCTTTCTTAACGACTCGGTCAGTGTTTTCAACCCATTTCAGGTCGTTAGACAGAGTTAAACCCAGAAACTTGCACTCCTCTACGATCTGTACCTGGGAGTTGTCGATTACGACAGGCAAATGAGAACTATTGTGACTGAAGTCGTAGACCAGTTCCCATGTTTTCGATGCGTTCAACTGGAGGTTGTTAGTTTTACTCCACTGAACGACATTACGAGATGTCCTGCATCTCAGAGAGCGATATCTTCTGCCAGAGGGAAGAAGCTGGAACATGGCTTTCCAAAGGTGGAATATTTGGTGGTTTTTGATGAAGTTCAGTGAATATTAGAAGGAAAATCTAAACTAATCTAAATTAGCTGTGTCTGATGTTTGTTCAGCTTCAGCAGTTAGGCAACACATTGGATGTCAACCTTTGGCAGATGACAGTTTAAAAGTCTTCTGTGTTAATGACCTGAATCCAACAAGAGTAGAGAGTATCACATTGCACAACTTTCCTGGACACAAACCTTTATATTACATCATTGTATTGTTGTTATCAGCACCAGAGGCCACATTCACACCAAAAGATCGTTTATACAATTTGTATTTTTTTATTAAAATTCTTTTTTTTAATGACATTCTTCCCTTTATAATGAAAATGCAAAATCTTTTTGATTTTAGTGAGCTGCACCAGCTCTATGACCCAGCACCACTGCAGCCAACCTGGCCTTTTGCCTGGAGGAGCCTTTCCCAACAGTGACCGGGTCTCCCACTTGCAGCTGCATGTGAAAGGTTGATCAATCAATCAATCAAATTTTATTTATGAAGCGCTTTTCATACAAAAGATGCAACACAAAGTGCTTTACAGTTTGGTTAAAAACAATCCCGCCGGCCCATGTCCCCTCCCCCCGACCCCACACACACACACACACACACACACACACACACACACACACACACACACACACACACACACACACACACACACACACACAAAACAGTAAAACAATGATGAGAGACTTGGCAGGGTTCGGATGCAACCAGTTGAAAAAGCGTCATCCTAGGAGCCGTCTGCACCAGGAGCAGAGAGCCGCCTGTAGCCACAGGGGACGACACAGGATCTAGAGGAGACCCGAAACCGAGGCCCCAGGCCCCCACCAGGTCCAAGAGTCCGACCCCCACAGCCACACCGACCACTGCTCCCAGTGCAGAGGGCTCCTCCAGAGGAAACACTGGGTACACTAAAAACAATATAATAACAATACAATATGTAAAACACAAAACTGTGAAACTAAAATGAAACTAAAATGAACTAACACACAATACATGAATAAAAGCAATAGCAATACAATAAATAATAGAGGATAAATAGAATATATAAAATGAAATAGTAAAAACTAATCAAAAGCTAATCTAAAAAGGTGCGTCTTGAGCCTGCTTTTAAAAATATGAACGTTCTCTGCGGCCCTGAGCTCCTCCGGCAGACTGTTCCAGAGACGGGGGCCGTAGTGCTGGAAAGATGCCTCACCGTGAGTGTGTGTCCTGACTTTGGGGATGGTTAGAAGTCTGCTGCCGGAGGAGCGCAGGGGCCGGGAAGGTTCATAGGATAAAAGCAAATCTGAAAGATAAGAAGGCCCAAGACCATTAAGACATTTAAAAACCATTAAAAGAACCTTAAAATCGATCCTGAAACACACAGGGAGCCAATGCAGCGATTTTAAAACCGGTGTAATGTGGTCCCGCCCCCTGGTCTTAGTCAGGACACGTGCGGCCGAGTTTTGGAGTAATTGTAAACCTGAAATGTTCTTTTTGGGAAGACCAGAAAGCAGGGCATTACAGTAGTCAATGCGACTGGTTATAAAAGCATGCATCAGCGTCTCCGTGTTGCCCCGAGAGAGAATGGGGCGGACTCTGGCGATGTTCTTTAGATGATAAAAACCTATTTTTGTGATGTTCTTGATGTGAGGAATAAAAGTCAGCTCAGAGTCAAAGATTACGCCCAGGTTTCTCACTTGTGATGATGGATTAAAAGAGTGTGATTGGAGTTTTGATAAAAGTTTCTCTCTCTGGGCCTCAGGACCGATGACTAAAACCTCAGTTTTGTCCTGGTTGAGCTGGAGAAAGTTTTCTGCCATCCAGGATTTCAGGTCTAAAATGCAGTTAAAAAGAGCATCCATTGGCCTGGTGTCATCAGGAGACATGGAGATGTACAGCTGAGTATCATCTGCATAACTGTGGAAGTTAATTCCATGTCTCCTGACGACACCGCCAAGAGGGAGCATGTACAGGTTAAAAAGGACTGGACCTAAAATGGAACCCTGGGGCACACCACATGTGATTTTATGGACCTGAGAGGAGCAGGTATCCAAACTTACCATGAAGGATCTGTCTGTTAAATAAGAAGTGAACCATTTGTGGACAGCACCAGAGAGGCCGAGGTGTTTCAGGCGGGATAAAAGAATGGTGTGGTCTACTGTATCAAAGGCAGCGCTTAGATCCAGTAGAACCAACACGGTCACCTTTTTAGAATCATAACTTAGTCTAAAATCATTTAAAATCTTTAAAAGAGCAGTCTCTGTGCTGTGGTTCACCCTAAAACCTGATTGAAATTTCTCTAAAATTTGTTGCTGATCTAAGAAGGCATTGAGCTGGGTAAAAACAAGTTTTTCTAAAATTTTGCTTAAAAATGGCAGGTTGGATACCGGTCTGTAGTTGTTAAAATCATTAAAATCTAAATTGCTCTTCTTCAGAAGGGGTCTCACCACAGCCGCTTTGAAGGCTGCAGGAAAGACCCCAGTCTGCAGAGAGCAATTCATCAGGTTTAAAAGCTCCTTTCTAAAAGATTCATAAAATGACTTAAAAAATGGAGTGGGGACTGGATCTAAAAGACATGTGGTGGGCCTCACTGAGGAGAAAACTTTATCAAGCATCTCAGCATCAACCAGGACAAAACTGTCCAGTGTTTCCTCTGGTGAAGACAAACAATCAGATGTGTTAAAAACAGTTGTGCGGTTGGATAAAATGTTACATCTGATTGTGTTTATCTTCCCCGTGAAGTGGGCTGCAAAATCCTCACAGAGGGAGTCTGTGGGGGTTAAAAGAGACATGCTAAAATCAGGGTTTAAAATGGTGTCGATGGTTGAAAAGAGGACCTTTGGGGTTATTTTTATTTTGGGTGATTAGCTTTGCAAAGTATTTGTTCTTATGATTTCTAATTGTGTTATTGTATGCTTTTTGATTGCTTTTATATAGTTCGTAGTTGATTGTTATTTTATCTTTCCTCCACCTTCGTTCTGCCACCCTGCACTCTCGTTTCATTTTCCGTACTTCCTCATTTCTCCATGGGGGTACAGATTTTGTTTTTATGATTTTTGTTTTTAAAGGAGCGACTTGATCCAATGCGGAACTAAGTCTACTGTTAAAATCATTTGCTATAAAATCACAGGGGGCAGGTAAAACCAAGTGGGGAGTGTTGTTTAGGATGTCGATAAAATTTGCAGCCACTTCAGGGGTTAGATGTCGCTTCCTCACGGTTCTCACAGAGGTCTCACGCTGAATAAAACCAGTGATGTTAAAAAACACACAGTAGTGGTCCGAGACAGCCAAGTCGACAACAGAGGACACATCCGCAGTCAGGCCATAGGTAATGACCAGGTCGAGGGTGCGTCCCCTGTTGTGTGTTGACTGTCTGACGTGTTGGGTAAAATCCATGTAATTAAGAACATCTAAGAAATCTAGGGTAAAATTGTCAGAGGGATTGTCAATGTGTATGTTAAAATCACCGGTTAAAATTATCATGTTGTAAGAATTGTGTAACTGTGATAAAAACGCTGAGAATTCATGAATAAAAAGGCTGCACTTTTTTGGTGGCCTATAAATAATTACTGTTAAAATTTTGGGGTTGCTAAAAACAAGTGAGTGATACTCAAAACTTGAGTATTGGTTAAAAACAATAGGTTTGGTGGCCAGGGCGTTACTGCATATTGAGGCTGTGCCGCCACCTCTCTTTCCTTCTCTTGTTTTAAAAGCAAAGCTAAAATCGGGAGGGGAAGCCTCTGTAAGAACAGCCGGAGCATCCGGACCCAGCCACGTCTCAGTTAAAAACATACCATCCAGTTCGTGTTCTAAAATCAAATCGTTTACAGTAAAAGTCTTATTTAAAAGAGAGCGTACATTTAAAAGAGCAAACCTGATGGTAGATGGGGGTCATTTTTGTTTGTGGTGAGGGGAGAAGAAGATGTGGAGGAGCAAAGGGCAACAGGGATGAGGGTGTTGAGGGACGGTTTCCGGAGTATGGACGGTCTGTAGGGGCGGGGTCTGGACAGAACTGAAATTCCTTGCTGGAGGGGGGAGCAGGGACCGATGTTGGAGTCCAGAGGGGCAGGAATGATGTGGGATGGAGTGGTGGATTGTCAGAGGTGCGGGGGACGGGATTGGACTGAGTGGGTGATGTTTGAAATCAGGTACCGGTGCCGAGTTTATTGATATGGAGTCCATCGGGTGTGAAGAAGGGGTGGCGGTTCCAGAACAGATTAAAATTGTCAATAAAACCAAAGTTGTGCTGTTGTGATGAGTTTTGAAGCCAAGTGGTGAGTGATAGTATCCTGCTAAAACGTTCCACGCCCCGGTTGGAAGTGGGCAGAGGGCCAGAGATAAAAACACTTTTGCCGGATTTCAATAAAAGGTTAAAAAGGTCCTTAAAATGGAGTTTGGTGGTTTCAGTTTGGCGAAGTGAAGTGTCATTTGTAGCAACATGTATTATGATCCGGGTTATTGTGGGGGGTGCTGTCTGTAGAAGTGCGGGTAGTTTCGTGAGGATGGTAGGGACAGTGGCTCCGGAAAAGCAGTGTGTGATGGCATTGAAGAACTTACAGTGTTTGATGATAGAGTCCCCCACCAGGAGTGTAGTTGGTGCAAACAGAGGCCGTGGAGGGGAGGGTGTGACTGGAGTAGGGCCCGGGGGAGAGCAGGGGACAGGAGAGCGTTGGGAGGTGCCCGGAGCAGAGCTGCTGCGAGCCCCGTGAGCCGCAGTGGAGCAGGAGGATGGAGCCGGAGACCGAGCCGGCGCCCCTGCAGCGGGGTTGGCGGTGGTGGTAGTGCGGGCCGTTGTGGGAGGGCCATGGACCGGGCGGAGAGATCCTCCAGCAGGCGAGACAGCCTCCGCGGGGGAGCTCCGCGCCGAAATTGAGCGCAAAGACTCCCCCGCGGGCGAGGCAGCAACTACGGGAGGACTCTGCACCGTGCCAGAACGCAGAGGCCCCCCCGCGGCCACCTCAGCGTAGGACCTGCTTTGTGTCCCGTCTCTGGGGATTCCCTCCGCGTCAGAGCGCACGGACCGTCCCACAGCAGGGACAGCGCTCCCGGGGGTATCCGGTGCCGCGTCGGGGCACAGAGATCCCCCCGGGGCTTCCCGCAGTTGGTCCTGCGTGACACCCGGAGAGCCCCGCGCTGTTTTAGAGCGTGGGAAGCTCCCCGAGCGTCTGCGCACAGCCTCCTCCACCAACCTGCGGCGAGAGGACACCGTGGATGTCGTGTGGCCTCCAGGCCTCTGCTCCGCGCCGCTCTGGGTATGGGCAGCAGGCTCCGGGACCGTAGAGGAGGGAAGAGCACCGGGAGGGACAGGAGCAACCGCAACCGGGAAGCGTGAGGTAAGCACCGGGGTAGAGCATGATGAGGGGTGAGGACAGGCGATTGGATCCCAGAGTGCAGTGTCGTGGAGCTGTGATTGTCTGAGTACGGAGAGGGATATTTGCTGTGACTGTTTGAATGATATGTCCATGAAATGTTCCAGAAGTTTCTCTTTATGTATGAGTTCAGTGGATAGTTCTTTGACAGTGCGCTGAAGTTCCTCGGGGGTCATGGTGTTTACTGGTTTTGATGGGAGGATTGAAGCAAGTTGTGATTTGTATATCTGTTTGTATGAGTTCGCGGGGGGAGCATCGGTGTCCATGGTGATGTGTAGTGGTTACCGGTGAAAGGTTGATAGACAGTCCTGTTAAAAGTGACAGTAATCCTTTTTGATGCAGTCTGTTAAAATCCGCGTAATCCGTCGAGCAGGGCGAATAAAAACAGTGATAGAAACTTAGTTTTAAAAATAACTCATAAAAATGTGACCTTCCTTTTCCCATCTCAATGAACTGAAGCAGCATTTTCATGTGCACATCAGTGGGTATTCTTCAGTGGGACTGACATGTCTGTGCTTTCATATTGTTCATATAAAGTAGTAATATGAACTGTGTGTTCTCAGCACCAGCAGATTACTGTGCCTTTCTGAATCTAAGTCAAAGTTTAATTTGAGAAGGTTTAAACAAATTTGATAAAAGTAAAGCAGTGCAAAGTGCAGTTTGGGGCTCACATTACCGTGTGACGTGGTTTCTGACACAAAGGCTTCTTCAAAGCTTGCTATAGTTAGTATACAAATCCCTTATCGATCTCTAGATGAATACTGTAGATTCAAAATCTTTGTAAGATGTTTAAAATATGGTGCAACCTTCAGTTATCTGAGATACTACTGGCACAAAGATTAGCCTGCGTCTCCTTCAAGCTGCAGTAGCTCATTATATAATGAGATACGACACATTTATCAGTCTAAAGCCATTTAAAAGTTTCCAAGATTATAATCCAATAGGAAAACACTGAAGATAAACAATGGCTTTAATCACAGTAAAGCAGCTTTACAATGGCTGACTCTGCACAGGATCTGAACGGGAGGCTGTTGGCCCTTTTTAATGTCAAGAGAGGTGATGATTTAAGATAAATGCTACGTGATGTTTATAAAGCAGACTGGTAGAAGAAATGTTGGCTTTTAAAATTGTTCATAAGATCGTATGGAAGCCCAATTCCGCCATGTAAAAAAAAATAAAAGCCTACAGAAAGTCAAAACTTTGACTTTAAAACTCAAAATTTCGACTTTAAAAGTCAAAATTACGAGTTTTCAACTGCGCATGTGCAGTTGAAAACTCGTATGTGTTGTTGTCTGGAACGGTCTCTGGTCATCCCTGTTATAGATCCATGACCATGGGTCATCCTCTACCCGCAGATTATGTGAAGATTTTTCCTACAGACAGTGACCACATCCATGAAGTAGCAGCAATAATGTTGTGGCAGTAATCGCGTTAAAATGCAAACGGTCTCTCCGTTTATGATTAGAATCCGCTTCAGAAGCCTCCATTTAGTTTATCCTAAACGGACTGTGGAAGATTAATAAAACACATGTGGCTGGTCAAAGTCATTGAGCATCAACTGGTGACATCTGGTCAGTATCACGGCTATCGATGGATGCACCAGAAATGCAGTGAATGATATTGTGACTGACAGAGACCGTTCGCGATTACTGGACAGTGAGAGAGGTCCGCAGACAGAGGCAGGAGAACCACAGACAGAGGCAGGAGAACCACAGACAGAGGCAGGAGAACCACAGACAGAGGCAGGAGAACCACAGACAGAGGCAGGAGAACCACAGACAGAGGCAGGAGAACCACAGACAGAGGCAGGAGAACCACAGACAGAGGCAGGTAAACCACAGACAGAGGCAGGAAAACCACAGACAGAGGCAGAAGAACCACAGTCACGGGCACTGACAATATTACCCTTTTGGAATTGCGATCAGTGCATTGAAGAGTATGTGACGTGTTTGCGTGCACGCGGGGGTAAAGTTGTTGGCGTATGAGCAAGAACACAGAGACCAACAGGGAATAAGTGCCTTGTCTGATTGCCCACGACTCTTTAAGCAACAATCCGGAGAAATAACTCCGCAGATAACAGTGAGGGTCTTTGAAAAGGGAGTTAAACCCATTATAGATGCATGAATAAAACCCCGTACTCAACACATAGAAAGCGCATCCTTTCAGCCGTGGAAAGACTCGCTCCGTGTGGACCCCTCTCAGCGCCATCGTCTGGTCAGAGTGGTCTACAGCAGATTGGATTGGAATGTCTCGATGGCTCATTTTCCTTTGATTTATTATAAAAACGTATTGCTCACATTATTTGTTACTATGTCGAAATAAGAAGTCGTTTGATTTAAATGTTGTATATATGTAAATTGAATTTAACATAAATAAATAAAAAGACAGCTCCTCCCTGCGTCCTACGACCGCGGTCTGGGGCTTAAACAGGAAAGTTTTACAGAATCAATCAAACAACATTATTTCTGGCTACTTCAAGGATGCAGTGGTCACTGTCGGCAATATCTTCACATAATCTGCAAGTGAGGGACGTCCAGAGACCGTTCCAGACAACAACACATACGAATTTTGAACTGCACATGCGCAGTTGAAAACTCGTAATTTTGACTTTTAAAGTTGTAATTTTGACTTTTAAAAGTCGTAATTTTGAGTTTTAAACTCAAAATTTTGACTTTGTTTGCTTTTTTTTTTTTTTACATGGCGGAAACGGGCTTCCATAAGATCGAGAGTATGACGCTATGACATTTTAGAAGACAATAACATTCTTCTGTGATCTTACTTTGTCCACGTCTTCTCTGCTGAGCCCGAGCACATTCCCCATGAGCCTCAGGACGTCGGCTCGCTTCGATTTTGGAGTGTGGAAATATCCCATGAATAGGTTTCTCATCAGGACTCTGGAGAACACACAACATTAGCATTAAACATGTTCACACTTTAATAAGTAATCTGTATTTATATAGCGCATTTCACAGACCAAGAACACACAAATGGCTTTTGGACTACACAGTGATGACAGAAGCGAGACACCCAACACCTGGTGCATCCAAGCCTCCGATCACCTCCATCCGTTCACTTATTTCATTCATACCTAGAGCTCGTTTTTAGTGGTAAGGGAAAAGGGAAAATTAATAGGGAGAACATTCAAACTCCACACAGCAAGGCCCTGTCTGAGAGTGGAATCGCACGCAAAGTCTCACTGTGAAACAATAGTGCTGCTGCCAGTTTATTTAAAGTGTGTGTAAAGTACAGTTGTGATTATTACTGTAAATTATGGCTATTTATCATTATCATTATTATTTTTATTATCATCATCTATATTGGTGATTGATATTCATACTGCTTTTTTGTGTTCTTACTTGTCAATCTTGCCTTCGGTGCTGTTTAGAAGATTCATCAGTTTCTTCTGGGCTTCCTCCAACATCTCCTGTCGAATATCCACTATAAAAAAACAAAGACGCATTCTGAGGAGCACAGGGACGGGACTCCTGCTAGTGACCAGAGTTAGAACTATACATGGGAGGCTGCATTTCAGATTTACGCAGCTAAAGTCTTCCTGAAGATGTGAGACAGGCTTCTTCTCTGATAATGTTCAAATCCAGGTTAAAAAGCAGTTTAGCTGTGCAGACAATTCTTTTTAATGTACTGTGATTATTTACAGTGCATCCGGAAAGCATTCACAGCGCTTCACTTTTTCCACATTTTGTTATGTTACAGCCTTATTCCAAAATTGATTCAATTCATTTTTTTCCCTCACAATTCTACACACAACACCCCATAATGACAACATGAAGTTTTCTTGAGATTCCTGCAAATGTATTAAAAATAGAAAAAACTAAAACCACATGTACAGTGCCTTGCAAAAGTATTCGGCCCCCTTGAACCTTTCAACATTTCGCCACATTTCAGGCTTCAAACATGAATCAACAACAAGTGGGACACAATCGTTAAGTGGAACGACATTTATTGGATAATTTAAACTTTTTTAACAAATAAAAAACTGAAAAGTGGGCCGTGCAATATTATTCGGCCCCTTTACTTTCAGTGCAGCAAACTCACTCCAGAAGTTCAGTGAGGATCTTTGAATGATCCAATGTTGTCCTAAATGACTGATGATGATAAATAGAATGCACCTGTGTGTAATCAAGTCTCCGTATAAATGCACCTGCTCTTTGATAGTCTCAGGGTTCTGTTTAAAGCGCAGAGAGAACCATGAAGACAAAGGAACACACCAGGCAGGTCCGAGATACTGTTGTGGAGAAGTTTAAAGCCGGATTTGGATACAAAAATATTTCCCAAGCTTTAAACATCTCAAGGAGCACTGTGCAAGCAATTATATTGAAATGGAAGGAGTATCAGACCACTGCAAATCTACCAAGACCCGGCCGTCCCTCCAAACTTTCATCTCAAACAAGGAGAAGACTGATCAGAGATGCAGCCAAGAGGCCCATGATCACTCTGGATGAACTGCAGATAACTACAGCTGAGGTGGGAGAGTCTGTCCATAGGACAACAATCAGTCGTGCACTGCACAAATCTGGCCTTTATGGAAGAGTGGCAAGAAGAAAGCCATTTCTCAAAGATATCCATAAAAAGTCTCGTTTAAAGTTTGCCACAAGCCACCTGGGAGACACACCAAACATGTGGAAGAAGGTGCTCTGGTCAGATGAAACCAAAATCAACATTTTTGGCCACAATGCAAAACGATATGTTTGGCGTAAAAGCAACACAGCTCATCACCCTGAACACACCATCCCCACAGTCAAACATGGTGGTGGCAGCATCATGGTTTGGGCCTGCTTTTCTTCGGCAGGGACAGGGAAGATGCCTAAAATTGATGGGAAGATGGATGGAGTCAAATACAGGACCATTCTGGAAAAAAACCTGTTGGAGTCTGCAAAAGACCCGAGACTGGGACGGAGATTTATCTTCCAACAGGACAATGATCCAAAACATAAAGCCAAATCTACAATGGAATGGTTCACAAATAGACGTATTCAGGTGTTAGAATGGCCGAGTCAAAGTCCAGAACTGAATCCAATTGAGAATCTGTGGAAAGAGCTGAAGACTGCTGTTCACAAACGCTCTCCATCCAACCTCACTGAGCTCGAGCTGTTTTGCAAGGAAGAATGGGCAAGAATTCCAGTCTCTCGATGTGCAAAACTGATAGAGACATACCCCAAGCGACTTGCAGCTGTAATTGCAGCAAAAGGTGGCGCTACAAAGTATTAGCGCAAGGGGGCCGAATAATAATGCATGCCCCACTTTTCAGTTTATTTGTTAAAAAAGTTTAAATTATCCAATAAATTAATGAATACTTTCGCAAGGCACTGTACATAAGTATTCACAGCCTTTGCACCTGTCTTGGGGCAGTTTTGCCCATTCCTCTTTGCAGCACCTCTCAAGCTCCATCAAGTTGGATGAGGAGTGTCAGTGCACAGCCATTTTCAGATCTCTCCAGAGATGTTCAATTGGATTCAAGTCTGGGCTCTGGCTGGGCCACTCAAGGACATTCACAGAGTTGTCCTGAAGCCACTTATTTGTAATCTTGGCTGTGTGCTTAGGGTTGTTGTCCTGCTGGAAGATGAACCGTTGCCCCAGTCTGAGGTCAAGAGCGCTATGGAGCAGGTTTTCATCCAGGATGTTTCTGTACATTGCTGCATTCATCTTTCCATCTATCTTGACAAGTCTCCCAGTTCCTGCTGCTAAAAAACATCCCCACAGCATGATGCAACCACCACCAGACTTCACTGTAGGGATGGTATTGGCTTGGTGATGAGCAGTGCCTGGTTTCCTCCAAACATCACGCCTGCCATTCACGCCAAAGAGTTCAATCTTTGTCTCATCAGACCAGAGAATTTTTTTACTCATGGTCTGAGAGTCCTTCAGGTGCCTTTTGGCAAACTTCAGGCGGGCTGCAATGTGCCTTTTACTAAGGAGCAGCTTCCGTCTGGCCACTACCATACAGGCCTGATTTGTGGATTGCTGCAGAGATGGTTGTCTTTCTGGAAGGTTCTCCTCTCTTCACAGAGGAACGCTGGAGCTCTGACAAAGTGACCATCAGGTTCTCGGTCACCTCCCTGACTAAGGCTCTTCTCTCCCGATCGCTCAGTTTAGATGGCCAGCCAGCTCTAGGAAGAGTCCTGGTGGTTCAAAACTTCTTCCATTTACGGATGATGGAGGCCACTGTGCTCACTTGGACCTTCAAAGCAGCAGAAATGTTTCTGTACCCTTCCCCAGACTTGTGCCTCGAGAAAATCCTGTTTCGGAGGTCTACAGACAGTTCCTTTGACTTCATGCTTGGTTTGTGCTCTGACATGCACTGTCAACTGTGGGACCTTGTATATACAGGTGTGTGCCTTTCCAAATCAAGTCAAATCAACTGAATTTACCACAGGTGGACTCCAATGAAGCAGTAGACGCATCTTAAGGATGATCCGTGGAAACAGGATGCACCTGAGCTCAATTTTGAGCTTCATGGCAAAGGCTGTGAATACTTATGTACATGTGATTTATTACTTTTTATTTGTAATACATTTGCAAAAATCTCCCCAAAAAAAATCACGTTGTCATTATGGGGTTTTATGTGTCGAATTTTAAGGGAAAAAAAGGAATTGAATCAATTTTGGAATAAGGCTGTAACCAGTGGGGGCGGGTCCCAGCTCAAAAGTGGCCAAAATGAAGTGCGCTGACTGCTTGCAATACCACCCCGGGCCGATGGGGGTGGACCCAGAAGAAGAATTAGCCAATGCTAACATATAGCATTGGCAGACCTCTCAAAAACGTCTTTACAGGATGGACCAAAAGTTGGCTCTTGGCCCAAAGCTCCGTTCCACATGTGTGTCAATGCTGAGGGGGGTGAATTTTTTTGGTCCACTCTAGTTTACTTGCTGTGAATTTTTGAAGTCTCTCGTTCAAATGAATGGGGCTCTCGCCGGCTGATGCATGCACAGATGCGTTTTTTCACAATTTTCTTGTGGGCGGGACCACTCGCGGCCATTTTGGATAGCTCCAGTAAAGCACATTTTTTGGCCCATTAGTTAGAACGGCGGAGATAGGCGTGACTCTGTCCGTTAATATATACAGTCTATGGCTGTAACATAACAAAATGTGAAAAATGTAAGCGCTGTGAATACTTTCCGGAGGCACTGTATATTAAATTATTGTTATTTATATGATGTATTATATTATTTTAATGCCTTGGGTGATCGTTTCTATCTTATTCTGTTCAGCACTTTGAGTTGCATTGTGTATGTATTGTGCTATACAAATAAACTTGCCTTGTCCTAATTAAAACAGGGACCGAATTGTGATGCGGCTTTGAATGTTAAGGCAATCCCACCATTTGACCATATAAAAGTTATTTCAGAGGCTTATGACAACAGGAGAGACAACTGTTATGATAAAAAGACTGAACTAGAACACTCAACATTTAAGAACAGACTTTTTCAGCCAAATCTCCATCCTGACCGAGTACCTCTTCTCATGTGATGACAATAAGGAATATGTTAAAAGCTGAACAGATTTACACCCAGAGAGAAGAAAAGGTTCAAAGGTTGAGGGCAGATGGATGTAGAAAAATTGGCTCAGGGGCAGAGATAAGGCAGGTGTTTTCCATAACACCACTGCTACGAAGCCACAGCCGTAAAAAAAAAACTTATAGCCTTTATTTTTTGTGAGACCACTTTTGGTCTCAACATCAAATACATTTAATAAGGTTATTTAATACAGACAACACATACGCTCTCTCTGGCCTCTATACTACATAACATCTTGCGTTATTCTAAAAGTTAAAAAACTGAACACACAAAATATACAGATATTTTGTGTATGTTTAAATGTACATGAATAAGATATATTGTAACTATTATCATTATGTAAACGATGTAAAGAAATTAACAATTTTCATGGAAGGAACAAATAAATAAATACAAACATTAGTAGGTTTATTAAGATGCACTTACGGTCAATGGATTTTCATACTATGCTATAGTATACCATGTCTTTTTCTGTTCAGTAGCCAAGTGTATACTTTGTGCTATACAAATAAACTTGCCTTGGGCTTGTCTTGCCTAATCATAACAAAGTTAATCTTCAAAAAGTTTACATTTATTTATTATTTAAAACTTAAATATTCAGCATTGCTCAATTGAACCACATAGTTTCAACCAACCATTTAAGTCAGTCTCTGCTGTTAAAAAAAAAAAAAAATAAAAAAAAAATGTCCTTACCTTGCTTTTTTGCTTCTTCCAGTTGCTCCTCCTTCAAGTCGAGCTGATCAGTGAGACGAGACGCAGACTCCAAAGCAGAGTTGGCTTCATTGAGGTTCAACTAAAATACAACAGAGTTATCCTCATTTATCACACATGAAAACAAATACATGTTATCAAGCCTTGCTGCCTTAATGCCTTTCTCACCTGTAGAGCAGACCCTTGCTCCATCAGCCTCTCCGCTTTCCTTTTCCACTCCTCCTTCTCTCGCTTGTGCTTATCCAGTTCAGACGAGTACATGGCTTTCTCTTCTAAAATACAAAAAAAAGTTGCAATAAATTCAGCAGGCCATAGATGAGTTGTTGAATTAGTATTCCATAATGCACAGTCACGTTCTGAAGTAGCCAGACTTGCCTTGTTGGAACTGCTCTAGCACCATCTGCAGGTTGGACAGAGATACTGCATACTGGTTGACTTGGTCTTGGGACGTCCGGAGTTGAGCATAGGTTTCGTCTCTCTGCTTCACAACTCCACTAAGCTGCTCCTGTAAGGACTCCACCTGCATACTGGCCTGTTGACTGGAGCAAAGAAGGATTTTTGGGATCTATGAAAATTGTATTTTGTTCACTGGATAATTAAGTCTCTATTCTTGAACATTTAATCTGTTTGTAGCGTTACTTTTCAAAGATATAGTCAAAAAATAGAACATTTTACACCGATAACCCAGTCCTAGAATAATGGCTTCCTCTACTTTGATATATTATATTCTAGCCGGTGATAAATGCACATCTCATACCTGGCATTCTCCACGGCGTTGGAGGATGTGGCCAGCCGCTCCTCTAGCAGTGCAACTCGTCTCCTCAGCTCAGTCTCTCTGTCCTCAGCGGCCAGCGCATCCCTCGTGTACGAATCCTCAATCTCCAAGAGATGATTACGCAGTCTCTCCAGCTCCAGGTTCAGACGCTGCTCTTTGTCTTTCACGTGTTGTAGCTAAAACAATGATGACAATAATAGCTTTGTGTAAACTCAAATACTAGACTTATAAAACATATTGTAAATAAAACCGATAAATAAACATTGTGTCCCAAACAGTGATGGGAATAACGGCGTTACTAGTAACGGCGTTACTAACGCCGTTACTTTTTTCAGTAACGAGTAATCTAACTAATTACTTTGACAGTAACTATAACGCCGTTATCATTTCCGACATCCCGTTACTGCGCGTTACTCAAGACGCACAATGAACGTGTTGTCATGAGAGAAGGGAGGATGAGAAAACCTCTCAGCAATTATTGGCTGATGTAAATCATATTTCCTTTACAATCTACATGTCTACAGTTGAGAGGATGGCTCATAAATTGTGTTTTTGAAACAAATATGGGTCTTAATCGCGCTCAACCACGGCTTGTATCACCGTGAGGTCAGCCACAGAGGAGCGCATGTGAGCGCAGAAGTCGGCTGCATACAATTCCATCGATAAGCTCCTTGCTCTTCCTGGTTTATCTGCTAAGGACAGCAACAGGTTTGGCTAACATACATATAACACATTTTTACATAATCTAAAATGCACATAGGGTAATTTTTCAATTACTATAGGAATGATAAGAAAGAGAGGTGAAGTGTAAGACGGTTGATTTTAGAAATTGGATGCAGCCGGCTGCAGCAAAACAGAGGAGTTTACGAAGGACACACGCGTTTTGTTTTACTTTTTAAAACTCATTGGACTCATTTCCAAATGGAGGATTACATATCTACGCTCAAACCATTCACTGGATTTAAACAAGGAACTGGTCTGAACCGAAGTGGACTGTGCAGGTCATTTATAAGGTATAGCTATAAGGTAAGACCCATAACTCATAGTTTTGCGTTTTGTATGAACAAACAATGCGGGCATAAAACATATTTTGCTGTAGCCAAACAAATTGTCCACTTGATTTATATGATGTATATGTTCATCTGATTGGACTGAAGTCAGTGCTTCACCAGCCTCACCGCTCGTCACCGGTGTTTCCACATTCACAGTGGCGGGCTTTACAGCACAGACAGAGATGAAGAGTGAACAGGACTTCAGCAGCAAAACAGCCTTTTCTAGATGGAAATATTGGCACTGTTAAAGGTAAAAATGCGCACGTCGGGTGCACATTATGTTCCAGAACAAAACAAAAAAGTAACGCAATATTTACTTTTACTGGTAACTAGTTACTTTTATAGTGGAGTAACTCCGTTAGTAACTCAGTTACTTTTTGGGAGAAGTAACTAGTAACTATAACTAATTACTTTTTCAAAGTAACGTGCCCAACACTGGTCCCAAATTATATTATACGAGCGACTGTAATGTATACTTACTGTATAATTGTAATAACTATAATGACTTTAGATGGTAACTGTCTAAAGTCATACTACAAGGTAGCTGACAGTAAGCTCAAGTGTCTCAAAAAGCACTCTTTTATTATCAGATAAATGCTCTTACCTCGGCCTGCACGGCTGTGGTCTCCATTTGTTTCTGTTTTAGGGCCATCATCACCTGGTCTCGCTCATGTTGAAACGCTACTGCTTTGTCTTGCATCGACTTCAGCTCATTTAAGAGCTGGTTTAACTCCCCAGACTTGCCCTGAGGAAAAAAAAAAAACCTAGCTGTTAATTTGTCTATTTTGTCTATTTTCTTAGGTGGTTTATATTATAAAACAACCCTGAACATTATGAACAATTAATTGGACGATTGCAAAATGCATATAGTTGATATTGGTAATCACAATACTAAAGATTACTTTAAAAGAAGTAATCAAGGCTAATAAAATATGCCATTCTATGTATTTTTCTATGTCATTTCGAATGAATGAACAAGTTGCCGTAAATACACCGGATTGTAAACTTAGTCTGATAGCCATACTTTGTCCTACAGTTACACTCACAGACGCACACTGAACTATTGTACTGGATTTTAGCGGTAGGGGAAACCAGAGAAAGAGGAGGAAACCGGAGCAGACACAAGGAGAACATGCCGAGTCCACACAGAAAGGCCCCTGGAGGTGGAATCAAACTGAAGACCTTATTGCTGTGAAGCACAAGCGCTGTGCCACAGTGGCGCCAATGGAAAGTTGTTTTTTAGTGTGCTTAATTTTATGTGTATTTGGTGGTTCTATTAGAAAATCTTAAAATATATTATTATTGTATATTATCATCATTTTCATCAATATATTGCGCAGCATGAAGAAAATATTGGGAGACTGACCTGCTCCTTGTCCTTGAGCATCCTCTCCACCGTGGCGGACTTCTCACTCATGGCGCTCAGTTCAAACTCCTTTTCGCGCAGCAGCATGGACACCTGCATGTTGGTCTCCTGCAGCGCTCTGAACTCTGACTCTTTCTCCCTCGACTTCGCCGCTACCGCCTCGTTCTCCTCCTTCAGGTTCTTCACGTCTACCTCCAAGATCAGCGCGCGTTCTTTCAGGTTGGTAACCGCTTGCTTCAAAACTTCATTGTCGTTTTCTCTATTCCTCAAAGTCTCGCTAACATTGTTTAGCTGATCCCCTTTGGTTTTTATCAGCAAATCTTTCTCTCTAACTGTTCTTTGCAATGTGTCCAAGCGATTTTTGATTTGACGCAACTCTTCTCCGTGAGTTCTATGCTCAATTTCGGAAGCCGAGGCAGAATTGGCAAGTCTTTGATTGTTCTCTTGCAGCGTTCTTATCATATTGTCTTTCTCCACTACCTGGTTACGTAACAATGCTACCTCCTGCGTCCCATCTTTCACTGCAGAAAGAGACTGTTGAATATTAGTTTCAGACACTCCACCAACTTGTTCACCAGTTGGTGCAACATTGTCCAATTTCCCCAACAGGACGTCTTTCGTGGAGCTCAGCTGGGTGATAGTCTGTTGAACTTGCGCTATTTCTTGACTCAAACTTCCTAATCTCCTTTCCTTATGCTCATAGCTTTGAATGAGCCGTGCATAATCCACAGACAACTTGGAGTTGCAATCGCTATCGGCTGAAATCTGACTTTGCAATTTGAGAAGTTCCTCCTGAAGCTGGGCCGATTCGTGTTGCATGTTTTTAACCGTTGTGATCACCTGCATCTTCCACTCCTCCATCTTCTTAACCTGTTGTTTCAAAGTGTCTCGTTCTTGTAGCAACTCTTCAAATTGGTTACTGCTGACCCCACCTGATCCAGCACCGGCCTCCCCTCCCGAAGTTTGTAAGACTGTAACAAGCGTTTGGCATTTTTGCGTAAGGGCGTCGATTTCAATATCCTTCTCTCTGATGATTCTGGATAAATTTTGAATAGTCTCTTTGAACATTTCTTGACTTCCAGTTGGATCACTCATGTTGGAAAGCCGTACATTTTCTTGTTGGAGCTTAACCAATGCAGCCTCCTTCCCTGCCATGATGTCCATAAGGCGATGATAGTCAGACCTAAGCTGGCTGTTTTCCCTAGTTTTCTCATTCAAAACTGCTAGCACTTGCTCCCTCTCCACAGCGTAGGCTTGGATTTGTTGTTGAAGGTATAGGATGTCCTGGTTATGCCCTCCTGCGCCCATAGACAGCCTAGCGTGAAGTGCTTGGATCTCCAAATCTTTCTGCAAGATCAACTGAGATAGCTTACCCACCTCATCACGGGACACAACAAGTTGATCCAACTGCTTCGTAAGGGACATATTACTCTCATTAAGCTGGCAAATTTCTGTCTCCTTTTCCTTTATGCCTTTGACCAATTTGTCAATCTCAACTTTGGACAGATCATGCTTTTCGTTGCCATTATCTTGGTTGAGAGTTTGTGTTTTGTCTTCTTGTAGTATGACCTCACCTGGAATGAATTCAACCCTACTTTCACTTATTCTTTCTATACTCTCTTTCAATCGCATTATTTCTTCATCTTTTGCATGAATCAACCTATCGTAATTGAGTGTTGATTGTTGAAGCCTTGCATGCGTCTGGTCAAGTTCGTTTTGCTGAGTTTGAATTGATTGCTGGGATAGAAGGAGTGAAGACTGCTGTTCCTCTAGTGTCCTCCTGAGCAAATCTAACTGTTCTTCCAAACCGCTACGAGATGATTTAAGTTGCGTTATCTCGGTTTCTAATTCTGTGATGATATCCAAAGTCCGGGGTTCGGATTGAGTTTGTGGCCTGCTCTGTTGGTCCCTCAATCTATCAATTTCTTCTTTCAAATGACTGTTTTCTTCCTTCATGCCTCCAAGCTGTCTATCCTTCTCTTCTGAGACTTGTTTCAGATGTTCGGATTCTTTATTTGCAACCGCTATTCTACTTTCCAATTCTTTCTGCAACTCTGCTGCATTTTGTTTTAAAGTCTCCACAAATGCATCTTTTTCTTGTAACAAATCCGTCAGCTGTTTCTGCCCGGCAACAGTCATCGAAAGCATCTCATTGGTGTCTCTGTGATCGGATGCTGCCTGCTCCATGTCCCGTTTTAGCTGTGCGATGACCATATCCTTCTCTTGGTTGAGTTTGATGGCTTTTTCGTGTTCGGTTTGTAAAGCGGTCGCGTCCATTGACCGTGCTTGCGTCAGCTCATCTATTGTTTGTTGATAGAGCTTCGCTTGTTCCGCCAGAGTCTTCTCAACCTGCTGCAGTTCGCTTTCGAATTGCACTTTCTCGAGTTTCAAAGCTTCGATACGAGTCTCTTTCTCTCGTATAGTCCGGTTCAAAGTAGTCTGATTTTCGACCATTTGTTTGCTCACCTCTTCAATTTTAGCCACTTTTGAGTCACAATCTTCTTTTAGTTTCCTATTCTCCATTTTAATTTCATATTGCTCAGTGAGCACTTTTTCTTGTGTGTTCCTAAAGCCGTCCAACTGACTTTTTAAATCTGAAATCTCATTGTCTTTCGTTGCTATCACGTCTTTGGTCATTTGGTCCTTGTCTCCTCCATTCCCAGCTTCATAGAGTTGTGTTATTGCAATGGACAACTCCTCCTCTTTCTCCTGTAAAGTCTTTTTTAAATATGTTACTTCTTTCCTAAGCTCTTTGCTCTGCTCTTGTGAATTTGCGAGTTTCTCCTTCAGTTCGGTCACTGTGTGTTCAAGTTGTTGTTTCGCCATATGTAGGTCATTAAGTGTAAACGTGCTGTGGTTCATTTTGTCTTTTTGGGCATCCACTTCTTGCTCAAGACTTTGTTTTTGGGCTTTGGTCGTGTCGAGTTCTGCAGAAAGTTTAGATATTTGGGCCTCTGCCTCCTTCAAATGTCTCGAAAGCTGATCCTTTACAGAGATCATGTGCTGTGTATACAAACAGAAGAAACAAACAATCAGATAATAGGAATAACAAGGTATAACTTCATGTGCTGGATTAATCATAAATAAAAGTAGTCTTTAACATGCATTATAATTTGTTTTCTGGGTCTATTGCTTTAACTGTTAGCATACAATAGCATCGTTGTGCCCCTTGCTTGTCAGTATGAAGATAAATACTGCAAGTTTAATACCCAGCTATAGTAAAGTACTAACATCCCTATGAGACAAGCAGATGTCTCAACCTCAACAGTACATAGTCCTCAAAATGGAGCATGGATAGAGAAGTTTAAACTCCCTCAGTCCCTCTCCTTATCACCTGTGTTGCCTCCTGGTTTTGTCGGTCCAGTTCCTCGAGCTCGGACATCAGAGAGTCACGCTCCTCCTCAGCCGCCTTCAGGGCAGCGTCTCGGAGCTCCAGGTCCCTCTTCAGATCCTCCAGCTCTTCTGATTCCAACGGCACGGCTGTGGTTGCACTAACTGACTGCTCAGACTCGCTCAGCCTCTTGAGGAGCTCAAGCTGTCAAACACATACAATAATTCCATAAGATTATTGGAATGGTTTGAAAGTTAGGTAACCCAGCTTTAATAAAGTTCAAATTAAAGCTGTAGGGCCCAACTTTCAAACCACAAAAAACAAGCAGATAACAATAAGCTAAAACAAATAATACAACTACAGGTGTTTTAGGATGTGCATGTAAGTCCAATGCAAACCTTTTCTCGTTCGAGGACTTCCTTGTCTTGTCTGAGAGAACCAATAATGGTGTTCAGCTCCAGGATGTCAGCATGCTCCACCTCATCTGCTGGTCTCTCCTTCTCAATGCAACACAAGTGAAAATACCCAGTTATTTTACTGTTTTGTCTTTGATAATGATAATAAAGAGTCTAAAGAATCTTTCTATATAGCACTTGTATGTCTAATTATCATAATTAGTATTGTTTCAATACCAGTATTGAATACTGAGACGCAGGTAATTTCAGGCCTCAGTATTCACTATGTGCCCAGGATGATGTCAATACAGGTGGATTGTAATTGTATGTGCTTTTTGTCTATAGGCAGGATTGCACAAAATGTACTTGATGGATTGAGCTGAAATTTAAATTTGTGATGATCCAAGGCCTTGGCGGGGTAAATATTTTGTGAATGATATTGTCTTACCAATAAAAAACTAACTAAGTAAATAAAGATTACTACTACTACTAAAAAACATGGTCAATTTGAAAACATGGTTAATTACTTGCCTCTGTTGTCTCTTTCAATCTTTCAATCTCTGCTTCAGCATCTGGACAATAAGATTAGTGTCAGGAGTTACTTTTCCAAACAAATTGATTTTGATATAAAATTCATGCATTACATTAACATTTAAGAACAGAACGTCAGCACCAATAATCTTACCTGCCAAGTTGCTCCTCAGCCCCTGTATCTCTTGTTCGAGCTGGGCCTTCTGCAGACTCCTCCCCTCCTGCTCCTGGACTCTGGTCTGCAGCTCGGACACTGACGCCTGCAGCCGGGTGTAGTTTTGCAACAGTCCTGCGTTTTCCTCCTGCAGCTCGGCCTTCTCATTCTGCAGCGAGGCCTGGTTCCTCTGCGCCTCCTCCAAACCCACCCTGAGCTCTGACACCTCCTTCTCGCTCCGATCACTCTCCTCCCGCAGAGAGCTGATAATTTTCTGAAGCTCCATGAGTTTGGAGGAATCTGTGGTGGGACTTGACGGACCACCAGCTGCAGAAATTAATGATGATTTAGAATTTTTATTGCCATTATAAGTAACATGAATTTGCTTTGGCTCATAAAGGCATGTATAAAAAAAACGTAATACAATTTCTACTGCACAAATACACACATAAATAAATATATGCCGTGTTCGGAATAGATGGATTTATTTGATTTTTTTAGGAAAGTTCTTGACATAAATTTCATTAACAAAGCATAAGAATATACAACCTTCTGATGCTTTGAAGGCGTCTCATTTACTCGATTACTAACTAAGTTTGAAGTATTTATCTAAATAAACAGTTCTCGTGTTTTTTTCTTTGCAATAAAAAAGAACCAAAATGGCTAAAACACAAGCGAAATCCATGTCTGACCGTTGTGAATCTGCTCCTCCAGCTCCTCGATCCGCTCCTCATACTCGCCGAGCTCTTCTCTGTGGCGCCGCGTGAAGTCAGACAGTTTCTGCCTCTGAGCGTCCTGCAGTGCGGCCAGCTCATGCTGATGCTCGTCCACTTCTCGGCTCATCTCCTCTCGCAGCTCCTGGTTTAATAAAACAGTATACATGCACAACATACAAGGTTCTTGGAAATCACTATGGTCCACATGACTGATTATTCTGAACCCATGGCATATCTGTGCTCACGTTTATTGTTCTTTGAAGCCGGTGGATCTCAGCTTTGTCACCATTTCCGGCTCCAGCTGCTGCAGTTGTCTGAAACAATCGCACAGTTGAATAAATAGCTACAACCCTTTTTCACTAAGTACTAAAAATAAGGCTTATTACTGGGCTTGAAAAAAAAGTAATCCAACCCATGAAAACAATGCTGCAGAAAGAAAGTAATAATGTGTGACAAATATTGAGTTTAAAAACACTGACCTGGGATTTGGAACTGCGTTTATTCTTTACTGTCCACAAATATATAAAATGTAAATAATTTCCAATTTTCCTCACACATTTTTCAGATACAAATTTTTCACCTTTCTCACACATTTTAGAAAAAAAGTGAGTTGAATATAAATGTTGAATATAAAATAATTACAAATTAATACAAAAATATATACTTAAGTTAAATAAATGTATCCATTAATGTGTGTAGGTGTTTTATCCACACAAAAAAGTCATAAAATTGTGTGTCAAGAAAATTTAATATTTTTTCTATTACAAAGATATTCATACAGCTTCAAAATGCACATTTATTATAATCTATTACTAATTATGAAAGGTGCATTTATGTAGTATGTACAGTCAGCTCATAGCACGTTCTTACCTGCGTCAGTCTCCTGCAGTGGACGACTTCAGCCTCGAGACGCGTGACTTCTGATGACAGACGGTTTATTTCCTGCTGGGACCACAGCACGTCGCTCAGGTCCAGCTCGTCTCCTTGGAAACCATGGTGAGTGGCAGTGGGGCGGGACATAAATGAGGTGGATGTGGAGGTGGAGGAGGCAGTGGTGATGGGAAGCACGGCCAGACCGAGGGAGGACTGTGCTGGGTCCTGGAGGCCACTCTGACAGGACTTCAAGTGACTGATCTCCTCCTAAAATATTTTCACACAAACGCAGAGAAATAGTGTGGAATCACTGTTCAGAAAATTGACAAAATATTATCTTATACATGTAGCCAATAATAGTAATCTAATTTAAGATTGAAGTCTGAATTTATATTAAAAAACATATTTATAAAACTGTGCCTTTTAATTCTCCGGACGGTGTTCAAGCACAAACATTTTTTAAAAGCCTTTTTGTACAGCATATGTCCAAATTATTGAGTATCATATTCAGTCTCAATATTTACCAACTAGAGAATAACCTTCTGTAGGTCTTCTTGTAACAGTTATAATACAAGTTATGGTTCATGTGGTTCAGTGGAGTAAAACTAACAACCTCCAGTTGAACGCATCAAAAACATGGGAACTGGTCTACGACTTCAGTCGCAATAGTTCTCATTTGCCTGTCGTAATCGACAACTCCCAGGTGCAGATCGTAGAGGAGTGCAAGTTTCTGGGTCTAACTCTGTCTAACGACCTGAAATGGGTTGAAAAAAAATGACCGAGTCGCTAAGAAAGCTCGTCAGCGTCTCTACTTTCTGCGTAAACTTAGAGAATTTACCACTAACTCTAAGATTCTGCTTATCTTTTATCGCTGCACCATTGAGAGTTTACTTGTTGGTTCTGTGTCTGTGTGGTTTGGAAACATCACAGATAAAGAAAAGAGATCTTTAAACAAGGTGCTCCGCTCTGCAAAGAGGACCGTGGGCTGTGAGCTTCCTGTTCTGGAGGTTCTTTATAAATCCAGACTTTTAAACAAAGTTCTTAGGATTGTTAATTACTCTTCTGGCCACCCTGGAAAAGCCATGTTCCAGCTTCTTCCCTCTGGCAGAAGATATCGGTCGCTGAGATGCAGGACATCTCGTTACGCTAACAGTTTTTATCCACAGGCTGTTATCAGTGTGAACAGAGCACTTTAATGATTTGCACTCGTTTTGAAACGGTTTTAGTCGATTGATTTCACAGTGACATTTGTTTACTGTTTTATTTGTTTTATTTCTGTCTTTTAATGTTGTTTTATGTCTGTATTTGTCTGTGCACACTGGAGACTTTTTGCTAATGTATTCCAATGTGTTTTTTTTTACTGCAAATGGAAAATAAACTGAATCTGAAGTTAACATACATCCTTCTGTTGTAGCTGCATCCTGTACTCTGCAGACTGACTCTTCATCTGGATCTCAGCCGCCTCCAGTTTTTCTTCCAGTTCAGCATGAAGCCTTTTCAACCGGTCATGCTAACAGGACAAACAGTAACACATTAGAATTCAATCAAATTGAGGAAATAAAACTTAGTGAGTAATAAATATGAAACTCAAACAGAGAAGAAGGTCTAACCTCAGACTTCTGTGAGGCAAATGCACCTTCAACTTCGACCAACTTGGAGTTGGAGACTTGAAGCTCTGTGGCAGCATCTAGCAAATAAGTGGACAATTACACTGAGTGTAGTGTTACTGCTAAGCCGGAGAACCTTTTATAAATTGAAGTCAATGCTATTATTCAGTTAGAGAAAATTAAAAATCATTATTAATGATTTTATTACACTTTATCATTAGAGCCACCATTCCCTCCCTTTATGGTTTGTTCACCTCCATACCTTTCTCTACTTCCATAATATCAGATCAAGTGGCTTCACATGACCAATTCTCATGCACGACTGAGAAAGCCAACATTCTGCTACAAATACTTAGCGGCCGCATGTGTCTATACACCACCCAATAAGATAGGGACAGTGAAAAACAGTCCAAAACAATGATTTTGGGGTTTGTTTGTGAAGGTTTTGTGATAAGATGTTGCCGTTGTTTTGTTTTTCTGTCTGCGGCTGTGAGTTGGAAACCAGTGGCCAAAGTTCTCTTGGAGTCAGTGATATAAATCACATGCTGTCCATTAGCTCTATTGGAGTGGCTAAATACATGCAACAGCCCCTACACTTTAGAAAATGTATAATAATCTAACAATTATTCTGTAAGTACGACAGTATGCTTATGCAACACGAACAAGCGATTGAAAGAAAGATACTCTGTTGTTTTATTGACACTCCTGAGATGAGATTAGTTCTGTGTCACATGAAATGTAACGAACACAGCCACTGGGAACTTTCTTCAAATTAAACTACATAGTATAGTGTGTTGGCACTTTTAGGAATACATTAGACGAATGGTGAGAACGATGCACTATTAACAGAATCCTACTACTGTCATGGCTGCAAGTATGATCATTCACCTAAAACATAAATTTACAATTGTATGGTAAAATAAATGGGAATTTCATAACTCTAAAATCCGTTTTAGAGTTATGACAATAACATTGCATTAGGTAAGACAGTAAAAGTAAATAAGAGCAAATAAGAGCAGCCACCCACCTTCTACTTCCTCCACTCCTTCCAGCAGCATATCTTTGGTGAAGTTTGAGATTTGTCCGGTAAAATTGGACAGGCTTCCCCCGACTTGTCCCAGAGACTGACCGAGGCCAGAGCCCAGTCCACCCAACCACGATGACATTTTGAGGGTTGCAAAAAAATAAACAAAGCGATATCAAAACTGATAAGACTTGTATTTAGGGGGGCGAGCTTCAGGTCAGCGCAATTGAAATTAGCCCTGTCATCCCTCCAATGAGCACGCAATAACCAAAAAGAAAGAGGGAAGGTTGAGATTCTCAGCTTTGAAAAAAAGAAGATTTCAAATCTCATTTACTTGCGGCTAATAACAGCTGACCGGCTGCCACAAGGAATGCGTAAAAACTAGCATGCTAACCGAGCTAGCACCCCATTAACCAGATAACACGTGTGTCTAAACTATTTCTTAAAAATCCGTGTGATGAGCTAAGTCGGTCAGCGTTTTTTCCGTGAGTTTTGAACCCGTCAGAAGAAAACATCGCTCGGAAAGTGCCACCTCGACTGCAGCCATTATCGGCTCACAACGGAGGGCTGCGGCGCCAGGGGATGCCAGATCTGCACATCGTAAGAAGCGATAGCAGAAAAAGAATCAGATGTCAAACTGCAAAAGAAAAATGTCCAAAATTACAGAAATAAAAACTCACGCGTGATTGATGAAGCGTTGTAATAAATCTATACCTTTTTATAATAGACTCAAATAACAGATTGACTGTTAGTACTTAATTGATAAAAACAAAAAAAATCTGCTTAAATATACCTATATCAACATGTTGAATCTAAGCAAGAATGCATCTCAGGAAAAAACCTAACACCAACAGACAATTCTCAAAATATAAAGAAAAAAAGTAGCAGATTTGGCAACTCCAGCGCTGACGGTTCAGCTTTGACGTGGACGTGGAGCGGGTGCATTGTGGGATACGCGTGGAGGACCAACAACAAACCAAAACAGCAGCGACTAGGCGACTACACTACAGCATGGATCTATTAAAAAAAATAGCCCACATGAATCTAGTATCAATAAGTTTACAATTACATCTGAAATTAATTACGGGATTGAAGCAGGATTTCTCATAACTTTAAACCTAGTGTCTGAATATTCTTGGTTTATTCGTAATAACTTAGTATTAAAAGGCTGTGAACCAAATAACAGAAATAATACTTTCTTTTAATTTATTGTTTTGAAATATTTGCTTGACCTGCTGATGGTTCCTGTCAAAACAAAGTCATTTTGCCAATGTGCTAACACACTTCCAGCCTATCAAATATGACAATCAAACATTTCCCATATCACTTATAGTTTATTAAAAGACTTCATTGTACAATGTTAAATATAATCTCATAAAACACAAAAAGAGTGCAAGTTCTGTTTTAATGCCTTCGATGAATAATTATTGTTTCTTAATACAGTTTTTATCTATAGTATTTTCTGTAGGTGAAATGGCTTAAAGTAAATGCAATTGTACCCATTTTCTGTGCAAATTTTGGAGCTTTGGTTCCCACAACCCAAATTTTTGCAGCATAAACCGTTCTTCAACCAAAAGGCATAAAAGGAACCATTTCACTCGCCTATTTGCATGTATCTATTGTCCATCAGGTAAACTGTGGTGCATTTCAGGTGAGTATGTGAGAAGAACAATCATGACCCACAAGTGTAGAGCAGCCTGTTGAGGACATTTGAAAGTCAATTTAAAAGTCATCATCGATAGACAACATTTTTAAGTTACTTACCATGTAGAGGATGACGAAGACTCTGGCCATAGGGTAACGTCGTAGGAATATTCCCAACCTGATACTGAATTGAAAATATGAACTTTAATACAATACAATGAACACTTGTTGAATAGTACAGTTTTCTGATATTCTCACTCAGCTACAATGTGAGAGGATAACTTTATAATAAAAATGACAATAGATCCTACTTACCTAAAGCGGTCAATAGTGCTTGCAGCTTTACGTACTTTCCCATAAACTCCAGGACTGTCTTGGTCACCAAATAAAACAGGTGTACTTCTCTGTCTGGCACCTTACAAAAAAAAAAACATTCATGCAATAAGCGGATAGATTTATCCGTATTAGTAATACAAATCCAGACAAAGACTTCAAATCAATGGATGTGACAAAATAGAATCAGGACAATTTACTTGGTCCTTCCAAAGCGTTCATGTTGATGGATGCTGCGCCGCTCTGTCCTCCCTGCGCTGCCTTTAGCTGCTGTTCAAGTCGCTCCAACTGAAAAACTAAAGAGTTTTTCTCTGTCCCTATAGCCTCAAGCATTGTCTGCTTCTGAATCAGCGTCTCTGTCAACTGGTGCAGCCGATTCTCAAGCTCTGTTTGGCTATTGCTTATGGTTTTGTTTGTCAGCTGAAATGTAGACAAAATAGAAATGTTACATATTAAGTGTACATAATGTACATATTTTTAATATAGATGTATGTAATGGCACCTGATTCCTGAGTTTTTGAATTTCATCCTCTCTGTCTTTGATGCGGCTTTGCAGAGAGGATTTAACACGATGCTGTTCCTCTTCCAAATACTGGACCTCCTGCAAATATACAGTGAAAATGTATAATAATTTAAGTCACAATAATTGTTTATATTTCTCATCTCTCACTTGCTTATATCTCTCAACTTCAGCCTCCAGCTCCTGCTTAACTCTGGTCTGTGCGGTCTGCTGTTCCTGTAAATGCACCTGCTGCTCACGCCACGTTTCTGCTTCAGCCATGGCTTGATTTTCCAAATCCTTTTAGCGGAAAATAGACCTTCAGAATATCACTTTCCTCACATTGTATCTTTAACCAAAGATTCATACCTGTACTTCTGTTCTCAGCGTTAGAACCTGCCCCTGCAGTTTCTGTATCTCTTCTCTCTGCATCTCTTTTTCATGCCGCAGCTCCTCGAGCTCCAAAGTCATGGTTCCACTGCCATCCAGAGTGTCGAGGCCTGAGCCCTCCTTCAGACTGCTGATCAGCTTCTCTTTGGACTGGCAATATTTAATGTCAAACACATTACATCATAATTGCATTGAAGATTTACCGAGCCACACCTGTAGGATGCGTGCAGCTTTCTGTTTGTATTCTTGTAACTCCTGTTTTGCGGTTTCCGATTCTGCTTTGGCACTTTTCAGCTGCTGCTGAAAGTCATCGATCCTGAGTTTTTCTTCTGAAGTGCGTCGTTCAGATGCAGTCACAGTTTCAGCCAGAGTCTGTCGCTCAGTCTCTAGTTTGGACAGTCGGGCGGAATATTCACTCTATGGTTTGAAAATAATAATATTATTCTTCCATATGCAAATCAGAAAAATGTGCACTTGATGTTTACCTGCATCTGTCGATAGCTCTCCTGTTCTCTTCGGAGCGACAATTCAGTCTCTCGTAGCCTGTCCTGCATGGTTTCAAGAGCTTGTGAATGCATGCTGCTTCCTTCCGTATGGTCTTGCATAATTCTAGGGACAAATAAAAAATATTCGAAATTGAGGCCATTATGTCAAGTATTAATTTCAATGAATATATGAATAATAATAAAACCTACTGTGACTTCTCTTTCTGTGCCTCCTCCAGGGCTACATTACGGCACTTAAGTAGTTGGTCAGCTTCATCGAGTCTGATTTTTAAAACTGCAAGTTGTCCGTCTTTGGCAGAAAGGGCTTCTTTGAGGTCATCTACCTGTGACCGAAGTTCACGTAAATTGCGATCTGTCACCGAGTGTTCAGAGTTCCATTTGTCAGCACGAAGACGCGACTGGTTTAGTTCTAACACAGAAGCATCACATTAGAAGAGCTTAAGTTACAGATCTTTTACCATAGAAGATTTTTCAGCTCCTACCATCCTGCAGGTCTTTAGCCCTCTGAATGACTGAAGCCATCTCCTGATTGAGCGAAGCCACCTCGCTGTGCAAGAGCTGGTTCTCAAGGCGAAGGCTGGACAGGACATGACTCTGGGGTTCCTCTGAGGGTATAGCCTCCGGGTGACTTTGCTCTTGAGGAGGGGCCAAACCAGAGTCAGAACTTTCTGGAGTGTTTGCAGCCCACAAAAAAATATGACCATTGCAATCAATAAGGTAGAAGACCCATAAAGTAAATTTAGGGTTAACTATTAATTGTATATATAGATAATAAATACATGCCAAAATATATAATATATAATACCACCATCTACATGAATGTGCTTAAAGATGCATTCCTGGTTGCCGCTTTTTGGTTGGGTTCATCCATGTTGTAGTTTTACCTGGACTCTCATACTGTTTCTTTTCAATGTAAAAGGAAATTTTAACAAATATCATGTGACTTCATACGGGTAAGTTACAAGTTGTATGTATTGTAAAAAGCAGGTTTTGGACCACTTCACAAAAAGCTTGTCAAGAGAGAAGAGGAATGCATGTTTAAATAGAATGGCAGTTTTTTAAATTTTTTACATGACAAAAAAAGTGTGGGATGGGAAAGATGGAAGCAGGTCATATACAATGGATAGCGTTACCATGTTGTGATTGTAAAATGGGCTTACCTTGACCTGGCTCTTTGGCAGAACTCTCCTCTGATGTTTTATTGCTCAGAGCAGACAGAGAACTGAGACTCGAGGCCCGGGACACTCCGCGGGTCGAGGGTGGTGTGGAGGGAGCAGAAGGGACAGTGAGGGGTGCGACCAATGGAGGAGGAGTGAGGCTTAGTGTTTCTGTGACAGTAACTTTAATTTCACGTTTTGAATCCCTTCTGTTGCCAACAGGGGTATCTGAACTGTTTAAAAAGTCAAACAGCATATCGTCATTCACGTCCAGGTCGCTCTTCTTGGGTCGTATAAAACCTGTTGGGGTCTTGGCAGAACTGACCCCTCTACTCGCTTCACTTGACATGTTCGCAGTCCCAGCCAATAGGGTGGCATTTGATTTTTTTATATTTCCAGCAGCAGCAGCAATAAAGCTTTGAGAATTTGGAGTTGAAGTATAATGTGCTGGAGTTACTTCAGGCTTGAACTCTGATTTTTCTGTTTCTTCTCCATAGGAAGAAGAGAAGGAGGATGTCCTCTCCTGGCTCAAAGCTGTGGCAGCTCCTTGGTCCACTTTATTGAGAAAGTCCTCAGCTCTCCCTGCCAGATCAGTAAACCAAGACATGTTGCATCCTGGCAGGGATAGAAACAAACAAAAACATTTAACTTATAGAACAGTATACTACAACAAGACAGTAAAAAACAGAACTCATGATATTTCTCTACACAGTTGCATGTTCTAGTTAAGCGATTGTCCCATCGCTGACTTTAAAACAAGCCAAAGTAAACAGAGCTGGCTTCAACACTAGTGACAAGGCTAACAGCTAACATGCTAATTGATGAAAAATAAACACTGACCGTGAAAAAGACATTCATATATAGAGCTCGCTTATGTCATCCGGTTGGCATTAAAGCATTATTTTGGAAAAGGATCATAAAACACGCTTGAGATTATTGCACGAAGCTGTCAAAGGCAGAAACAAGTCAGGATAATGTTGTGATCTGCTCAATACGTGGACCAGGAAGAACAGCGAGGACCCAAACAGAACGTCCACAAAAATGCCAGACCAAAATCTTTCAAGCGCACATGCACTCAAACTGTGCGCACTGTAACCGTAAATATAATATGATACGGTAGTCTGATTACAACCTGCAACCATCAATGTACATGCAACTACTCCTAATGTACAGACAATGAATAGTTTGTGGAGTTAAATTCCAGATAACAAACCGCACTTTGCCTAAAACATTTTGCAAAGTAACAGTAATCACCTGTCATCTGTAACCCAAACCCTCATCTACATGGAAAATACTAGGAGAAAAGCATATTTGTGTTACAGAAAAAAAAAAAAACATTTACAATACATGTTTCTTACCAAGTAGATACAGTTTCAAAGTTCTCACTTATATCTTTGTGTAAATAACTCTTTTTGGTTCTCCATGTCTAGTCTATGGTATACACATGAAAGTGAAAATAATACCGGTACATGTTGCTCCTTACCTTTCTGCTTGACACTGGACTCACTTTTTGCAGTAATAAGTCATGATGAGCGTTATTGAAACATTTTGCTCAATATTACAACGTGGGATAGTTGCAGCTTATAGCCTGGAAAGTATGGTATTTCTCATTAATATTTCCTCTTGCATGTTTAATGATGCATTTACCATCATTTAGGAACAAGTAATGAAAAACCAAAAAGGACAATATTTACGAAACAGTGCCTTTTTATTTTTTTCCGCACTCACTCCAAAATGCATATTTACATGGCATGCCACATCAATACAGGAATCAACTAGATACATTAACACATAGAATCTGCTCTGGGAGGTTTTAGGGTAAGAGAAGAGTCCAATAAACAACCAACAGAAAAAAGCGACTCAATTGTAGAAAAAAAAGCTTTCCTGTTACATTGGGACGTTTCAATAGACTTCAAACGTAAAACAACATGTGCTGCTTTTTGATGAAGTTCTTTAATTTCACATTTGACAACACTGTGATTAAAATGAACATTATGAATAATATTTGGGTACAAAAATGATGATAATGCAAGATCACATCTTTAAAATAAAAAATGATGTACACAAAACCCACTGATAGAAACTGCATCATTTGCGAAACGATTCAACTACTGAAAAATAGCCGCCAATGATAGTGCCTTTTTCCAATCCACATTTTTTTTGAAGGGAGAATAAAACGACAAAAAAAAAAAAAAACAGCAGCGCTTAATACAAAAGAAAGTATCCTGATAGACTGTGTGAAAAGTAAAAAAGAACATGGACAATTCTGGCGAGACAGATCTATAGAGCCTTTCGGTTTCCTCTGTGTTAGGATGAACAGTCGGAGCACACTCCTCCCGGCAACATTCAAATCACATTCATTCAAATCACATTCATTCATTCATAAAGTCTCAATCTCGCACACAGTCATTTGCACATGCATCATCATCATTCGTGACAGCTCAGATCAGGCCCCTCCTCTTCTTGTAGTCCTCCAAGTTCAGGGAGCGGCGAGGAGCTCCGTCTTTCACTGGTAAAGCATTTGAGCTCACGGACAAAGACTTGGCCTCTGCAACAGCACACGATTCATTCATTAATGTACAGTAATCATTAACATCGACAAATGTCAGGTATGACTGGAATCGCACAAAAACAATTGAGGAGAGAAATGTTAATAGAGCATCAACTCACCTGCGTTGGGAACTTGCAAGTCAATTTTAACGTCAAAATCATGAACTTTGAACAGGTCTTCTGAGAGGTCTGTAGAAGGTTTGGAGAAATCTTTGTCTTTAGAGTTTGCCATGTCACCCTACGGGGGAAAAACATGTGATGAATCAAACAAGCAAAACTGATGGAACAGAGCTACCCTCTTCATTTGAATCCACAAATATGTCATAATTATTCAAAGGCTCAATAAAAAAAAAAAAGTTATTTCCAAGTCAGTCGGGAAATTCCAGGGTTGGTTTAAATATACTGCATCTTAGTCAAGCATTCATGTTATAGTCAGTTGGTTACTAGTAAAATATGTGAATGAATTAATAAATAATAGAAATAAATAACTTACAGCTTTGTTCTCTTCTGAGTTTGGAACGTCTGGTCCAGACCCGGAGCCGTATTTTTGATTAAGATGGGCGAGAATAGCAGCGTGGACTGAAGGATCCCTGGCCTACAAAACAAACACAAATGATATATGAATTTATGGAATAACTCGCAAAACAAGAAGATACTGTCGTCTTACATTGGACACCATTGTGGGTTTGCACTGTCGTCTTGTGAAAGGGTCCATCTGCTGGTTTTTGCTGTTCTGACCCTCCAACTAACAGAACACAAAACTCAATAAACACAAAAATGGTTGAATTGTAAAAAAAGCAAAAAAGCAAAATGTTACCACAAGAGCTTTTTCTGATTCAACAATGTTCCAGCTTCTGTTTCGCTGGTTGATGTAACTATAAAGTGAAATGCACAGTGATGAGATATAGATTTTAATGTAATATTTATTAAATGTTATTTATTTTGTATTTATGTGACTCAGACCTGATGGCGGAGATGTTTTTCGTTCGTTGTCGGTCGAGCGCCTCTGCTCTCTCCTCCAACTCGTTCAGTTCATCCTGGATTACTTTTACCTTGTCGCCATCTCCACTCTCCTCTGCCATGGCCTGATAAAACCATTATTAAACATGCATTAATCAATTATTTTCGGGTTGATTTCACAGCACCAACACATCACAGAACTTAAAATTGATTATCGCTTACCTTGTCTTTCAGTAACTGCGTTTTCTTCATGGCATAATTTGGAGGTGCTTTCCTAAATCTGTCTTTCTCTTTTACAATCTATAAACAAGATTGTAAGTTGTAATTGTTAGTTGGTAGAATACACATGTAAAATAACTAATATTCATTCAAAGCAAAAATAATCCTGCTTACATCTTCTATATCTTTATCATTAAATTTATAATTCATGGCTTCTTTAATAGACTGTTCTTTTTTGGTGATTTCATCAAGTGTTGGTACTTGCATCCCAGCAGCAATCATCTTAAAACACAAACAGATACAAGTTTATTTGAATATATTCACAAGAACAACACATTTCTTTATACTGCACTTACAGCCTCTTTCCACTTCATAAACTCATTCTCTGTAAATTCCTGATTTGATACAAACTCCAGTCTGAACACCCGCGTGTCACCGCCATGCCTGAAAAACACAGTAGAGATGATTAGATACGTTTTCTACAGTTAGGCAACAAAGCTTAGAGTAAGATTGCTCAGTTAAGAGTTTTCATTGTAAAATGCCATATGGTGATTTAAGTTTATGGCTTAATTAATTTTGATAATAGATTAACATAGCAATAAATCTTTTAATCAATCGATTAGCTGTTAAGAGCAGAGATTATTTTATCTCAATTTGACGCAGTTGAATCGGAAGTTACATTATACTTTATTGTAGGGATATTTGTCCTGTGAATTTGACCCATCCCTCCAATGCTTTGATGAGAAGTGAAAGTGCTAACCACTCTGCCATACTAATAGATATTTTTTTCTTCAGAACCGCCTATTTACACAATTTCTAAATATGTTTTAGGGGATTAACCCTTGAGTTTGAAAATCACACTCCTCAGTAAAGAAATATGCTAAAGACAGTGTAAATATCAGTTCACATTTACTTCCTAATAGTTTAAGAATAATTGATGAATCGTTACAGCTCTTTTCAAGTTACCCACCTTAACTGTAGACCCTTGTTCGTCCGCGTCGTTCCGAGCTGGTATACTTTCCCCGTTTCAACCACATCCACAATTTCTGCCACCTTCAGAAATCAAAGATTGTCATTGAAAAATCTGCCTACCTCCAGCTGCTTGTGCGTGTCTCGTTCCTCACCCTGTACACTGGCTTACTGCTGCTGTTGCCTATGCCTATCCGCACGAAGCAGCCTGTGACGGTTTTGGCGAAGAACGGCATGTGGCACCAGCGCTCCAGCTTGTGTCTCGATAACCGGACCCGGTTCAGTTCATCTGGGAGTGAAACTGGCTGTGACTTCGGGGGAGGCTCATCTTTCCTGTGTAAAACAGTGATACAGTTGTACCTTTTTGTGAAAGTTTACACACCCCAGGCAGAAATGTACATTTTTTGTACTATTATTACATCTCAATACATTTGTGTATCAGCATAAAATCCATTGAGATTTGTGATGACAAAATGTGCTGCATAATTGGTTATAATAGACTATTTTGAGCCAGAATCATTAAACAAATATATAAAAGCTTTAAAACCTTTCATGGTTTATGTTTTCAAATATTATGTACTTGATTTTATGATTTTATTTTTGTTTTCTGTATTTAATCTGCAGCACAGGTGTTGTGGAAATGTAAGGTGCATTATAAATAAGTGATACATGATGATATGATAATTATTATAAGCCATACTTACTCGTCGTCAGAAAAGGACGAGGACCGTGAGCTACGGTCGCTTTTCACTGAGGATTTATCGTCGTCTTCCTCCTCCTCCTCTTCATCGTCTGAATACACTTCGCTGGTCTTGAGAGGCTCGCGTTTCGCCAACAGTTCGGCTGCTCGCAGTAAACACAGTCATCAGTGAAAGATTATCATAACATTTACGCCACAAAACCTGAAGCTCGAGTCGTGCACCTGTTTTGTTCTTCTTCTTCTCTCGTTCTGCCTTCAGCTCCTCCATGGCCTGAGATTTCTTGTCAAGTTTTTCATCTCGTTTGGATCTTCTTTCTTTGTTATGTGACATTACCTATAAAGAGCATACAAATATAATATGTTATTTATTCACATTAGTTTGAATACATACAAGATTTTTTTATTTTTTATAATACTGTATATATTATGAAGCTGGACTGGTGGTTTCAAACTACAAACCACAAAAAATGTAATATTTAATCAAATTTGTGTACGTAGTTTCTCACATTTTTGTTCACCAAACCAACTCACACAAGACTCTACGTTGGGAAAAACAAAATGTATTTATGAAACAAAAAAAGTTTGGTGGCTGAGTGGATAGCACTCTCGCCTCTCAGCAAAAAGGTCCTGGGTTCGAATCCCGGTTGGACCAGGGCCTTTCTGAGTGGAGTTTGCATGTTCTCCCCGTGTCTGCGTAGGTTTCCTCCGGGTGCTCCGGTTTCCCCTACCACTAAAAATATGTACAAAAGGTATGGCATGTGCCTCCTGTACTGGCACCCCCACCCAACAATTGTAAACCGCTTTGAGACTCCGATGTGCAGTGAAAAGGCGGTATATAAATAAACCTTACTTACTTACTTACTTACTCCAGCTTTCAGTGAATGCTCCGAACACAACAACCTCTAATAATAAACAAGGCTTGAATCAAGATTAAGTGCCTTTACGGACTTTAAAGAAGCTATAACCGAAGTTTTTTTTTTAGTTCATAAAAATGATCATTACTACATACAAGTTGTATTATAATCTGTAATTTAATTGAAAACTTGAGCTCATTGATTCCGCTTGTGTATGAATTCAGGCCATAAAAAGTGCTGAGTAGAGACTTAGCCCGCTCTCCTCCACTCACAGAATGAGGCAGCGTCCTCTTGCCACTACAGCGCTGCTAAACACAGTAGCATGTTAGCAGAATTGGCTCTAACTCCTCTGGCTGAAAAAATGATCAAAGAAGAAATCAAGCCCGGGTGAAGATAGCTAGCTTACATCATATCCTCTGGAGAGACTTACAGTCTATGGGAGAGACCTGCAGGACCGCCTCGGACTATCTATGCTCGGACTATATTCGGACGCGGAACTAGCGGTAATCTTTCAGTTATATATTTTGTTAGCAGTGCGTTGCTTTTGTACCATTTCATCAGTGATTGTTGTACAGCTTACAAGAAGTTGCGCTCATGCTAATGTTTGCATATGTATCAGATCGCAAATAAAACTAGATGGCTCCGTGGAATGAGAGCGTAGGGGAAATGAGAAGCCATTGAGCGAGTTGGGGGGTACATTCAAACCTTGCAGAAACGGGTATTGCTCCTTTAAGACCAATTTATTACTCAGCTAGTTTTCTGGTAGCAAAAATAGAACAACTAATGTGAAATGCTGTTTCATCCAGTTGAAAGAAATTCGTACCACTGGCGTGTCTTGAACCTGAGATAGTTTTCGTTTTTCCTGCTCTTCTTCCTGCTTTTTTTTCTTCTCTTCTTTCTCCTTTTTCTTTGCCGTCTTTAGCTTCTTTTTGATTTCAAACCTGGAAAAACAGGAATACAAACTCAAAACACAAAAGCTCAAAAACAAATCAAATAATAAAAGATTCTTCATATCAAAACTAGTCGGAAAGTGATTCCTGCACTGAAGCACTCAAATGAGAAAGACACTCTAGTTCTAGTTTTGTGATGATTACAGTTGTTATTATAATTTTTTTTCAAGCTTACAGTGGCCGGCCTAACCAAAGTGATGGTGTAGGATAGGGTTGTCAAAAGTACTGAAAATCTATTCTAGCATGTGTATAAATAGTAGATTCTTATTGATAGTAAGAATCTAGTATTGATCCTGAAATAAAATAAAATCACTCGACTTAAGTATTTTTGTGACGTTGTTTTCAAATATTATTTTCAACATCAGCACCAGATACATATGTTTTGTGGAAACTTATCATGAGCTTACTAATAATAACATGGGTAGTGAACCTTGAGGTGAAAATAGTTTGACCTTTTTGTGAAAACATTGATAAGAAAGCAAACTATTCCTCTTACCGCCGCTTTAGCACTTCTCTTTTCTCAATGCGGTTGAACAGCTCCTGCTCTCGCTCCTTCTCAGTCATCTGCTCCAGGCGAGCCCTGTCCTCCGCGTCGCCCATCAGGTCGTCATCGTAACCGTCCCGGAAAACATCGTCCTCCGAAGAGTCCGAGTCTGAGCTGGAGGACGAACTGTTGCTCTCTGAATCCGACACTTCGCCTGAAGAAGAGACAGACAAGAATGTAATGAGGAGAACACGCAACACACACTGCAGCCAAAATTCTACAATATAAAATATATCAACAAAGGTTAAAATGCATTTTACTACAGCATCCTGCATAATACTACTTTTTGACAGGGCAATGGTTAACCTGTTATCCAATGGACCAATGACTCTAAGAGTTTATTGTTGTGTTTATTAAGTGCTTTATTTTCTAATATGCTGTTCTGTGACACCCTTGGGATTTTGGGGCGATGCATAAATACCTTGAATAATATGGAAATCTTACATATTTGCATGCAATGTGATTATGCAATAATATGGTTGTAAAAAGAAACAAAATATACAATGTGAGGTGCAAGATTCTCAGGCAAAAAAGATTCATGTTTGAGTGTAAAGAAAGAAGTGCGGGATGCTCCAGTGTAACCTTGGCAGGATAAAGAGATGAGAGCCTGAGTCACCTAATCCCAGCGAACCCACAACACTGCACTCGGCTGTAATCGGCATCTTTAATCATCTCAGTCATTACTGTGTTTTTAGTTTATAAAAACTATCTTAGATAAACAATCTTCCACCACAGGCTTATTACTGGCCTGGAATATTACATATTACTTATTTGTCTTAGATAACCATTATTACTATATTGTGAAAAATAATCTCTGGTGGCTCTCAATGAAAAAGACCTCTCCATTTGTCTAGATGTAGGTTTGACAGAGATATTTAATAATCACTTTATAAACAAAGTTATACCTTCTTCTGGAGCCGAGCTTTCGGCGGAACTGTCTCCACCTGAGCTGCCGGACGCTGTGCTTTTGTGAATCTTCTTCTTTGTGGTTGTTTTCTTTTCAGACCCTTTTGCTGGTTTGATTTTCTTTTTACCTTTGGTGCCACCCACTGTCCACTGGAAAACAAGCGACAAATCTCATTAGAGACAGTTTGCAAAAGGTACAACACGTAGTATCTGATGTATGATATGTTTTTTTTCTGTTTTCTCATCTGTTGGATTTTATCTGCTGTTGGCAAATCAACAATTCTGTGATGCTATTTGAGATTACTGCTGTTGTGATTATGGGCCCTACAAAAATAAATGGATTTGATTTGATTTCACATAACAATACCAGTATTGTTATGTAAAATCAAATCAAATATGACTATCAAAATAAAATATGGTATTATACCATATTACATTATGATCCATATTTTCCTATAATCTACTATGCTATGACTTTGACTGACCTTTGCAATTATGATGATTTTCTTTTTAAAGTTATTAATCCTCTTCAGAATCTTACCTCGTCATCACTATCGGATGTCTCAGAGTCTGTGGAGGCAGCAGGTTTGCTAACGGGCTCATCCTGCTCTCCTGAATCCACCCTCTTTCTTTTGGCCAAAGACAACAACTCCTAAAAGAAACAAACCAGAGTCAAATTAGGCTACTAGCATAAATGTGTTTTGATTAGGGCTGTCAAAATTATTGTGTTAACGCACGTTAATGACATTTTTCATTAATCGCGGTTAAAAAAATTACGCGTTTAACGCATGTCTGAATGACCCGCCCGTGCATCACATAATATCACTCAAAATGCTGCGGACACATACGTGTGCGAGATGACAACAGAGCAGGTCTCTGGGAACTCAAGTTTTAAAAGAATACACGCGTGACCGTGGGGCACTTGCTGTTGTTTGCTGTATGAACTGAAGTCCGCCCCCTCCGTGGCCGCAACGTTCTGACCCGGGGCATCTGTGGCCGCTCTGGACCGCGGTTCCCACCTCCAGCGGCTACCAGCCGTTAACAACAATACGGGGAACGGTGCCGCCGTAACATGGTCATATCCAAGACCATACACGCACACTACAACTAGTGTACTATTCTGTGCATGTTGTGTGCATGTCTCTGCGTAACCTGTGCACGCAAATACACCGCTGAAGCTGAACTATGGAGCCCCAGGAAGTGTCTCATCCTGAAACGCAAATAAACTTGCTAAATTAAAGCTGGGGTACGTACATTTTCCCTTTCATTACCAGCTCATGTTGGCTGTGCCCAAAAGTAAAAGTTTGTGAGCAAATCAAACAGATTTAAGAACATTTGGTATGAATGACAATGTGTCATACACTGTCATTACATTTGATAATCTCATTTAACTTCAATTGAAGTAGATTTGAAATAGAATGTTAAAAATTTGATTAATCGTGAGTTAACTCACCATTACTGTGCGATTCATAAACTAAAAAAATTGAATTGTTTGACAGCCCTAGTTTTGATATCACATGAACTTGCAAACTGAATCTTATAATGACAAAGAAAAATATGAACAAAAAATAACATAAATGCATACAGCAAAATAACAAAAGGAATGATTGCATACAGCAATCAAAATATATAGGGCAAACGTGAGGTGTCAGGTGCTCTTCAAGGGTCCCAACAATAATAATTTTCCTTTTCCTCTTTGTTTCCCATAAATGCATACAGGTTGGACTTTAAGAACGTACACAAACGCTATAACAATGTCTACGAAATTATATCAAAAGTAAACATACAACATGTTGTGTCTTTGTGATTGTGTGAAAGACAAATGGAATGTAAATACAGACACAGTGCTGGAACCCATGTGTATGAACCACATTCCTTCTGTATTTCTTATCAGTAGGAAGCCATCCATCCATCCATCTTCTTCCCCTTAATCCATTTCTGGGTCAGGGGGGGGTGGCAGTCAGAGCTGCACCCAGTAAACATAGCACCAGCCCCTCACTGGTCCTCCTGCAGGTGGTGAGTCCACAGGAGCTGAGATCTTTTCAGTGGGAGCTTCAGGCAAAGTAGGGTTAAGTGTCTTGCCCAAGGACACAATGACAGCAGACCAGTGGAAGTCAAAGAAGTAGGTCTTGGCTCAAAGGAGTCATCAGTAGGAAGCCTTTGATAGAAATATATAGATAGTGTACATAAATGCACAAACATGCAATGTTTTTATTTCTTTGTGTACTTTGAGCTTCTTGCACAAGGACTCCAGTAAAAAATGGACAGTGACACTAACAGGTAATGGTAATAGAATTACAATAACTCTTTTCTCATTACTTTGGATATGCACAAATGCTGGACACGCTTATAGTTTAAGTGAAGTAAATTGACTAAGACATGAGCCTATAATGCATACTTAAAGCCTTGTAAATTTATGTTTTCAAGTAAAATAGGGATTTGAAGATAAGTGATTCTCAATTAAATCACCTGCTATGTTTAAATAATAGCAGCGTTAAATGCCGTATACCATTAATTTGGGAACGTGTTGAATGATGGCTCTACCCGACACTTAAAAAAATATTTTTTATATAACTTCGTGGTAGGACTTTCTAATCACGTTTTCCACATTTGGCAACATGTAGTACTAATAGTACGGTAGGTGTGTCAAATTCTTATCCGTGGAATGTTTTGTCAACAACAACTTCTCCGCGCCCATGACGTCACAGTGTGCAGATAAGGTACAACCCCACGTTAAATCAAGACGTCTCTGCCTCAGCTCCTGTTTACGGTGTCCAAATATGCACAAAATCCGTGTAATTGTAGAGTTATAAACGCCAAGCCAGCCGCAGACATACTGTTTCACGCCGTATTAAACAGAAACAGTGTAATGGCACGACATTTTCGTGGCAACATTATACTCTCCGTGGTTTCTGCGCTCAAAGAATCTGTAACCTTAGCATTAGCATACCTATGTCTCGGAGATAGCTTAGCGATAGATAGCATGATTGGAACAGGAACAACGCGTCAACTACGCGCAAGGCCGTCTTCTGCTCAAGTTTAGTGTTAAGAATTAATTTAATGTTACTTTGATGCGTTTACTGTATCTAGGCTAACCACTTAGCACGCATTAGCATTGACGCACAGTGTTGACAACATTCAATTCCGGATAGGATGAAGAAACAAATCAGAAAAACGCCGACCTACCTGATCTAAATTATCGTCACTAGCGCTATCCTCAGAGTCTGAATCAATCACGACTCGACCTTTCCGCTTCTTTACGTTCACCATGATTAGCTGGCAGGCTAAACTGCTAGCTACCCCAGTGTCGTCTAATGTTTGAGGCTAGCTGTTAGCATCAGCCTCTGCAGCGGCTACACAAAGGCGCTATTGGGCATGCGCGATCGACCACTTCTTCGAGCCTACACCAGGCTACTATTTACTGACTACTGCCGTCCAGTGTTTAAAATAATCATGGAAGAACAAAAATTAACATTTCCACTGAACTCGTATCAGAGATTTAATCGATATAAATTGATAACACACATTAATAGAAAGCAAATGACATAAAACTTGGCTCCATCTGTCTATTTACTATGGTATTTGAGACCAGTAAAGAGTGGAAAAAAAACATTGTGATTCTTAACTATTGAATGAATTGCATTTGGATGGTCCCACTTATTTCTGGATTAGCGTACATTTATAGTTTAAAAAATGCATGGATGTGGAATAATGTCTTGAATTACGCATGCGCAGTCGCTCACCGTGTTCAGCCAGTCTATGGTTCAGCCGCACAGCGCTCCTCCAGAATGGCGGCTCTTTTGGAATCAGTCCTCCTTCACAAAGTGGACATAAACGTGGTCTTGGATTGGCTTAGAAACAGCGAGGTACGTGTGGCGTGCTTTAGGGCAGTATAGGCGCGTTGTCAAAGGTGTAAACCGCTTTATCAAGCCTTGTATGTGAAATGTCACGGCCCTCAGAAGATTGTAAACAAACTTTTAGCGACGGAGCTAGCGAAAGGGCTAATCCATAATGTGCAAAGACGGGATGTTATCAAACTTCTACGGATATTATATAAATGGCATTAATACATGACATTATGGTAGTGGCAGTTAGTGTACTCCATAAACACGTAAATCATCACTTAACCCAATAGAAAATTACATTGATCAAAAGTTAGAGTCTACATGCTGTTTCTTGGTACAAATTGTTGCTACTAATATTGTTTTTCTCATTATTAATACTAAAAGTCTTTTTTTATAGCAATAGATTCTGATTGAAAGATACACTTAATTATATTTGCCTTTATATAACCATAGATTTTTATGGTTAACTTTTTGATTTATTGCAAGTTTTTGTTGATGGAATGGTTGTATTAAATGCTCAATGACTTAATGATGATGTGATTGACTTCTCTTAGGATGGAGACAAACTGCCTATTACCTACAATGATGTTGTTATCCACCGACAAGAATTTATTCCTGTTCTATTGAACTTTCTGAGAGATCAAACCAGCCAAGCCCTTACCCACGGTCCAGCTACTCCTGCCAAAACTCCCAGCCGCCCCAGACCTCCAGCACAGTCTCATAAGAGCTTCACAGAGCGAAGAAGTGCCAAGTCTTCAGGTGGTGGTAGTGGTTCCAGAAATGCCAGTCGTGTCCAGTTGTTTTCCCCTGCTCCCTCTGTATCTCCAGGGGAGGAATCTGAACCTACAAGACAGTCTCACTGTTTGAGTGGTGTCAGTGCCTTCAGTAGTCCCTCTTTCACTGCAGGATGGAGTCCAGCCTCAAGGCCTTCGCGTTCTGATCGCCGCCACGCTCAGAGAATGAGTTTGGCAGATTTTATGGTTTCGCCCACTGACCATCAACAAAGTTCTAATTTAGAGTCACAAAAAGCGAGGAGGAGAAGTGGTGGCGTAGCAACAGGGGGACAAGGCCGACATGGACGAGGAGTAGGTGGAGGACAAAGCGATGACACTGGGAGATGGGACAATGGAGGACGGAGGTGTGGAAGAGGAGGGGGAGGAACAGGGAGCCATGCAAAGACTCATGAGTCACCTCCAACTGTGGAGAAACTGAACTTCAATAATTTGGATGATTTTCCTCCAGTTGGGTCATCGCCAATTTCACCTGCGTGAGTAAAACGCCTTTTTAACACATAATACATTTATTTCATATTCTTTGTATATTACATTTAAACATACAATAAAAAAGCTAGTGCATTATGTGTTCTAAATAGTAGCATTTTTGTGTTTAAAGGTGCTATTCAAATAAAGCTTATTTCTATGTCATAATTAATTATCTACTCACAGGCCTGCCACAATGACATGTTTTGAAGAATGTTTCTTTAGAAGTTAGGATAGAAATGAATTTGCGAGCCACTGAATTACTTTTAAACAGCAGAATCCCAGTAAACCACTATTTTCAAATGTACAGTATCATTACAAGCCATGTTATTTTGCTAAAACAAATGGATCACTGAATGAAAACACTAACTGTCTTTTTTCAAAAAAAGTAATATTCTCTTCTCCTGCCTCCTACACGAAATAATTCCCATTTCTTGTTTTGCTTCATTGTCATACTATTACTATACATTTGCTTTATCTCCATCTCTCAAAATCTCTTTCAGTTTAACAAAACCTTCCAGAAGGATAAACCCAACTCCAGTGAGTGCCGAGCGCTCTCACTCGAAACCAAAGACGTGTTTCACTTCAACACCTTATAGTCAAACCTGTAGTCCGCCAATGGAGGATCCGGAGAGGTCTGTGGCAGCAAGCAGTCCACTGAGCCTTCAGGAGGAGAGGGAGCTACTGAAGAGGGAGAAGTAAGTTTTACATGTTCGTGGCTGACATAGCAGTTTTTTTCATAGTAGATTTTTAACATTGCTTTGGTGGTTATACAATCAGATGTTTACATGACAATACAATATTTGATTCATTTAATGTCAGAGAAAGTGTTTTCATTAGGTTTTGGAGCCGTTCATTTGTTTTAAGGGTTGGGATATATGAAGTCAAATATGTGTTAAAACATTTCACCTGCTTTTGAAAGAGTTTCTCCACTGTGTGATGAATATTTTTTGTTTTTTTTAGGACAAAACGTGCCCAACTTGTCTCTACACCTCTGCCGTTGGATCCCATCACCCCAACAAAATCTGGAGTGAAGTTTGAGTCTGGGTCCAAAATAACTCCAGAGCTGCAAACACCTAGTCCAGAACCGTCCAAAGTCACATACTGCACTCAACTGGACTACTTAGCTGAGCTGTACTGTACCTGCATGTCTGGTAAGTCAACACTAGGTGGCAGTATTCCTCCATGCATTTTCAACTGAAGCGGATTGACTTCTTCACAAACCTCAATACGTATGATTAATCTATGAACTGATGGTCTGGTGTGTGATGTGTGCTAATAATTATGCATGTGTTTGTCCCATAGAAAACTTGGTTCCAAACATTTTCCTGGAGCTGTTTTTTGTGGTGCAGTTGTTGACGTCTCGTTCAGCTCACAATCACGATAATGACCAACAGGATAGCTTGTGTGGAATGAATAGAGGTTTTGAACATTATTACATTTTCATCTCAGTTCCTTTTACGTTTGTGACAACCATTGTATATGATTCATAATCTTCCTGTCAATTTCAGATGCGTTGGAAAGATGTTACCTGAAACAAGTCCACAATTGTGTGTATTTTGCTGTTAAAGTATTGGAAAATCAATTCAAGTCAGTATTTCTCAACTATTTTGTGCATTTAAAATCATAAAGGCGCTACTAATTCACCCGTTTTCTTTCATTTTAGCTTGGTTGTGCACTTGGACAAATGCACATTGCGTTTGTTAGCAGAAAATGAAAGGATTGCATCTTTCTCTCCGGACCTCAGGGACAGACTCGCCCAGGCTCAGGACAAAAGTACAGCCAAGGTAACTTTGGTGACCGATTATTTTGATCTAGTCCTCAAAGAATATATAAATATATAGCTACTGTAATATCCGATATAAATACATATCCAGATACTTTTTTGTTGTTGCAGCTTTCTCCATCCGTGTCTACTTTCATCCACTCAGTCCCATTTGAACCTGCAACTGATAATCGCTCAAACTTTGGCAGTGACAAAGCATTTCATATATTCAAAAAACAGAGGTACTTTGAGCTTTTGCTATTAAAGTTCCAATAATATTGGTATACTTATACATATTTTTGTTTTCCAGAGATATCTTTTATGAAATCCTTAGAGAATGGGAAGACTTTCACAATGAACCTGGCTGGAGCTTTGAAGCTGCTCTGGGGAATCGTATCAGGCTAGTGTCAATAATATTTTTATTTTTTTGGTAGGGATAAGTGTACACAACAAACATTACACTATTTATTGCCAAGGCTAATTTATAATGTAATTTCTCTTTATGAGAGTTAATATTATAATATCTCTTTATTAAAGTTAATATTTTATGTATTTAGGGGAATGATGAATCAGATGAACTCTGCAGGGAACCACTCACACTTTTCCCGACTTTTCCTCAAGCAACTTATTCAGGTAACGATAATTTCTTTACAGTTTAATGCTTCACTTGTCTAAATGAGAATGTATTACTTCCTGTCCATGCTGTATGCAACGCTTTAGGGTGTTACTAATGTATATTTCAGATGTGTAAAGGGCCACGTGGTAACAGCTCTCCCGGCGATACCCCTGATGCAGACCTGCTGGGCAAGCTGGGAGCAGACAGCCTCGGGAGACTGAAGCGGCTGGAGGAGCGCCTCATTCAGCCTCAAACAGTGAGCGGGCCCTGTCCCCCTCCCTCTTTCCCAGGAAACCAGGAATTCTTCAGGGATTTTCTGCAAACAGCCAGCTGGTAAGATGTCGTTGATTCTAGATTTACTTTAGCCCTTGGTTACAGTATAACACATTTTGAAAAAACAAGGCAATTTCAATAAAGGCACACCAACAATTCTAGAGTAAAATAAAATCATTCCAAAGGTAAAATTAATGCATTTGTTACATTCTTAAATAAAGGGTTTCTCTGTGGTTGCCCCCTGAGTTTTAACAGCCAGCGATATTATCTCTCGTATGAGCTGCGGCTGGTCCAGTGCACGCCATACAACGTCAATGTCATGATACATCTTTTAACATGTATTTTATATTATATGTGGCTCTAGCTGTCAGCTTAACCAGCATCTTCAGGACAGCTTGTGCCAGCAGCTGCTGCAGTTAGACGAAGTGTCGATTCTGAGTCCCCAAGTGTCAAGTGGAGTGGAAGGAGAAGAAGAGGAGGAGGATGGAGACATGGATCAACAGGTATCCAGGCATTGTGTTACTTTTGAATCTGTACTGTTTTGAAGCCAGAGATATTTAACATGATGACATTGATAGGTCATAAATCAAATCACATAGACTGCAAATAATGTAATTTTGGTAATAACTCTTTTGGCAACTTGCAATGTACCAGCCTTTGTACACGAGAAAGCTCAGACCTCAACCTTCTTGCTTTTCCTTGTGTGAAGCTGAGGGTGGGAGAAGCAGCTTTCTCCCATTAGGCTCCTATATAAATGGAACGCTCTGGCTACATTAGACTGCATTTAAACGCAAACTACATTTAAACATAAACCAAATACCCACTGCTGTTATCTGTCCTGTTACATTGTCCTTTTGTGATTTGTTTTGACCTGTCCTTGTGAGGCGCATTGAGTTGCAGTCCTGTATGAAATGTGCTAAATAAATTAAATGTCTTCTAATCTACACTATGCAAAAGTAATGCTCCTGCTTTTTTCTGTCAGGATGAGAAGCAGCGGTTCAGATCGGTGTTGCTCCTCTCTCGTCTTCTTGCTAAATTTCTGGGATTCATTGCTTTTTTGCCCTATCAAATGCCTGACAAGCCGTCCAGAGACCTACAGGAGACCTCAATAGCACTGCGCAGCAAGGTGAGCAAAAATACACTTTAATTAACACATTATGTGTTTTTTAACATGTTTTTGTATTGTTTGTCAGAGTGTCCCAGCCCTGGATGTGTGTGCTTTACTCAAGAACAGTATAAGGCGAAGGCGCACCATTCTCACTGTGCCGTGGCTGGTGGAGTTTCTGTCCATGCTAGACTATGTGGGACCCCTTCTTCTTTGCTTCAGGACAGTTCTGGGCACATTACTTCTTTTATACAGGTTTGTCTCTTTTAGGCTAAACATCAGCTTCTATGCACCTAAAAAAAACCTATAGTTAACATCATTCACGCCAAATGTTAGACAGTACTGCTTATTTTAAATAGTGTAATTTTAATTCATTTTAATTATAAAATGGTTGGCTCATTTTTGAAGAACTCTTTGGTCTCATGAAGAACTAATGTTTTTTTTTTTTTACTACAACTCGGACTATAATTGTTAATGCATTATAAATGCAATAGAATTTGAGAATAGAATTTTAATGACTGCAATTAGCCAAGCACAAAGACTGAAATTATTTACATTACATGTATTCCCTTTGTTGTATGTTATATAAACAGGGCTATCCCTGTTTAGAGCTCGGAAGTAGACCTAGAAACAAGTGTGTCAAATAAAGGCTGCTAAGAGTTAAATAAGTAAGTATATAAGTATTTATCTGAATTTGAGTGCCATTTTAATTATATCAAAATGTTATGTTTCCCCCAAATTGGAATTCTTTGAGTGTACTTTCAACATTATACTAGTTTCATAACAGAAATGGCAAATCAAATGGTGCATCCTTAATGTAGCTGCTTTGTCAAACGTTTTAAAGTCACTTTAAAGATAATTTAACCAGAAGCCTTCTACCATTCTATTTGAAAGTGCACAACTTTACCTTCCATGCTAAAATGAGATAGGAACAGACCTTTTCTTTAAATTGCGAATACCGGATTTGATTTTTTTAAAACATAAATCTGACTTTATTGCTGCTTTTTGGTTTCTTTTCCTCATTCACATCCTTCATTTAGCTGTCCCAACCCAACTTGATAATTGGTGCATCTTTCAACACTCTTCTCGATCATATTTTCCTTCTTAGGAGAATGCTTCTTGGAAAAGGTGGTGAAGTTTGCGACTTGAACAAGCTGCTGTTGGTGTCTGTATTGGGGTGGCTTTTCCAGGTTTGGGAATGAATAAGAAATATTGATTGTTTATTTGTTTTTTATTAATGTGCTTTTAATGTTGTTGTATAGATCCCTGCTATCCCAGAAGACATTTTCTTTACTAATGACTTTACTGGGGTAGCTCATTTGGAAAACGGCTCCCCAGGTGCAGTAGGGCTGGTAAGTGAAATCTGAATCCATCCATCCATCCATCCATTTTCTACCCTTTAATCCATTTCTGGGTCAGGGGGGTGGCAATCAGAGATGCCACCCAAGTCTCATAGCACCAGCCCCTCACTGACCCTCTGCAGGTGGTGAGTCCACAGGAGGACGGCTGCTCTCTGAGTGTGAGCATAGCCTTGATCTTTCAGCGGGGGCTTTGGGCAAAGTGGGGTTAAGTGTCTTGCCCAAGGACACAACGACAGCAGTCGTTGTGTCCTTGGGAGTCGGTGGAGAAGGTGTAGAGGTGGGAATTGAACCCACGACCTTCTGGCCTTAAGGCCAATGCTCTACCAACTGAGCTACTGTCGCCCTGAATCATTTTTTAGAATTGATCTGCTGTATCATCCATATAAATAGATGGATGATATTTCTTTTGTTAATCCAGGACTGTATTCCACTGGTGGACCATACGCTGCTCTATACATGTTGTCCATTCCTTGGTGAGCCATTTTATCTTTTTTTTTCTGTTGTATTGAAATTTGTGCAATGTCAACCTAATGTTTGCTGTTCTAATTTTATTCTGCAGGGGAATTTCGTAAACTCCTGGCTGCCTTTGTTTCCGGAAGCACAGCCAAAAGCGGAGGAATCATCCGTAAAATCACACCAACTTCAGCAGAACCTCGCAACACAGCATCTGCCAACAGGTCCCAACAGAAGCTACAGGTGAGCGAACAAATAGTTTTTTTTTTCTTAAATTCCATTGCTTATTAAAATGTAATCATGTAATCTACTTTTTTTAATTTTTTTTTAACAAAGCTGGATCTTGAACAAGCATTCTTTCACAACCAGCCTCCATCTCTGCGTCGCACTGTGGAGTTTGTTGCTGAGAGGGTTGGATCCAATGCAGTAAAGCATATGAAGTTAGTAAGAACCTGAGAAAAACAGCGCTATTTAATTGTGCAGTTTCAAGTTTTTCTTTGTGAAACAATAGGGCAACGCTGGTGATGGAGCTGGTGGAGAAGGGGGAGAAGATGCTCAAAGACAGACTAAAGTCTCCTAACTCGAGTGCGTCGAAGCTGAACGACTCCATCTGCGCTCAGCTGTGTGAAGCAGGTCTGGAGGCTTTGGATAGAGCCACCAGGTACAGGGATTATATTTTACTTAGTGTAGTACCGGGCCAGGCATTCAAATCCCTTTCTTTCTACCTTTTAAATGCATAAAAGGCAGAGCAAAAAGAGAGCCTTTCCCTGTTTTTGAAGGAAGTACAGTTCCTGCCAAACCCTGGTGCTCTCAGACATAAGAAGAAAAAAAAGCATTGTGCATAAAAAACTTTGATATAAATTGATGAAAATCCACCATATTTGTCCACAAGTTGCTCAAACTCTGCTATTAGAGAAATGTTAAAAGTGGTTAAATAATCATATAACTAGTTTATGGACTTGCTGTAAATCCCAAAAATGCCTTTGCCGTATTCTTTCCAAGCTCTTTTGATAAACTGGGAGGGAGGTTGTGGTGGTTGTAAATCCAAGACTTGAAAAGCACCCATAGCTCTGCCAAGCGGCGCAGTGCCATTCCTAAAACAATACCTTGATTTGAATTGGCTCCGAAATCATTAGTTCCTTGTCCCATTCCGAAGATTTACTGAAAATGTCCCAAAAATCTGCCCATAACTTTTTGAGTTATGGTGCTAACTAATGGGACCACCATCGTGCCAATTCCCACTTAACAGCAACAGCTGCTCTAAACTATAATGGTGCTGTAATTTCACATTCAAGTTGCAATGCTAGTTTCCCAAAACTCTGTATGAAACTTTCTGCTGCATAATTTTCCGCTTGTGATCTTTGTAGATTTTGCTCTGAGAAAAGTCCTGAACCCATAAGAATGCTTTTGCCAGAGGAGACTTCTCCAGCGGTGAGTTCAAGTTTCAACAAAACACGTCTTTGAAAGAACATATGGCATAATGTTTTAAGTGAAACCTTTGTCACAAAAAGACTGTTTCTTTATTCTCTGCTTCTGTCTGGCTGCTCAGGTCTTTGCCACTGCTGAGAGCATCACCAAACGCCTGGCGACAGAGAAGGCCTGCAGCTGGCTGGCGGCCAACATCACAGGTACCTCATTAAAAGACTTTAGGTGGTGTCTCTACTTACATGTATCCCTTTCTTTATTTAACTATTTGACTTAAATAGACTTATAGAGTGACTATTAACTATGTTTGTGATAATACCACATTTATTATTAGGTTTTAGTGTTTGTTATCCATTCAGCTCTAGGAAAATCCATTACTAATTAAGAAGTCTACATAAAACTGAGTTTGGCAAATATGATTTATTTCAAGACATTCATTTTATTTTAAAATATAAAAATAAATACATACATGATAATTACATTGCCATAAATATAATGTGTGCATTTTTCTCAGCTCTCATACGGCGAGAGTGGAAGAGTAGATATGACCGTGTGGTGAAAGCCTTCAGTCTTGAAGGAGGGGAAGAATCGGCTGCAGATGAACTGGCGATTCAAGCAAAAGCAACGACTCCTAAAAGAAAACAAGTGAATGAACGAGTGACCAGCTGTCCTCCTCACTGCACCCACCATGTCCCGCTGCCGTCAGACGTCATGGTGGAGATAAAGGTACATGTGGAAAACCTCAGGAAATAGAATTCTAAAGTTTAACATTTCAGAAATGTTCTTTTTTTACCTTTGTCTTGTTTGAATGTAATACAATATATTTGTTTCTGTACTTTCATGCATTCAGCTTTTGGTTAAAGCTTGGTTATGTAACTATCAGTCCAATGGAATTATGTAATGAAATCGGTCTAATTCCTAGATCAGCTTTTTCCCACATTTACCACACTCACTCAGCCAATCAGCTCTTGGCCCAAAGCGTCAAGTAGTGACTCACAGGGTTCTTTCTTACAAGTATGCAAAAGATGTTTTCTACTAAACTCAATACAACATATGTGGTTTGTTTTTTTCACAACCTTTTACTTTACAATTCTCTTTCTGTTGGACGTAATGAAAAATCAAATTTAGGTCCCCCAGCTTTAATTTCTTAGTGAAAGAAAAGCCCTTTCCCAGTAATTGCACGCCAAATGGACATTGTGAATGTATTACTAATTCTGACATTATTGTTGTTATAAAAATCTTTAATATTACTGCAAAATCAATAGTTACAATGTATCAAAATCACTTTGCAAACATTAGACCTGTTTGACCAGTTTAGACTGATCCATGACCCCTGCTTCTGTCCTATGCTAATAACATCTGCTGACCTGTCACTTCCTCTGGCACAGGAGTGGTTGAGTATCGCTGTGGGCCCCAGGACTGACGCGGAGCTGCCAACTGTGCTTCAGCTTCTGACTCTTCTAAATAAAGTTGGAGAGACCCTTGGATGCAAAAAGGTGCCTGAAATACTCAGTTCAACAATGGGTTTATTAATTGGTGCCATCTTTAATTTGAATCACACTGGTCTCTTGTTTACTCCTGCCTCAGTTCTCCACATGGATGTCTGAGCAGATGTTGCTGAACTCCACCGTCCTCTTGGCCTGCAAATTGGGTAAAGCGATAAGCTCTTTTACTACATATCCAGGAAAGACATGGTACTTAACATTCTTGGTTATTATATAAGACCAAGTGCTGTCTAAAGAGTGCACCTTGGTAGAAAGGGTTTCAAAGATCAACTTTCTAGTTATCAATCTCACACTGTTTTGTTATTCTCTGGTTATTACATTTAATAAGTGAGAGAAAAATAAAAATAAAAACAAATATATATATTAATAATGATAATAACATGAATATTGAATCACAAAAATATATGATTTTTTATTTTTTTTTTCTGAATAGGTTGTGTTAATTATGTAGAATTCTATTTCAGCTGGATGACGGGTGCCTATACATCTCTATTGGAATAAAGACATTTTTGAAGACTAAAAGATCATTGTTCATATTAAAAAAGATAATTATTTGATAGTGATTGGATTCACTAAGCGCCAGACATGTTTTTAAGCAAAAATACTTAGACCATAGGTGATATGTACTGACAAAGATATGTTTTTTGTTTCAATTACAGAGAAATTGTCTCTAAACTAAGACTAGAAATCTGACTTTTGACAGTTACAATGACATTTTTCAGGTGCCCTCCACCACATTGTTGTGATGTCACATGAACACAACCTACAAGAGTCGAATTTGAGCACATCAACTTAACATTGTGCTCTTGTCCAGTGTCCTCTGAGCTGCCGGTGCTGCCTGCCCCTCTGGAGCCTGTGCCGGGTGCTGGTTCGGGGTCAGAGCCTTCTGTCAAGACCCTGTTGGAGCGTTTTGGTGAACTGTGGGAGGGGGACGTGTGCTCCTCTGCCCCCCTCCACCTGCTCTTCTCTCCCCTCACTGTCAGTGCTGTGCTCCAGGCCACTGACACACAGGTACTGCTGCCAATGTCACTCAATGTCACAAATCAGACTGCACTGTGAAAAAATCGGACCAATTTAAAAAAAGTTCAGTAACAGCACATGCAAAAGAGGAAAGAAAGGTATTAGAAAAAAGTCAGAAACAAAAATCACAAGTTAATATTGAGTCTGGGAACCATCCATTCATTTTCTCGTAGGAGAGGTGTGTTTACGATTGTTCATAGCCATTTAAGAACGTCTATCAAATGCGTCTGCTTATTCTCCTTTAGTGGAACAACTACCTTTTTCTGGTCCAAAATCTTGTTGACCGTGGAATTTTGAGTCAAGAGGCGGTGCTTTCTCACTGGAAGAAATTAACAAAAATTTCTTTGCCCACTGTGAGTCTCCTTAATGCAATTCTTAACAAAATGCCTTATCTATGTTGTGTCCATGTCTCATATATATATCTATATATATTTTATTACTCTTCAGGAGCTGATGGTGAAATTTCAGCTACATTCTCAAAATGTGAAGCCATCCTCAGAGCTCACAGAGATGCTGAGCCACATGGACATTCTGCAGGTCTCTCACCAGACAGTAGAGGGTGCTACATGACAACAGTAATATTGAATTTTACCAATAGAATCACTTTGTTCATCACCTTTATTGGAGCATTGACTCTGTGTCCAGTTGTCACTTATTCTTTATTGAAGACATTCTCTAAATACCACCACTGCTACTTCACATAAACATTGTTGGATAACTTGGATAACAATCTTCGTACAACATTTTAATTGTGTGCTTCTAAAAAGTTTAAAAGTTTGTTTACCTGGCTCTTCTATTTTTTTTTAAGAATGTTAAACGCCACAGAAAATATGCAAGGCTTTTTATAATAGGCTGTTGTCATTATAGGTGGACTTGAACATTTTAAAGATTGTGTAAGATTTTAAAGATATGACATGATTTTATAAAAGCACCTTTCATTCACTGCCTTTGACTGACATCACTGGTAAAATATAAAATTTCATTTATGATGTTTTTGTTCATGTTGAACAAGGTTTGCATATGTCTGATTTTAATCATTGTAAAATTTTATGTTATTACAAATTATGATCATAATAATAAAGGCTGAAGATATGTATGTTGCTGTGATACTCGTACGAATCCTTTATGCATCCTGTTTCCACTCATCGTTGTTGAGATGATTTGCTACCCGGACTCCTAGAGAGGTGGTCACTCTGACTGAGCTTCAGCATTACTCTGAGCAAATGGGAGACCCTTGCAGAAGGACAACCATCAGTGCTGCACTCCAGTCAGGCCTTCATGGAAGAGTGGCCAGACAACATATCTCCTCAGAAAAGCGCTTGCTTGGCTAAAAGGCATGTGAATGACCCACAAGGACAGAACAGTTTTGTCTGAATTTCAAGTGTTAGGCTTCGAGGAAACCAGGGCCTGCTTGTCACTTGGAAATTACCATCTAAAGATTTAGCAGGGTGGTGGCAGCATCATGCTGTGGAGGTGTTTTTCCAGTGTTAGGCACAGGTAGACTATTCGGGATGCTGGGAAGATGAATGCAGCAATGTACAGAGGCCTCCTGAATGAAAACCTGCCCCAGACCACTCCGGATTTCAGACTCTGGCATCGTTTCATGTTCCGACTTCCGCCCGAAGTGCACAGCCTAGGTGACTGAAGAGTGGTTTCAGAAATGTCTGTGAATGTACCGAGTGTGACTTCAGCAACAACTCTGGAAAGACATGAAAATATCAGCTGTCTTACTCGATGATGTAATACATCAATGGTCTCACTTGACAGAACTTTAGAGAATCTACAGAGAAGAGAGGGAAGTGTAGGTGTTCCAAGATTATAGCAAGACTTGATGCTGTAGGGCTGCCATAGGTGGCTCAACAAAGTACTAAATAAAGAGTGTGAGAAGTTGTGTGGATGTTTTATGAGACATATTGAGAATTCATTTTGGAATGGAATGGAATTCAACCAGTGTGCCGTACACCTTGTTCTGCCTTGAGGTGTTTATTAGTGTCAAAGTCAAAATCAAGTGAAAAGATAATATAATGACTTTTTTGTGCTTGTTTGAGTTTCTATATAATACACAGTGATGAGAATGACTTTGCTTTGTTAGAGTTTAAATTTTGTATCAGTTTCAGCTTGTGGTGTGCAATGTGATCATAATTGACTGTTATGGTTGTTCCACGACTCAAAAAAGTTTTGGGAACACTGCTTCAACATTAACAACTAGAACCTACTACTTGTTTCATATCTACTATAGCTGGGGAGGCCCAGACGGATTGTCAATGAGCATGCATTCTTTCAAGCCCACTGTTAAAAATGCTATCCCGAAGTATTATGCGTGCTACTGCTAATAATTGCTCATGCACCGTTATCTCAGCAGTCATTTGAATAGGCCCTTGTCGGAGGCGTGTCCTGCAGCTCCTCTGTCTGTGGGAAGTGCGCTCCGACTGTGACCAGCTCCTCCAGCCGGCGGAGACTACTTATGCACGCTGCAAATGCTGGCTGTTTCTGCTCCGATAAAGGGATTTTTAAACAACATTTTTTACGAGGAGAATAACTCAATGTGCGTCCGTGGGTCGTCTCCAGCGGCTCGTAGACTCGCTGACAGTCAAGTTTTGGGAAAGTCATGGCAAACGTGAAAGTTGCCATTCGTGTGCGTCCTCTCAGCGCAAGGTAAGTTCAAAGTTTTGGCTTGGTTCAAATTAAGCGCGCTAAAGGCTAAAGGACAGAAAATAGATAATTTGTATAAACTAAAAGTACATTCATAATAAAACCCCGCTTCATGACTGTATAATATGAACCCTTAGACATTTCAATTCAGATAATTCAACGCTAGTTTGCATATCACGACTAGAATCACATTATTAGTACCTGATTATGTTGGCTATTCTCTCTACTGTAGTGGTCATTGTTCTGATAGCTTCAGCCTGTTAACCAACTGTTGAAAGCACATGGCGAAAGTTGACAACTGTGACTGCAGCTGTGATCGCTCTGCTGTGCGTTTTATCGGAGAAGAAGTGAGTCAATCGGTTAAAGCCATGGATCTAAAGCTGGGGCACGTAACTTTCAAACTCCAAAAAATGAGAACTATGAGCCAATGAAATGATATTCATCCAACTAGTTTCTCCATTCCTAAACAGCATGGTTCTATCATTAGTTTTCACGTGCATACGTGTGTTTTTGGCCTCTGTCACATCTTTGATCAGTTTTTTTCAGTCAGAAAAGTGAATTTGAGCTCAAAGTTATCCATAGGGCCCTCTCTTGTGTTGTGCATAAATGCATAAGATAACATGTTTTCTAATAAGATGGACAGCGGTTTGTGGTCTGATTGGACTTTTACTAAACTTTTTCTGTTGGGCAAAACAACATGGATTGTTTATGAATAGGTACTCCACCTTTAAAGCCCTTTTGTATAGGAATTATTCAATATTCTGTTGACACTTTTTATTTAAAATTCTATTGGCATTGCTGGATAAGTTATTTTTTTGACACAGATGCCTATGTTATTAATTGAGGCAACTTTAAAAATCCACTTTATGACTTATTTCACGCTCTATGTAACTTTTTTATGTGGGGAGCTGGCTCCTGCTGGGCTTCACAAAGCTGCTTGAACACTTCCAACGTGTCATTAAACTGAAATCTTGCATTACTTGAAGGCAGGTCATCACACTCACCTATAAGTTGCTGTTTTGTTGTCCCATCATCAAGATAAATTAACTTATTATTTTGCATCAGCTTGTTTTTGTAGTAAAGAAAAGGAATTCTCAATAGAATTCCTTTTACCAAACTGCTCCAATGTGTTTTCACGGCATGTTTGTTTTAACTGTTTACAGGTCGAGTCCATCCAGTTGTTATAGTAGAATAGTGTCCAGAAGGATGTGTTTCCAAAGGGTTGTCAATGTCAAGTTCATTGCAGACGTGACACGCGTTATATTGCACTGGACAATGACTCGTCCCATTCATTTGCATAACAATGGACTATCTTCTACCTAGTGGTCAGTGCCATGTAATTGATGCAAATCCCCAATTCTGGATTTGGATGCTGTCGCTGTCCTGTTTCCCTTTTATTAATTGACCAAAACTTTCATTTGACAAAACATTACAACATATTTCCAATATAATGGGCTGTTTTGTGCTTTATGTTCCTGTTTTTTTAGGGAATGGATTGGGAAGTGTGCTGGCTTTGTTTTAGCTGAACAATGGTATTCAATAGTTTTCAGACTGTGGTGTGCAATGGCTGGAGGAACACAGCTTGTCCTTGATATTTTGAAATATTGTAAATATATTCAACACCAGGAAGGTTTGTACTGTAGTAATGCTCTGTAACAATTTCTCGACTATCTTTTTAACTTAAATTGATAAATATTGAAAGCTGGACAAAAGATGATTGGACAAACTAACCAGGACTAGAGGATTAGTTAGCTGTAATAAAGCTAAAACATTAATAAAGTAAGCGGTGCTCATTCTATAAGAGCACTATGGACCTATATGCAAGTAAAATGTTGGGTCAAATGTGTCATTACCTTTTTACTAAGCTACTATTAAAACACATTTTTATGGCCCTACTGTTTTCCGCCTTTCAGCTCCCTCCTCTGTGCTGGTGAGACCCTGAGTTTGAAGGTTTGTGGTCTTGGGTTGGGCTGAAAACTCAGGGTGGTAAAAAAAACACAACATGAGGTACTGTGGCTGTACAGAGGGCTAGATGTTACTACTATCTCCTCCAACATCCGAACACACCACGAAAGAAAAGTATTGTAGTCATTATAACTCCAGGAGGCTCTTAAAATCTCCCAGTTTCGTTTTTTTATTGTCATATTGCTTCTTGTTTCACTTGTATTGCATCAGAACGTCCAGCTGTGGAGGCGTACAGAAGAGCTGACCCTGTTTTAGTCAAGCATGCGCAAAAATCAAACTGGTCCAAAAACACGCACTCCGTCTTGTCCTCATGCACGAGCGTTGAGAGGACTCTGGAGAGTGTCTGTTTTGGTTTGAATTTAAAACTTGGTCAGTGGAGCTACGTAGCTTCAGCGTGATGGGGATTTCACGGGCCAAATGCCAACACACAAAAACATGCTTTGTGTTAACTGTTATGTGATGGCCCCAAGTGAAGAGAAACCGCCTAAGTTAACTGGACATGCTCTTAGATGTGTCAGTGGGAGAAAAAAAGTTTAAACTCAAAACTGCAGCATCCCAGAACATAAAGATAAACAATAAATGAACCAAGACTATCTAGACTAGAGCTAATGTGGGTCTGAATGGTATGAATCAGACCTATATCTTCATAATGAAAACACCAAGTAAGAAGGAGCACCATCAGGACTTAAAGCTTGGGTACCTAACTTTCAAACCACGAATAATGGAACAATGTACGTACCTAGCTCTAAAAGCAGTTTAGTTCTATCACTAGTTTTAACCCTTTCTCACTTCTTTTGATTAGCTTTATCAGGCAGAAAAGTGGAAAGGACAGAACCAGCCTCACTCAGCGCAAAGCGTCAAATAGTGACTCACAGGGATAGTTTTTTTTACAAGAATGCAAAAGAGAAATGCCTTCTTATGTTGTGGTCTGACTTTTTCACAAAATGTTACTTGGGACAAATAAAATGTATTATTTATGAAGAAAGAGTTATGAACCCCAGCTTTAACGGGGCTGGAACAAAACAAAACCAGGACATAACATTATAGAAACAAACAATGTCTAAGGGATTTTTCTATCAGTCTCAAAATAACAGTTATTTGTACAAATGTAGGTAAGAGCCAAACTTACAAATTGCTTAACAAAATAAACTATACACCGCAATGCAAACACATAGAAACTCGAAAAAGGCCTTTTAACTGAAAACATGTCCCAGTCGAATTACCATTGATTAGATTTGACTAAAATGGTCATGTGTTTTGGTTCCACAGAGAGAGTTCGTTCGGGGGGCCGCTGGCTGTCCAAGTCGAAGACAAGTTCGTTAAGATCCGAAACATAAAGGTTGGTATTACTGTTGGCTGAATATCCATATGTTGTATTTGGATAACGTAGACGCCTCCTTTTGGATTAAGACCAACAATAGTAAGTAAAATATGTGTTTGTATACAAGGCCTCTTCATAAGTGCCTATGCGTTTTTGGCTCTAAGGACAGACATGGGAGTCACTTTTATCAACCAGCAGGATGTTTACAGCCTCACATCAGCCTTTCCCTTCAGTCTTGTTTATTGTCAGTGTCAAACGCACGAACAAATTGCACCACTACAAACACAGCACACCCTCCACTCCTCCTCGTGCTACTGTGGCCCTGGTAAAGCCGATATCAGTGCTATTTGTCTGTAGATGCCCTTTTAACTGGTTTGGCCTTGTGGTAAAATGATACTCAGACTTTGAGTTGTTTGGTTTTGTTTTATGTTGACTCATTTTCACCATTTTATACCAGTGTACTTTCAAAATGTGTTTATTGTCGTGGAATTCACAGTTTCCATATATCAGAGTGAGATTAAAATTGACTTTAGAGTGAATATGTATTGCATGTCTAAGTAAACCCTCCTCCTGTAACCAATGCTTCCAAAATCCCAGCCCACCGCACGCCCATTGCTCCACAAATCATTCTCTGACTTTGTTTTTAGTATATAGTACAACAAATGGACACCCAGAAATACAGTTTGTTTAGAATAGCTGTTTTAAACCTGCTTGCGTCAAGAGCCGGTTTAGATGGCAAATCAAAAATAAGTTTTATCGTTATCTGTGTTTAGAATAGGGTTCATATTTAACTGTCGCTGTGCGTTGGGGGAAGGGAGAGTCGGTTACAAATGATGTGACAGTGAAGAGCCACATCTGGCCTCCCTCTGCTGCGGAGACATATCAAAACTCAAAGAAGCCTCAGGGAATCATTATTTATGGAAAGTGGGACAGTTTGGGAAAACACTAGACTCAGGGCATGTAGTATGTTTGAGATTTTACAGCACAGTAAAGAGTCTTTTGAAAGTAATGAAAACACATGAGAAACTTAAGAATGAGGAAATAGACCAAAATCCAGCTTTATCTTTTGCAGTAGGAGCCTCAACTTTGAGTTAGTGACAAGTGGATAAAAAAACCAATAGTAAAGTGTGAAATCTCAGAGGAAGCTGTTAACCCCTAAATACCACATGAATCTTCCAGGTCTGTATGAATCTCTGACAGCACTGGCAATGTTTGGCTTGAGTTTAAAAAAAAGATTTTTGTTAAAGCTAAATAGATAGATAGATATAGATACTTTATTGATCCCCGTTGGATAAATTCAGGTGTCCTGTAGCATCAAAAATATTATTGATCATTCTAAAAGCTAATACATGGATTTATGTGAATGTAATGTCCCCAATAAGCACAGAAAAGTAGAAAGTTATAGGATAAAATGAACAGGGTTACAGTACTTCAACATGAACTATAGGGATCTGTACATGTCCAATTTGCTCGTGGTCAATGAAACTTTTGGAAGTAATTATTATATTGATTTAAGTGGAAGTTAAGAAGAAGAAAAAAACATTGACAAACGTTGCTTGTTTATGACCTGATCTCACCTCACCTTGGCAAAATGAAAGTGATGATCAACAACCACCAGCTTTGACCTGAAACACCCCATGAGACAAACATTATCTGCAGATGCCCTGACCTTTAATAAGTTGTTGGACCATTGACAAAAATACATGCATGCATTCAACAGCTCTACCCACTACCCTGAATGAATCCTTGTCAAGTGCAAATGATGTGCTTGAGTAAGTCCAAAATCTGCAGTGTTGTATTTTTCGCCTGCGGAGCGCCGTAAGCAGAAACTTGTTTAGTGCATATGCATCGAGGCAGACAACAAACCGTAAGGACTGAATGTATTGTTAATGAATGGAAAGTGTTCAGGGGTAAAACTACACCTCAGTGAGCTCATAAACAAAATCTATGGAGTTTGGCTTTCATCCCTGGGATTTAATAAAGCCCCTTATATTCCCCAGTCTTTGCATCTATTAGTTCCATATGTCCTACGCAAGTGGAAAGCTTATGGTGGTATTTAGATGGTGCTTTTGACTTTGCTGCTACATAATAACATGGTCACATTTACCGATACATACTTATGCACTTTTTTAGTGTTTTATTTCCACTAAAATCACTATAAAATATCATAGGCATGCAAAAGTTTTTCTTTGTATTATGTAAACATAGTATAATAGACCTATATAGACATGGTAGACTACCTCATAGGGCAGTTTAGAACCCTCTACAGTTAATCAACAACACTAAAACTATAAATGTTATTAAATGGGATTATTCATACATTACTTAAGTATGGTACAGTCACAGGTACAGTATGTAACATTTCTGTTGTTGGTTTGGTGGTGGTCAGTGTAATGACTGGTGCATTCGATCTAAAGATGTAAATACGTGCATTCTTAAAGTGTGGCTTGCCCTTCTCCAGATCTAACCTGTAACTGTGTGTATATGTGTGTGTGTGTGAATGGTTCTTTCTTTTCATAGTTGGATGGACGGGCAGACGGTGCTGTGGATTCGAGGGAAAAGCTCCAGGAGTTTGGTTTTGACTATTGCTTTTGGTCAGTGGAGCCTGCGGACCCACACTATGCATCCCAAGAAGAGGTAACTATGTCCGTTAATGCATGAACATTCCAGTCTAAGTGTAACGATTAAATGTTTTGAAACAGCATACAAACAAATTCTCAAGCAGGTCCTAAACATCCAGTTGGGAAACGACAAATGACTCCAGCCCACAACAAGAAAAACAGAGGGGCGTGTTGTGTATGTTTATGTTGTCAGAGTATCTCTCAGTCTCCTTGGAGGTTGAGCTCACTTTTTATCTTGTAGCTGTGATTAATTGATTAGGTTTGGCTTTGATTAGAAGGTGATGAATAAATGCAGATACATTACTGTAAAACTTGTTTTTTGAAGTTTAAAGAGACTGGATGGGATGTATTGCTGAGGAAAAAACAACAGCAAGGGTAATGTTGTATCAATCATGAATAGGGTTATGCAAAATATCAATATAGTAATTGTGATATTTGGTCTCACAATTGATTCTGTGCTATCGTGATTTTGAACCACTTACCATTCAGACTGAGCGCCTCTTTAAATAAAACCCTATGAATTATACTCATGGTGTTGGTTTTATCGGTGTCATGTGGCATGTATTGCAAATCACATCGTAATGTGAGGGACCCAGTGATTGACAGTCCTCATTCATCATCCATAGTTTGAGAAGTGAATTTGCAGCTTTTTGTCCATCATGAAGCTTCATATAATTAAGATTTTCTATCTATTGTGCCTGTCTCAAGCTGTGATGAAAGTGCTTACTATTCCCACGGTTCTGTAATGTGCATTCTCAAAACCCACCTGTTTCACCTTACCTTGCCTTAATTTTGTTCCTCTATGTTCACTTTTGTATGTTTTGTAGAGTGTATTTGAGTGTCCAAAAAAGGGTTATATAAGTTTGATGTATAGTTATTATTATTTATATGCTATCATTGCAACAACCTGTATTAATTAAAGTCAGACAGTATACTAATGCGATTTCTTTAGCAAAAGGTTCTTTGAAACAAAACAATACAAAATTCCTCTCAGTATGTGGCATGGTTCAGACTCAATTCAAATACTGTAAAGTAATTGTTCTAGCTGCTTCTTTTGGAAGACTTTTTAGTTTTACACTTAAGCATCCATGTCCATCGAACTTTGCTTCCAGTTTTGGTCTTCCCTTGTTTTGATCATCCTTCTCTCCAAACAGTTGCCTCCCTGTTTGAAATCGGTTGTCGTCAGAGCTCTCATTGTTGGATGTTTGAGAAAGACAGGGCTGTAGTTGCTGCCTACACGCTGCAAATCAACGCTCCACATAGCACCCTGCCTAATTTTTCTCTCTTATTTCTGCCCTGGCATTGGTCGCCTCTGTCCTCTGCAGAATTATGTCCAGTCAGTGTGGCCTGGTTGCTACAGACATTCCTTTGTTGACCCAGAGAGAGAAAAAAGAGCAGCATTGTAGCCTCAAGCCATAGCAGATTTAAATATGACCCCTTTTTCATCAACAGAATGCAAATAATTGTCTCTTTAACACAGCCAAAGGGAAATGTGCACGTCAGTTTGAACTCATTATGCATTACAGTTGAAGTTTTGAATAAAAAAGAGTTCTCTATCCTCGAAGGCAGTTCCTTAGTTGTAAAAGAATACGAATGAATTCAGTGAATCAAATCCACCCCGAGAAGCCTTTTTGCACATTAGTGACCTTTCTCAAAGTTACATGCAAATCACTGCTATCATTTCGTGTCCTCTATTGCTGACGGTCAAAATAAACCCGACTTAAAATGGTAAAGTCATCCAAGACACCTTTTCGCACACTTTATGCAAATTGACGGCTATTTTCACTTTTCACTGGCCAATAAATCTGCTAACAAATTGGGTGACATTTTTCTATGGATGACTAAAACATCCGGAGTGAGATTTGACACACCCTTCAAGACTACAGCTTGAAGCATTAGTAATTGGTGTTCAAGTATATCGTATCCTCTGTGTAATATGCTTTGAAAATAGTAGGAAAGTGTAGCACATGGATCTCCTTTATTGCTTCTTGTATCCTATTTATGTCCAGTCCGGTCCTGGTTAGTGGTTGAGTTTTGTTTTACTCAGCTCTGTGTGAATCTTTTTGAATAGTGCTCCTGGGAAATACTGCTGCTGCTTGCATATTTTGGTTGGGAAACTTTATTCTTGTGTTTTTTTATTGTAGGCAGGCAATCACATTCAGAAGTATTAGATAAAAGCTTATGATGAAAAAAGTACAGTTTGAAGGTCAAGTCGCTAAAATTAAAACATGATGCTTCTTTAATCATTGAAGATTCTTCCGTGTCACCCTTTTGCACCCATGGAATTCTCTCTTTTACATACGATATAAACACCTTTCTTTACTTTTGACTTTGGATGAACACATTTCAAACATTTGTTGACTCTCAGTTTGTTTTTTATTAGTTTTTGTAGCGGTGCTTATCCTCTTACACACTACAAGTCTAAGTGATTACGTTTTTACAACCGGAGGGATTCATGCCAGTGCACATTGGCCCAAGTAAAGTATGCACGGACCTTTGGGAGTTGAGCTTCAGAACACTTCCAAAGATATGTTGGTGTTGAGTTCTCGCTACCCTGTTGCAGACCATTACAGTAATGCAACTGTTGTTAGGCCAAATCATTGCTTTTATAGTATGTGCAAATGCCATAATGGGGTCAAGTATTGTTGCCAGAGTTAGGCTTTCTCATGGAACGCTTCATAGAAAATTCACGTTTTATTCTCCTCACTGCGTTTTGCCCTTGAGACGAAGTGCTGTGCTGGTATAGGGGGGAAGTCTCTTAAACCTAACCAACCACACCCGACTCCCCGAGGAACTCTAAGATTGCTACTACCCCTCGATTTTTCTTTGACTCTGAACGTTTGAAAACTATTGGGTACTTTCATAAGTTAGATTTGGTCTCGTAGTTGTAATGGATAAAGATGTCATAGATGTGGTATTACGGTAGTTGTAGTAGTAAGTTGAAGATTGAACAACGCAAACTTATAGTACATCCTCTTCTCTAGTGCATCATTTTGCTTCATATTATTTTCACTTACATTTACTTATAGTTCCACTTCCTCTTCACTTGTGAATCAGAACTTATTAGGACAGAGCAGACCCAGGAGGGGAGGTCCACTGAGCCTTTCCAGCCCCAAACCTCATGCCAAACCCCCAGCTGTCCCTCCAGGAGTCGTCTATCTCCAGCAGATTTCAGAGCAAGCACGTCACCGCTCTGGACTCAAATGTGCTTGTTTCATTGTCGCTGGGAGTCCAAATGATGGGGGTTTTCCTGTTTCTTCATCACTATTCAACTCAATGTGGTTCCTTATGAATACTAAACTCAATTTATCATAGCAGCCAAAAGCACCACAAAGAAGAAAGTAACATTTTTTGTTGTTATTTTCAAGGATAGTTTGAATGAAATTTGATGAAATTACCTTTTGTAGATGGGCTTGTTCACACTAAAGGGCACAAAAGTGTGACAAAAGGCCAAAAATTAGATTTTAATAATCAGAAGATATTTTATGTTTTTCATGTTTCCAAGCACCTCCTCTGTCCATTAGAAGTTGCTAGAACATAACTGTTTTATACATTAGACAAGTTTCCTATAGCGGCCCTGTTTATTTTATGTAACAGACGTGATGATTTGACGGAATGAGCTTTGTGGAAGTTTGATAGGTATTTTCAGATGTCCACATTTGATTCAGAGATTCTATTTTTTTTACACAAAGTAGATGCAAAGTGATACTTTCATATTGTCAAGCAATTAAATGTAAAAACAGACCAGATTTTTTTTTTCTCAAGTTTCATTTTTAGAGAAAAGAGGACCGTCCTCATCACGTCCGTTATAAATTTTTCGGGGGTCATTTAATTAATTAATTAATTTGTATTTTTTTACGATTCCTTTTTATAATCAAGTGATTCCCTTCTGTTGTGTTAATCATGTAAATCTTGTGGGATTTCATCTTCTGCTTTTTCAGACTGAGGACATTTTATTTTCTATGTAACTGGCGTCACAGTAGAATGGTCCAATCAGAGGCTAATTTTGTCGTTTAAAATGTTGCTAAACATTTTTATGTCAATCTTTCCTTTTGATTTTTTCCACACTATCTCTTCAATGTGTCTGTGTTTGAAATCTTTTTTCCAATCTATGAAAGTAATTTTAGTTTTTAAGTTATAACCTTTTAAAGTCCAGATACTTCAATTGTCACTTTACTGTGAACACACTCAGATAGACATGTCTACAACCAACATCTTTTGCAGTAGTAAGATACCCAATTGCAAAAGTATTCATTGTCTATGTTCACAGTATATACACGTTTATTCAAATCAATCAATCATTTTTGTTAATTGCTTTTAATGCAAAACAACAGTGCTGTACATACAATTAAAATATATTCCCTTTTACCCACCCACCCAAAACGCTGCAATAATTTCCTCACACCCACAACTCGCTCACATTTATTCTTCAGGAAATGAAAAGCTGTGATTGATCAAAAATAAGGAAATACATTTGTTTCCCCCTTATCGACCAGACCCCCCTATGCATCATCAGTAATCCAACCACTGCACACTTTTCGATTTTTATTAAATGAGATTGCGCTCTCAGTCCCACCCAGAGTTTCTAGGTCTGTATGTCAGTGGAATAATAGTCTCACTGTGATGGATGGGAGGAGGAATCGTCTCCAAATGCACGTGAGAATGCGGGCTCCCTCCTCCCCCTCCTCTCACACATGCACGGCCTGGTTCGCATTAACTACACACATACACAATACAAGTATGCTGTCGACAGAGAAATATGAGACCGGACTGTATGCGCATGCAGCCACAGCGCCGGGGAATTGTGTTTTAAAGCGACAAAAATGTAGATGAGGTGATATGGGCAGCATGATAAATGTAACACAAATCGACAAATGTAGTGTAGATTTTGCAAGCGTTTTTCATATGATAGTGCAGAATTGTGTTGCACATGAGTATTAGAACTAATTGAACCAAGCACATAAATGAAAGCTTTCATGTTATAGTCAGTTATGTGCCTCAAGTCACTCCAAATAT